GAGCCAGTCGTGGGGCCAGACATGTATGTTCCATTTGGTGAAATTTTAAGACGTTTGACCTAAGTTCAACCTCTGCAGCATAGAAGCTGGTGTCACCACTGTGTAAATGCTGTCTCAGGCCCCACCCCCCATCGCCTGCTACCATGTTTTATCACCTCTGCTGTAACCATTGGGGAGTTATGGCAAAAAACTAATTTTCCGTGTATGTTTGCACAGAAACCAAACTGGACTTTGTGAAAGATATTGATTGAACAAAATTGGATGAAACTGTCGGTAGGATGGTCCCCGCCAGTTTCAGTTTCACCATCCTGCACCCTCTGATAGGAGAGAAAATAGCAAAACAAGTTCACCCATCTTCTTGTGGCAAGGGAGTTAACTGACTGTAAAAGTCCAGTTTCCTCCCTTGCCAAACTAGTCTGGAATGTCTGGGCTCGATTGTAGCACCACCAGTTGCAAGATAAAATGGTGACGTTTATAAATGTCATTAATGCTATAGTCTGGCATGACCTGACCCCTGGTTGTTGTCATGTGACTGTCTATGTTATTTCGTGCTCTGGGATGTTTCCACTGCCTCCGTGGTCCAGTGGTAGAGCATCTGACTGGACAGAGGAAGGTCCGGGGTTTTGATTCCCAGTCATGCGATACCTAAAGACGTGAAAAGATGGTACCCGGTACCTACCCTGCTGGACGGTTAGCGTGATAGGCTAAAACAAGGACTGGTCAGCTCGGAGTCTGTATACTGTGTCTGAGTAGGGTATTCGAGAGCTCCACATAACTTTTTAAGCAATTGAGTTTTTACTCAAAGGTTTCTATTTTAATTGTGTTATTACATTTTTCATTGGGTAACCAATATTTTTTTCACTCATCTATTCATCACTCTATTGGGTTTTTCCCAAAATGAGTTAACATTTTTGAGATTTCAAGAAAAATAAAATAATGTTTTAGGTATATACCTTATTCGACATAATAAGCGCCCCGTTCTAATAAGCACCCACGGCGATATTTGCTGATATATTGGCTAGTGAACAAGCCCAATTTGCATCCCTTCCGATTGATCAATGTACACAAGATTTATTCGGTATAATACGAACACCTGTGTTATATGCACCCTTATTTATGGGCAATTAAAATCTGGAAAATATATCTGTCGTACATAAACATTTCAGGCTGTCAGCATAAACAACGAAATTTAACTTTCAACTATGTTTTTTTCACCCAAATAATATTCTAATAAGAGCCACCTATTTCTAATTTTGAGAGGGCCCTTGGCGCTTATTACGTCGAATACGGTAATTGTGTTTAGGAAATGACCTCCATTGTACGCATGCTGAAAAAACTTCAGTGGGTATTTAGGCAAGCTGTTTTTATACAATTGAGTGTTTGATTTAATGCATGCATTTCTGAACGCAAGTTAATTGAAAGTAATTGTGTTTTGGCTAAGCTGGAGACTTACTTATGTTCTAGATACCTGTCACTAAAACACAACTAGGACATGCAGAATAATGTCAGAAAAAGTCAGAGAGATTTATTTGTGCTATGATCATGGATTCAGAAAACTTGATTCAATCTCTGCTCTAAAACATCATTGGATTGATGAAGCTGGGCATTGTTTCAAGGTCACAGGTAATGCGAGGGAGCAATGGTAATGTGTCGATGTGATTTCTGTTTCCTGGTTCACATACCATAACATCACACATGACAGTATTGATAACAGCATATAAAAAATGCCTACCACAACAGGAAATACAATTAATAATAGTCTTGAAACTATTACAAAACTTTCGTAAAATTTTGTTGATGTTTGAACTGCTAAACTCATGTTAAACTGCGGCATGGTATCTCAGTGAGCTAGCACTATAAATCGGCATCAGTACGGACTAGTACAAGCAGCCACACACACACACACGTGCATGCACGTCGCTATATAAGTGCAATAATCTTAGACGCGACGTTAAACCCAATGTCACCTCACCTGTAAGAGGTAACTAACAGGATCGGGTGGTCAGATTCACTGACTTGGTTGATGTATGTCATCTATGCCAATTGTGTGGATTGATGCTGATGATGTTAGTCACTGGATTGTCTTGTCCAGACTGGACTGCCGTCATATAGCTGGAATATTGCTGAGTGGGGCGTTAAACAACAAACAAACAAACAATTTTTTAGTAATTAGGCTTTTGAAGATACTGATTTGTTTATGAACATTGTCAGACGCTATAATGACGATGCATCTGTTCCAAGATTACATGTAGGCAGAAAATATACATCTAAAAATCTTGTAACCTGTTACCTTTTTATCCCCCGCCGGGCCAGAATGGCCGAAGGGGGATTATGTCGTGGCGCAGTCCGTCCGTCCCACAGAGGGTACTAAGCTTGGGAAATCAACTCCTACAGTTTCCAGAGAATATCCCTGAAACTCTACACACAAGATGTTGACATGCTGATGATATGCATATCGCAGTCCGGTTTTATTTCGACTAATTTTGACAGAGTTACTGCCCCTGTTTTACGGAGCTTCATTTGCCTAATTGTGAGAGAGGTACTATGCTTGTGAAATCAACTTCCCTCCAGCTTTTAGAGAATATCCCTGACACTCTACACACAAGATTTCGACATGTTGATGATATGCATATCGCAGTCCCGTTTCATTTTGACGAATTTTGACAGAGTTACTGCCCCTGTTTTACGGAGCTTCATGAAATCTACTCCTCCTCGAGTTTCCAGAGAATATCCCTGACACTCTACACACAAGATGTCGACATGTTGATGATACGCATATCTCAGTCCCGTTTCATTGTGACTAATTTTGACAGAGTTACTGCCCCTGTTTTATGGAGCTTCATTTGCCTAATTGTGAGAGAGGGTACTAAGGTTGTGAAATTAACTCCTCCTACAGTTAAAATGTGCACATGTTTAATATATCCATATCACAGTCACGTTTCATTTCTTTTCATGTTGAGAGAGTTACTGCCCTTGGTTTATGAAGCTCGATTTGCACAACTGTGAGAGAGGGTACTGGTTTTGTGATGTCAACTCCTACATTTTTCAGGGAATATCCCTGACGCTATAAACACATGCCGCTCTACATGTGTTATTGATACACATATCGCAGTCGTTATAAATTTGATGTGGCGAAATGAAAATATAAACTCGTTAAAAAAATTCATACGGGGATGTTGTGCTCTCAGAGCACTCTTGTTTCAAATTGAAACCATGCGCTGAAGGGCTCCCACTCTGTAACCTTCTACTGCCTACAAGTCATGACTTAGCATACCAATCTTAAATTTCTTGAAAAATCTCTGAATGTGTAGTGTTGATAAGGATTTTCTTTATGTTTGATTCAATGCATAAGAGTATACAATAACGAGACTGTAAAACAACGTTCACCGTGTTCATTCACTTGATATCTTTGTCATATCTGTGTTATCAGTTTTTGTTTAAGCAGAAAACATTGTTGTTTATTTATGTGTTCTTTAGAATTGTAACTGACTTTACCACGTTTACAAAACTTCCTCATTTATGATAAACAAAGTAGGACACTGTACACCTTGGAGTCCTGATCCATTTCCTCAAACCTGTAACATGTGTAACTCTCCCTTCCAAATTTAAAAACAGTAACATAGTTTGCTTGTCCTCAAACAATCCTACACATTCTCACACTTGAGGTCCATTTTCCAAGAAATCAATAACAGGAAATTCCATATATGGTATAGTCAAATGAGGTAGGTCAGGTCAACTGGCAAAGCTGTAGAGCCTCCACAAGATGTCATGATATTTTGAACATTAGTAAGCATTTATCTATTGATCAAGCATGATCTGTTGACCTGTACTGGACACTTCAATGAATAAATGAGCTATGTTTCGCTTATAAATGTTAAATTATTGGAAAAGGTTGCCAAAAACAAAGACACCATGAGACAGATGGTGACTGACATCGTACGGCTTGATCAACTTGTGTAAACAAACCAAGGCCTCACATTGTTCTAGAGGGTGCTTTGTTATGTCATTGTCTGCTGTATATCAAGACAAAATATGCCACTTTAATAATGCAAGCACGGGTCATATATACATGTAATTAGAGTTGCAGTAATTAGAGTCAGGAACCCTTGCACTGGCTATTATATGCCTTCAGAGAGAGAGATTAGTTGACTGCTTGGTTTGTTGTTTAACGCCGCACTCAGCAATATTCCAGCTATATGACGGGTCTGTAAATAATCGAGTCTGAACAAGACAACCCATTCCAGCTATATTACGGGTCTGTAAATAATCGAGTCTGGACCAGACAGTCCAGTGATGAGAGAGAGAGAGAGAGAGAGAGAGAGAGAGAGAGAGAGAGAGAGAGAGAGAGAGAGAGAGAGAGAGAGAGAGAGAGAGAGAGAGAGAGAGAGAGAGAGAGAGATTAGTTGACTGGTTGGATTGTTGTTTAACGCCGCACTCAGCAATATTCCAGCTATATGAAGGGGGTCTGTAAATGATCGAGTCTGGACCAGACAATGCAGTGATTAGATAGATAGAGAGAGGGAGAGAGAGAGAGTGCAGCATGCAGACAACTGAAGTCCTGCCATGTTAGACTGAACACTCTTCCATCACCTGTCCTATCCCGGTAGTTGAGCAGGTCTTAGAATTCAAATGTAAAACCTCACAGAAGGATACTATGAGATAGCAAGATACCCATGATAATATACGCAAACGTAGCAGCAGGTTTATAAATCTGGATCCCTGTGATGAACCCAGATCTCACCACCCCTTACCAAACATGCTACAAACTGGCTTCGACCTGAGTTCAATCATAGTTTTCTGGCGTGCCTAAGGGACGCATGTCTACACAGCGAATCGCGGCACCTTAGACGACTGGGCCACCTGTGCCCCCCTAGATTTATGGACATAAGTTTGTTTCCCTTAACACTCACAGTTCAATTCATTTGTGTCTGTTCTAAAGTTCTGTGCAGAAAACCCTGGATGCCTTATCACACTAATGGGTGCATTTCTTCTGTTTGCAGCAGTGTGACTCACAAAACGTTGCAGATGTAGTTCTTCATATCAACTCCAGCTTGGTGACATTTCTTTGACATCTGAAGTACAACGATTTCCTCAAAATGGCATCCCGGGAATCATCATGTAACATACTCAAGATTGACTATCTTATGAAGAGGTCCCAGAACAAAAACACATTCACGTCCGAGAACTACAAGGGCAGACATTTTGTTCTTGATGAATATTACCTGCGATACTTCGACGGCAAGCTCGAGGTAAGCAGATATTTTTACAGGGCACTCAGCAGAAACCCAAAATACCAGAAATATCAAAGGTGTTGGTGTAGGAGTGAGTGAGTATGGTTTTACGCCGCTTTTTGTTTTTTCCCCCCAACACAAAGACATTACTGTGAGCACGTAACACCGGTAGCTGTGATAGTGGTGTTGGGGTAGCCTAGTGGTTAAAGCGTTCGCTCGTCATGCCGAAGACCTGGGTTCAATTTTCCGCATGTGTGAAGTCCATTTCACCTTACATATAATCATGTATTTAAGGATTGACTGGATTTTTTCAGTTCACTGAGGTTCGAAAAGCCGACGTGCAAACTGTATGATTCTGTGTAGCCATGTATTTCTGACTGAAATGTTTGCACTGCATACATCATTAAAGGAAGATACCGGTCCATTTATTCAGCATCCATGTTGCTGTACAAGGAAGAGACTGAGCACTATAGGTGCTGCACACAGATTTTGTTTTTGGTTGTTTTTTATATAAATGAATGTTTCCCTGTTAGGTGAGTAAGCACATTCTTCAATATTTCAGAAAAGAGGAAAGGAAAAGGGATGTATTGCTCTTCCCAATGTACGGGCGGTCGAGAACGTGGAGAACCGGATGCTGGACAACAGGGACAATGTCTTCCAGGTGAGGGGGGTGAGAGAGGGGGTTCAGGTGAGAGAGGGGGTTCAGGTGAGAGAGGGGGTCCAGGTGAGAGAGGGGGTTCAGGTGAGAGAGGGGGTTCAGGTGAGAGAGGGTCCAGGTGAGAGAGGGGGTTCAGGTGAGAGAGGGGGTTCAGGTGAGAGAGGGGGTCCAGGTGAGAGATGGGGGTGAGAGAGGGGGTCCAGGTGAGAGAGGGGGTCCAGGTGAGAGAGGGGGTTCAGGTGAGAGAGGGGGTTCAGGTGAGAGAGGGGGTCCAGGTAAGAGAGGGGGGTGAGAGAGGGGGTCCAGGTGAGGGGGGTGAGAGAGGGGGTCCAGGTGAGAGAGGGGGTCCAGGTGAGAGGGGGTCCAGGTGAGAGAGAGGGTCCAGGTGAGAGAGGGGGTGAGAGAGGGGGTTCAGGTGAGAGAGGGGGGTGAGAGAGGGGGTTCAGGTGAGAGACGGGGTCCAGGTGAGAGAGGGGGTCCTGTGAGAGGGAGGGATCAGGTGAGAGAGGGGGTCCAGGTGAGAGAGGGGGTCCAGGTGAGAGAGGGGGTCCAGGTGAGAGAGGGGGTCCAGGTGAGAGAGAGGGTCCAGGTGAGAGAGGGTCCAGGTGAGAGAGGGGGTCCAGGTGAGAGAGGGGGTTCAGGTGAGAGAGGGGGTCCAGGTGAGAGAGGGGGTCCAGGTGAGAGAGGGGGTCCAGGTGAGAGAGGGGGTCCAGGTGAGAGAGGGGGTTCAGGTGAGAGAGGGGGTCCAGGTGAGAGAGGGGGTTCAGGTGAGAGAGGGGGTCCTGTGAGAGAGGGGGTCCTGTGAGAGGGAGGAATCAGGTGCTAGTGAGAGGGAGGGATCAGGTGCTAGTGAGAGGGAGGGATCAGGTGCTAGTGAGAGGGAGGGAGCGAGTGAGAGGGAGGGATCAGGTTTTAGTGAGCGGGAGGGATCAGGTGCGAGTGAGAGGGAGGAATCAGGTGCGAGTGAGAGGGAGGGAGCAGGTGCTAGTGAGAGGGAGGGATCAGGTGCGAGTGAGAGGGAGGGATCAGGTGCAAGTGAGAGGGAGGGATCAGGTGCGAGTGAGAGGGAGGGATCAGGTGCAGTGAGAGGGAGGAATCAGGTGCGAGTGCGAGGGAGGGAGCAGGTGCGAGTGAGGGGTTCAGGAAAGGATAAGACCAGATATGACCATGCATGAGGGAGGGATCAGGTGCAGTGAGGGGTTCAGGAAAGGATAAGACCAGATATGACCATGCATGAGGGAGGGATCAGGTGCAGTGAGGGGTTCAGGAAAGGATAAGACCAGATAAGACCAGATATGACCAGATAAGACCAGATATGACCATGCATGACTGGATGTTGTATTGTCTCCAGGTGATGTATCATGAAAACAGCGACTTCTTCACGCTGTACATTGTTGCTCTGAATACTGACCAGAGGGACACCTGGGTGACAGCCATTAGACAGCGTGAGTCCAACTATTACTTCCTGTTGAATTTGTTGTTAAGCATCAAGTGAAGAAACAGGATGAGACAAGCAAACCAGATTACTACACCCGGGGTATGTCGGGGGTATATACTTACATCAAGGAATTCTATCCGTCCTTACATCACAGGACATTTCTTGTGCGACCTATAACCTTAAAACTACTGAATAGATTCTTCACAAACGTGGTGAACATTTCCTATACCAAAAGGAGAGGTGCAGTCCGATGTTTGATTTCAATATTTGGAATTTTGGAAAATATAAATACAGCTATTTTCAATTTTTGACTTAGAATTTATATACTTCAACATTTGTGCGACCTATTACTTGAAAACTACTACATGGATTCTTTTCAAATTTAGGGAACACTTTCTATACTTATAGGAGAGGTGCAGTGCAAAGTTTGATTTTCATTTCATATGTGGATTTTCTGAGAAGACATGAATTTTTACATGTTTTGAACTTAGAATGTTTTTTTACTCAACATTTGTGCAACCTATAACTTGAGAACCACTACATGGATTCTTTTCAAATTTAGGGAACAGTTTCAATACTTATAGGAGAGGGGTGCAGTGCAAAGTTTGATTGTGATACAGTAAACTACAGATATAACCAACTCAAAGGGACCACTAATTTTAGTTTGTTATAACCGTAGTTCGTTATAAGCATATATGCAGCAAATGGACGGGACCAAAAAGGAGTTCATTATATCCATCAGTTTGTTATAAACATGTTTGTTATAAACGTAGTTTACTATATGTGGTTTTCTGAAAAGAATTTTTTTCATGTTTTGAACTTAGAAATATGTTCATGCCCCCGACTTACGATGATGCCCCTGTACATCTTTGAATAGTGCCATTGCTATTTTATATTATTTTGCTTTTTAAGAGAAACTGGTAGCAATATATCCTAGATGTTAAAATTGTTCTTCATCTAGTGGGGGGGGCACGGGTGGCCCAGTCGTCTAAGGCGCCGTGATTCGCTGCGCAGAGTTGAGTCCCTTGGGCACGCCAGAAACCTATGATTGTGGGTTCGAATCCCGGTTCGCCCCGATTATGTTTCTAGGTGTGTCAGCACCATACCAGTGCTAGTGGGTTTCATCGAAGTGGTAAACGTCTGAGACCTGCATCACTTCGGGCTTTCCTCCCACATTAAGCTGACACGCCGTGATATGACTGGAATACTGTTAAAAGCGGCGTTAAACCAAACTCACTCACTCACTCACTCTTCATCTAGTGATGGAGTCTAGATCGGAGGTGTTAGTAAGGGTGTAATATGATACATATCACAATATTATTTTTTAATGCTCAGTGCTTATGAATTCAATATTTAGCATAAAACAATATGTCGTGATACATATCGTAATACAGCCTTGTGCATTGTAAAATATCGTGATACACTTTAAACCTCCAGTACCCTTCCCTAGGTGTTAGTGAGCCCTCCTCACTTTTTGACTTGTTGACTCCATGTTGAGTTTCTGACATTTAGTGTGATAGCGCAGGACAAAAGAATACAATTACATGCATCAACCAAGTCAGTGAGCCTGACCACCAGATCCCTTTAGTCGCCTCTTACGACAAGCATAGTCGCCTTTTATGGCTACCATGGGTTGCTGAAGACCTATTCCACCCTGGATCTTCACAGGTCATCAGAGCACATATTCATGCCTGTCGGGCTTCGTTGACTTTGTGACAAAACTGTCATTTTATAATGAAAGAATTTCGTACAGGTACATATCTGACACATCACTACACTAAAGTCAGGTGAGGCGCACATGTTTTATGTGTAGCTTGCATTATATTCATTTTCACTGATATTCATATTTTTACAGAAGCTCAGAAACAAGGGGCCAACTTTGTACCTAAATATCACAAGGGAGTGTGGACAAAGACGCTCCGCAAATACAACTGCTGCGATCAGCTATACCGCAATGCACCAGGCTGTGAGGTGGCAACACACGAACAACAAGGTGAGTCAGTGGTCACACGGACAACAAGGTGAGTCAGTTGTCACACGAACAACAAGGTGAGTCAGTGGTCACACGAACAACAAGGTGAGTCAGTGGTCCCACGAAGAACAAGATGAGTCAGTGGTCACATGAACAACAAGGTGAGTCAATGGTCACACGAACAACAAGGTGAGTCAGGTGGCAACACAAACAACAAGGTGAGTCAGTGGTCACACGAACAACAATGTGAGTAAGTGGTCACACAAACAACAAGGTGAGTCAGGTGGCAACACAAACAACAAGGTGAGTCAGGTGGCAACACACAAACAACAGATTTAGCATTCAGTGTAGGTGTGGAGCTCTGAATATTTTGAGTTTTTAGGATAGTGTAGAGTTCAGGATAGTTTGGGCTATATTGTCTAACTGGTCATGAGGGAAAGATGTCAATGTAGTGTCTCCGGGATTGTAACCTGGAGTTGTAAGTCGGGTAGTGTCTAGTTAGCCATTTCCATTCTCTGTGCACACCACACTGTCCTGCATGGAGTGTCACTGAGTCAGGTAGTGTCTAGTTAGCCATTTCCACTCTCTGTGTGCACCCCACTGTCCTGCATGGAGTGTCACTGAGTCGGGTAGTGTTTAGTTAGCCATTTCCATTCTCTGTGCACACCACACTGTCCTGCATGGAGTGTCACTGAGTCGGGTAGTGTCTAGTTAGCCATTTCCATTCTCTGTGCACACCCCACTGTCCTGCATGGAGTGTCACTGAGTCAGGTAGTGTCTAGTTAGCCATTTCCACTCTCTGTGCACACCCCACTGTCCTGCATGTAGTGTCACTGAGTCGGGTAGTGTCTAGTTAGCCATTTCCATTCTCTGTGCACACCACACTGTCCTGCATGGAGTGTCACTGAGTCAGGTAGTGTCTAGTTAGCCATTTCCCCTCTCTGTGTGCACCCCACTGTCCTGCATGGAGTGTCACTGAGTCAGGTAGTGTCTAGTTAGCCATTTCCACTCTCTGTGCACACCCCACTGTCCTGCATGGAGTGTCACTGAGTCAGGTTTGGGGCCACTTTCAGCAATAGTGCAGTCAGACTTTTGAAATGCTCTTGTAATAAACCAGTATCTAGTCGGAAGTCATTTAATGATCTATTTATGCCAACATCTTCTGCAGAAAATGTGATGCCAGTTCAACAACAAAGACCACAACAACAAGTTTCTGTGAATGGTGCCTCGAAGAAAGAAGCCAAGGTTTATGTTGCAATATATGACTACCAGCCTGCAGAGGAGGGAGACTTAGAACTAGCTTGTGTAAGTAGTATTTTGTCCTCCATTGTGTGTAATAAGGTGCTGCAACTGATAATTTGTAAGGTGTTTTACTGCATAAAGCCATGCTGGTCTGAGTGGGATGCATCTCCTCAAGGCAAGAGAACCAGGCTGGAATTGTGGAGTTATGTTTTGGCTGGAGTAACGAGTTAAATCAAAATCATATTATGAAATTGACATCTGGTTCATAATGAACATGGCGACTGATGATCGCCACTCCCGTCCTTTAACATATACTTACAACAACAGGAGTGCCAAGATGATCATCACTCCCATCCTTTAACATATGCTTACAACAGCAGGAGTGCCAAGATGATCGTCGTTCCCATCCTTTAACATATGCTTACAACAGCAGGAGTGCCAAGATGATCTTCACTCCCATCCTTTAACATATGCTTACAACAGCAGGAGTGCTAAGATGATCTTCACTCCCATCCTTTAACATATGCTTACAACAGCAGGAGTTCCAAGATGATCTTCACTCCCATCCTTTAACATATGCTTACAACAGCAGGAGTGCTAAGATGATCGTCGTTCCCATCCTTTAACATATGCTTACAACAGCAGGAGTGCCAAGATGATCTTCACTCCCATCCTTTAACATATGCTTACAACAGCAGGAGTGCCAAGATGATCTTCACTCCCATCCTTTAACATATGATTACAACAGCAGGAGTGCCAAGATGATCTTCACTCCCATCCTTTAACATATGCTTACAACAGCAGGAGTGCCAAGATGATCTTCACTCCCATCCTTTAACATATGCTTACAACAGCAGGAGTGCCAAGATGATCTTCACTCCCATCCTTTAACATATGATTACAACAGCAGGAGTGCCAAGATGATCGTCACTCCCATCCTTTAACATATGCTTACAACAGCAGGAGTGCCAAGATGATCGTCACTCCCATCCTTTAACATATGCTTACAACAGCAGGGACCTGTGAAGATTCCGGGGTAGAATAGGTCTTCAGCAACCCATACTTGCCGTAAAAGGCGACTATGCTTGTCATAAAAGGCGACTAACGGGATCGAGTGATCAGGCTCGCTGACTTGGTTGATACATGTCATCGATCCCAATTTGTGTGGATCGATGCTCATGATGTCAATCACTGGATTGTCTGGTCCAGACTTGATTATTTTACAGACCACCGTCATATAGCTGGAATATTGCTGAGTGCGGTGTTAAACAACAAACAAACACACAAACAACAACAGCAGGAGTGCTGAGACCACATTGTGGGAACACTTTTGAGGTGTGGAACACTTGTAAGATTAAACTATGGTAGCTTTTGTTTTGCAGACAAAAATGAAAAGACTACCAGACTAATTCCCACCTATCTATTTTCAGGGAGAGGAGTATGAAATACTAGATGATAGTCGAGAGCATTGGTGGCAAGCTAAAGACAAGAAGGGGTAAGAAATAACATATAGTTTCCTATAGGAACTTATGTTCATGAATCAAGATTTGATCTTTGAACAGTTAGTCCTTAGGGAGATGTCAGGGTTCAGTTCCATCAGTCCGAGGGCTGAGTCCCTGTAAGTCCTCGTCATTTGATGCTGAGGAACAATGTTCCGGGATGACCACAGTGTTTACTGCCGTAGTATTATTAGGCTTAAAGAAATAAAAGAATTGGTTCTGAGGCAATGGCTTTTGAAAATGTAGTGCGGGCAGGCAGTGGTTTTGTTTGGGGATGTTGTAACTAGTATGTAACCAAATTTTGTTTACAGTAATTTCATCGAAATCATGTTCTTAAGTAGGGGCAGTCGTGTAGCCTAGTGGTTAAAGCGTTGGCTGGTCACGCAGAAGACATGGGTTCAATTCCCGACATGGTGTCCCTCGCGATATTGCTGTATTATTGTTAAAAGCGGAGTAAAACCAAACCCACTCACTCACTCTTTCTTCTGAAGTATTGAATCATTTCACTGTCATGTGTTCGAGACGCGGAATATTTAAAGATTTTTTTACAAAATGATTTTAAATGAAAATAAAAATGAAACGTGCAGCGGACTTAATGATGAGGGCAGAGCCTGAGAACAAAGACTATTATTTTTTTAGCCTTATAGTTAAACACTATTGTGATGAATGTTTGATGGGCATTTCTTAGAAGTTGACAGATGGCAAAGTAGACACAATATATGGATAACAACTCCCTTAAGTTCAATTATGGCGACGTTTTGGTACAGATAGTTCATTACGTCGCTATGATAGTACATTACATGTGTTCTTATGCATACATTGTATCTACTATTGCGATGCTAATTCGGTAATGATTAAACTATACTTGCAGTACTACAGTGATAGTATTTAGATTTCACTGCAGTATTCAACATGATGACACAGCCTACATCTGTCAGCAATGTGTCAGGTTCAGCAGATGCTGTTAGGGGTTAAGGGAGGTACCTCTGAACACAGGAATCTGAAACTGTGGTTAAAATAATGATATTCTTTGCCTGTTTCGCTATCAGACACTCTTCTGTATGTATTAGAATAGGTCTTCAGGAACCCATTCTTGTTGTAAAAGGCGACTATGCTTGTCGGAATAGGCGACTAACAGGATCGGGTGCTCGCTGACTTGGTTGATGCATGTTGTCATATTCCAATTGCGTGGATAGATGATTTGGCCATTGTGTGATCATGTGGTCTAAATGTTAATTTGACTTAGCAAATGTAAAACCAACTTCTGACTTCTTTTCTGTCTTCATTGCGCAATGTTTGTTCGATACTTGCACATTTTCTCTCTTATCCAAGATGTCAAGTCTGCTAGGATCTACTCTGTACCTTTCCATTTTGTTTGCAGGAATCAAGGATACATTCCAGCTAATTATGTCAAAAGGAAGTTTGACTTAGAAATATATGAGTAAGTATTGATTTGCCAATTCCACTTTTGGACTTTCAGGCCGAAAAGAAACTAAGCTTTTCCCCATTAAAATAAAACTTCTGCTTCAAATTTCCTTGTATTTGCCCGTAGTAGGCGGTCTGGCTATGTGGATAAATTTTTTTTGATAAAATGTGGACAAATTCAGTCTCATACAAGACATATGGCTACAGCTTTCCAAAGGAAGATGACCATAGTTACCACAGAGCCCCTTCTATGAGGGGTGACCATCTCAGCTTTCTGTACACACGACCAGACCCACTCCCCACCTTGAGGGAGATAACTCCATCCCCATTAACCCCCACCCCACAACCCCCAGCCAGGGGAGGTTGCATTGCCCTGATGATACTGGTTCTTTTTCAAGGACATTGATGGATTGTCATTAACATTTCCTAAAGATATTTTAAAAATTTGGTAATCAGTAGCTGATGATGTCATATAAATGTCCTAATGCCATTTGTCTCTTGCAAAACCTCTCACAAGTACAAATGTCATGTTTCTATTGACGTCTGTACAACAGCGCTGTATTGTGTTCGAGTCACTGTCGTTAGTCGTGTTACAGCGTTCCTATTCCCTGCTCACTGTTGCTTGGTCCACTGTTGCAGCTGGTACTACAAGGACATCACCCGACAGCGCAGTGAGGCCATCTTGCAGGAGGACAACCGCGAGGGCTGCTTCCTGGTGCGAGACTCCAGCAGCACACCGGGGATGTACACCCTGTCACTATTTACAAATGAAGGGTAAGCACTGTAACTGTTTATGAAGGATAAGCACTAGCACTCTTTACTTATGAAGGGTAAGCACTGTAACTGTTTACTTATGAAGGGTAAGCACTAACACTCTTTACTTATGAAGGGTAAGCACTGTAACTGTTTACTTATGAAGGGTAAGCACTAACACTCTTTACTTATGAAGGGTAAGCACTGTAACTGTTTACTTATGAAGGGTAAGCACTAACACTCTTTACTTATGAAGGGTAACCACTGTAACTGTTTACTTATGAAGGGTAAGCACTGTAACTGTTTATGAAGGATAAGCACTAGCACTCTTTACTTATGAAGGGTAAGCACTGTAACTCTTTACTTATGAAGGGTAAGCACTAACACTCTTTACTTATGAAGGGTAAGCACTAACACTCTTTACTTATGAAGGGTAAGCACTGTAACTGTTTACTTATGAAGGGTAAGCACTATCACTCTTTACTTATGAAGGGTAACCACTGTAACTGTTTACTTATGAAGGGTAAGCACTATCACTCTTTACTTATGAAGGGTAAGCACTGTAACTGTTTACTTATGAAGGGTAAGCACTAACACTCTTTACTTATGAAGGGTAACCACTGTAACTCTTTACTTATGAAGGGTAAGCACTATCACTCTTTACTTATGAAGGGTAAGCACTGTAACTGTTTACTTATGAAGGGTAAGCACTGTAACTGTTTACTTATGAAGGGTAAGCACTATCACTCTTTACTTATGAAGGGTAAGCACTGTAACTGTTTACTTATGAAGGGTAAGCACTAACACTCTTTACTTATGAAGGGTAAGCACTAACACTCTTTACTTATGAAGGGTAACCACTGTAACTCTTTACTTATGAAGGGTAAGCACTGTAACTGTTTACTTATGAAGGGTAAGCACTGTAACTGTTTACTTATGAAGGGTAAGCACTAACACTCTTTACTTATGAAGGGTAACCACTGTAACTCTTTACTTATGAAGGGTAAGCACTATCACTCTTTACTTATGAAGGGTAAGCACTGTAACTGTTTACTTATGAAGGGTAAGCACTAACACTCTTTACTTATGAAGGGTAAGCACTATCACTCTTTATGTATGAAGGGTAAGCACTATCACTCTTTACATATGAAGGGTAAGCACTATCACTCTTTATGTATGAAGGGTAAGCACTATCACTCTTTACTTATGAAGGGTAAGCACTATCACTCTTTATGTATGAAGGGTAAGCACTATCACTCTTTACATATGAAGGGTAAGCACTATCACTCTTTATGTATGAAGGGTAAGCACTATCACTCTTTACTTATGAAGGGTAAGCACTATCACTCTTTATGTATGAAGGGTAAGCACTATCACTCTTTACATATGAAGGGTAAGCACTATCACTCTTTACGTATGAAGGGTAAGCACTATCACTCTTTACTTATGAAGGGTAAGCACTGTAACTGTTTACTTATGAAGGGTAAGCACTATCACTCTTTACTTATGAAGGGTAAGCACTAACACTCTTTATTTATGAAGGGTAAGCACTGTAACTGTTTACTTATGAAGGGTAAGCACTGTAACTGTTTACTTATGAAGGGTAAGCACTAACACTCTTTACTTATGAAGGGTAAGCACTGTAACTGTTTACTTATGAAGGGTAAGCACTATCACTCTTTACTTATGAAGGGTAAGCAATATCGCTCTTTATGTATGAAGGGTAAGCAATATCACTCTTTACATATGAAGGGTAAGCACTATCACTCTTTACGTATGAAGGGTAAGCACTATCATTCTTTATGGATGAAGGGTAAGCACTATCACTCTTTACATATGAAGGGTAAGCACTATCACTCTTTACATATGAAGGGTAAGCACTATCACTCTTTACATATGAAGGGTAAGCACTATCTCTCTTTACGTATGAAGGGTAAGCACTATCTCTCTTTACGTATAAAGGGTAAGCACTATCACTCTTTACATATGAAGGGTAAGCACTATCTCTCTTTACATATGAAGGGTAAGCACTATCACTCTTTACGTATGAAGGGTAAGCACTATCACTCTTTACGTATGAAGGGTAAGCACTATCTCTCTTTACATATGAAGGGTAAGCACTATCACTATTTATGTATGAAGGGTAAGCACTATCACTCTTTACGTATGAAGGGTAAGCACTATCTCTCTTTACGTATGAAGGGTAAGCACTATCTCTCTTTACGTATGAAGGGTAAGCACTATCTACCTTTACTTAAGAAGGGTAAGCACTACCTCTGTGAAGGGTAAGCACTATTCCGCTTTGCTTATGAAGGATAAGCACTACCTCTCTACATATAAAGGGTAAGTACTATTCCGCTTCACTTTTGAAGGGTAGGCGCTGTCTCTCTTCCCCTATTTAAAATGTTCATGTCGTGTTTCAGGAGTGTTCTAGTCAGACATTATCATATACGGAAGGATTCTGAGGGCAAGTTCTACATCTCGGACAAACATGCCTACCCCAGCATACCTGACGTTGTCCACTATCACAAGCACAACTCAGGAGGTAAAGTAGCTGTGTATAGTGGGTATAGCTGTGTATAGTGTGTATTGCTAGGTATAGCTGTGTATGGTGTGTATTGCTAGGTATAGCTGTGTATGGTGTGTATTGCTGGGTATAGCTGTGTATAGTGTGTATTGCTGGGTATAGCTGGGTATAGTGTGTATTGCTGGGTATAGCTGTGTATTGCTAGGTATAGCTGTGTATGGTGTGTATTGCTAGGTATAGCTGTGTATGGTGTGTATTGTTGGGTATAGCTGTGTATGGTGTGTATTGCTAGGTATAGCTGTGTATGGTGTGTATTGCTGGGTATAGCTGTGTATGGTGTGTATAGCTAGGTATAGCTGTGTATGGTGTGTATTGCTGGGTATAGCTGTGTATGGTGTGTATTGCTGGGTATAGCTGTGTATGGTGTGTATTGCTAGGTATAGCTGTGTATGGTGTGTATTGCTGGGTATAGCTGTGTATGGTGTGTATTGCTGGGTATGAGAACAGAGAGACATGTTTCAGAGTCAGGTCACGATCTCAAGTCTCTAGATCCTATGCCATTTGTGGCCATTTGTAACCAGTTAGTGATAGATTGATATACAGTTGACCCCTCTTGTCCCCTCTAGTTCTGGCCGGTATTACCGGTCTATCGGTGTATTGCTATGCAGAACTACAAATCATATGTATTGCGATATGGTTTTCATGTATCGGTATTTTGTGCATATTGTTTTGTTAGTGAAAAAAACATTCAATAGACATCAAATTTATAATACGAACGATCAAGACGATATCACAACATAAAATAGAAAATATAAACAAACATGGGGCCATGCTCTGGAAGTGTTAGGCAGTGATTACTTCCCTTTGCCCAGTCGCTATGGAAACAAAATGGCAGACAAATTTGAAATAGTTGCCAACAAAAGGGGGAAGTGGGATATTTTGGGGGGGTGATAAAGTTGAAGAAAACATTGCAGTTTGTCTCAAATGCAATGCAAGGGTCTGCCACACGGGTGGGACCACAAATCATGTGGCAGCATCATCCATCCATTCTGTTGACTTAGTCATATAAAACTCAAAGCGGGATCATACCAAAAGAGGAAATCTTGGTCGCAGAAACCGAACGAATTTCAATTTCGTCACCCATTCGTCTCAGTGACAAAGTGGCCAGGTTTATCATTGCTGGTCTTCGACCACTCAGTATCGTCGATTCTTATGAATTTAAAGACTTCAAAGCCTAGATTCACTGTACATGTGTCCCTCTCAGAAAACCTTCTCTGACAGGATTATGCCAAAAATGTACAACAAAGCAAATAGCTGGTAAAAGAGGCCTTACAAAATGCTGAACAAGTAAGTTTAGTCAAAAGAAATATATATCTGACTCGTGTCAAATTTCTGCTTTTCCAGATATCACAATACAATAAAATCGCAATACAATTTGAAATATCGCAATATATTGCAATACATTTTTTTTCCAATTCCCAGCCCAACCAGACAATATTTACATGGAACGATTTTTCACACAAGCGTACGTTTTGAGTGAATGTGTCTTGCCTTGAACATCTAGAAGACTGTCATCATGGGGTCATCATGGGGTCACCTGCCTGTTTGCCTATCCTCAATTTTCATATAAATGTACTGTTTGAATAGTTTGGAGTAACAACAATTAGCCATATATTCTTTGCACAATGTGAGTGAGTATGGTTCTACGCCGCTTTTAGCAATATTCCAGCAATATCACGGCAGGGGACACCAGAAATGGGCTTCACACATTGTACCCATGTCAGGAATCGAACCCAGGTCTCCGGTGTGCCATGCCAACGCTTTAACCACTAGGCTACCCGACCGCCCTATTCTTTGCACAAACATCCTGTTGTCATTGTGGTGGTCCAAGAGGAAGGGGTAAACCATGTCACGAGAACACTTGCAGTAGGTTGTCATGGTGACGTGACTTATGTTTATTCTGTGTTGCAGGTTTGGTGTGCAGACTGCGAGAACCTCCCAGACGACACTCAGCACCCTCTACAGCAGGATTTGGTCACGGTCAGTAGATAGGTCATACTCCGCTAACATATAGCTTCACACCATCTGGAGATTACATATTGTGTCTGTCTTATTTTAATGCAGCGTTAGAAATTGGCACTGGTCCTGTAGTCCTGTAGTCCGAGCCAAACTGCCTAATAGTTAAGGTATCATAAGGGCTTGTAGAAATCTGCCTTTTTTAGGGGTTTGCTATATGTTATCATTATAAGGACTAGTGGGCTGAAACTGTTAGTTTCTATCGCCATTAATGTCTAAGGATTATATCAATAACACTCACTTGTATAATCATACAGTGGAAACTGTCTCAACCAGACTCATCTGGGACAGACAGTTTAGTCCAGTGTATGTGGTAGCCGGGACTCGAGTACAATACCCCCTCAGCACCCAAAGAATTTTAAAGAAGATTCTTGTTGTTACCCTGTCTGGCGCTCGGCATTAAGGGACTAAAACAAGGCCTGGTCGGTTCGGAGTCAATGTACTGTGTCTGGGGTATTCATGTTAAACTCTGACATGGTATCTCAATGCCAGCATCCTAGATCGGCAATCTAATTTGCATATTCAGCTAGTTGTCAACCAATGAGACTAATACACATCAAGGTCAGAAAGGACGACAACGGAGCACATTTAATTCATTAATCCTAGTAAAATGTTTTAGGACTTCCAAATATGTGAGTGTACTCACCTGTGAGTGTTGTCCTCCTTGCAGGCAAGTGGGAGATCGACCCCGATGACTTGGAGACGGGGGAGCAGTTGGGTTCAGGATGTTTTGGGGTGAGTACCAAGCTAGTTCTTGATTCTTCCTGACAACATGAAGGTCTTTCTAATCCTAGTTTGTTATTTAACGCCACAATCAGCAATATTCCAGCTATATGACGGCAGTCTGTAAATAATTGAGTCTAACAGAGGTGACTGACGGGATCGGGTGGTCAGACTCGCTGATGGCGTTGATCCATGTAATTGTAGCCCAATTGTGTTGATCGATGTCATTATGTCAGTCACTGGATTGTCTGGTCCAGACTTGATTATTTACAGACCACCGTCATATATATCGAATGTTGCTGAGAGCGGCGTTAAACAACAAACAACCGAATCATAACCTTTAACCATGATATGGCTTGTGCTCATGAATGGAGGCGACAAAACTATCAACAACATGATCTAGCCATCGACCGTTTCCCCTCTCTTTGTTTACTGAGTGAAGAAGTCTTCACTTCTAACTGCTGATCCCTTGTCAACAACTAGCAGGTTTATACTCAATACCCCCTACCTTCCTATATTCACCTTGTCATTGCACAAGGTCGTACACATACAAATGAGATCTCGATAATTGCTACCGCTAAACAAAGATCTGAGGTCATCCCATTACTGGTCACTTCCGACAGACTTTTCGGGAACGTTGACCGACCAATGGAATGACTGACAAGAAGTTGACATTAGCCAATCTGAAGGCAGCTTCCTCATGCTTTACGACACAAGTTTCAAACTGGCGACTACGGTCGATAAAATATTTTGACAAAGTCTTGATTAAAATATCAAAACTGAACAACCGAACATTGTAAAATGGGTATTGGATGGCCGCGATTGTATGGATTTAGTTGTAAAGCCCATATCTGTTGTTCAGAATACCCCCTGTTAAGTTTTTCAAGGTAACATGATTAGGAAATTCCAACTGTCAATTTCCTCGTCTGGTAAGCGATGCTATGATTGGTCGCATGAAAGGTCGTTCTGACATGACCAGTAGGGGGAAGCCCTCAGATCTTTGTTTTGCGGTAATGAGGACTACGATTCGGTTTTCTTGCGATTGGCAACGTCTTGACATCTATGTTAGAGTTTTTCAAGTCTTGGCAGACTGTGTTTTATGTTTGAATTCACTACCCTGTCCAGAACTTGTTACATTTCAGTTACAACGCTGTGTATGTGACCAAGCTGTTGAGATAAGGGCCTTATAGTGGCAACATCACATTTTGACTTCTCATTCTATTTTAGACGCCTCCGTGGTCTTGTGGTAGAGCGTCCGCCCGGAGACCGCCTCCGTGGTCTTGTGGTAGAGCGTCCGCCCGGAGACCGCCTCCGTGGTCTGGTGGTAGAGCGTCCGCCCGGAGACCGCCTCCGTGGTCTGGTGGTAGAGCGTCCGCCCGGAGACCGCCTCCGTGGTCTTGTGGTAGAGCGTCCGCCCGGAGACCGCCTCCGTGGTCTTGTGGTAGAGTGTCCGCCCGGAGACCGCCTCCGTGGTCTGGTGGTAGAGCGTCCGCCCGGAGACCGCCTCCGTGGTCTTGTGGTAGAGCGTCCGCCCGGAGACCGCCTCCATGGTCTTGTGGTAGAGCGTCCGCCCGGAGACCGCCTCCGTGGTCTTGTGGTAGAGCGTCCGCCCGGAGACCGCCTCCGTGGTCTTGTGGTAGAGCGTCCGCCCGGAGACCGCCTCCGTGGTCTTGTGGTAGAGCGTCCGCCCGGAGACCGCCTCCGTGGTCTTGTGGTAGAGCGTCCGCCCGGAGACCGCCTCCGTGGTCTTGTGGTAGAGCGTCCGCCCGGAGACCGCCTCCGTGGTCTAGTGGTAGAGCGTCCGCCCGGAGACCGCCTCCGTGGTCTTGTGGTAGAGCGTCCGCCCGGAGAGCCGAAGGTCCAGGGTTTGATCCCGGGCCGCGTCATACAAAAAGACGTTAAAAGATTGTACTTGTTGTTACCCTGTCTGGCGCTCGGCATTAAGGGGCTAAAACAAGGACTGGTCGGCTCGGAGTCAGTATACTGTGTCTGAGTGGGGTATTCATGTTAAACTGCGGCATGGTATCTCAGTGAGCTAGCACTATAAATCGGCATCAGTCCGGACTAGTACAAGCAGCCACACACACACATACACGTGCATGCACGTCGCTATATAAGTGCAATAATCTTGGACGCGACGTTAAACCCAATTTCACCTCACCTCACCTCACCTCACCTCACCTCACCTCACCTCACCTCACCTCACCTCACCTCATTGTATCTAAGACTACAGGACCCTGGGGACACAAAAATACCATTCACAAGCTTCAATTTCTATTTATGACAGAGACACATGGCATCAAACATTTAGACTCATTTTCTGCCAAGTCCCATTTTCAGACTTATATAGAGGATTCATCATGAGTGTTTTTTTAATATGAGAAATATCAACCGAGTCTTAGTTAATCGGTATTTGCCGAGCCTTTGGCGAGGCAAATACCGATTAACGGGACGAGGTTGATATTTCCCATATTAAAAAACACGAGTGATGAATTCTATTTATCATTTTCACATTTTTGCTTCCAAATTAAGGAATAATTGCATTAAACATTAACATCAGCAACTTGTCGAAATCTTATGTATAGATCGTGCGTAGTGATACATGTTTTCCATAGCCATGTAAACCAAAATAAACAATTCGCTGAGAAAAAAAGTTCCTCGGATTATTTTAAACAAAATACTTGAACAGACTTTTGCAGAATAATTGAAACTTTAATAACGGTAACAACAACGATTCTGTGTAATCTGATTATATCTCTGGTGTAACTTCACTTATAATATATAGTTTCAAATCAAACCGCTCGCTCTTCCGGTTATCTAATTTGCATACTTATGTCATTGGGGTATGACATACATGTTTTTATGTCATAAGCTTATGTCATGGATAAATGCTTAAGTTAAATGATAAAACTGTTTATGTAATGACTATTGTTTTTAGAATTAATGTCTGATTAATTTATGAACTAATGAGAGAAAGATACGATATTTTTGTACAGTCGGGACACATGGTGATTTTTATGGAAGTAAGTTGACATCAAATGTCTTTCTTTATGATGTCACAGCACAGTTGTATCCTAGCAACCATAAGGTGCCTTTGCTCCTGGTGGGTCTATTATGACTTGTATCCCTGACTTGTATCCCTGACTTGTATCCCTGATCCGCTTGTTTAGAGTGTCAACCGTGGCAAGTGGAGGAACACACCCGTGGCAGTCAAGGTCATGAAGTGTGGCACCATGTCGGAAGAATCATTTGTGGAGGAAGCCAAAACAATGACGTACGTGTGATACAGAACTACTTGTACAGGAGGTTGGTTTGTTGTTTAACGCCGCACTCAGCAATATTCCAGCTATATGACGGTGGTCTGTAAATGATTGAGTCTGGACCAGACAATCCAGTGATTGACATCATGACCATCAATCCACGCATTTGAGATCGATGACATGCATCAACCAAATCGAGCCTGCTGACCCGATCCCGTTAGTAGTATAGGTAATGGGGGTTCTGGCTCACTTCCACTGGAGCTTTTACAGAAGGATCCAGTGGGAATTCAAGTCCTAAGACTTGATCAGGGGATTAGGTTGTAAGTTATTACATGGGGGTTGTACATTGATGGATGGCCAGGTACTCCACCGAACAGCTTGACTTGTCTCGTATACTATTTCTGATTATGTAAAGGATGATACACGCCTCCTCAGTTTTGGTTGAAAATGTAAAATCGTGAGCGAGGGAAAAGCTTGTTTTACCCTTTTTTTTAAAACCAAAACCGAGGAGACGTGCTTTATCCAACTTCTGAACCGCCTAAATGCAAAAAATACCAGAAAATATAAGAACACATCGACATACCTTATAGTGAAACAATACAGTGTATTGTACTATAAAAGGAATTCGCTCAAAGCGTGCGGGAGAAAAAACATGTGCAGCATGGACTAGCTGGTGTCATGACATAATAAACTGAACAAATTCTCATCACCTGCCCTTGTAGCTCAGTGGGAAAACAGTGGATTACAAAACATAACACGTTATGGAATTTTCATGTTAAAATAAATTTGACTTTTAACCAATCATCAAACACAATTGTGTACATATCAAGAGGCAATTTTATAGAACATTAATTGTAAAACCTTGGTATTCAATTGAAATGTATTCATCAGGTCCCGGGCATTCCACCAGAACGCCCTGAGCATGGTTCATATTGCCTGCCTTGGAGGTTTACCTTCTGTCACTGTAGTGTGACGTCATCAGAGGTTTATAAGTTATTATTGAAGCCTGCCAAAGGATGACACAGTGCTCCAGCCAGACTGAGGGATAAAAGCTACAAATGAGAAATCATGGGTCAAATATCAGGCAATCAATGGTGAATGGTTTAATGTAAATAAATATGTTTGAAACATATGATGTCCTACCTACTACCAATGTTAAGACAAGTGTAGTCTGCTTCTTTGAGGCATTTAGAAGGTGGAGTATCAATCAAGGATAAGATATATGGATGAACAACTTCTTTATTACAATTAGGAGCAGTGTTTCAGTGTTGACCATTAGAACCTACACCAAACGTCGCGCCTTATTGTAATAAAGAGGGGCGGTCGGGTAGCCTAGTGGTTAAAGCGTTCGCTCGTCATGCCGAAGACCCGGGTTCGATTCCCGACATGGGTACAATGTGTGAAGCCCATTTCTGGTGTCCCCCGCCGTGATATTGCTGGAATATTGCTAAAAGCGGCGTAAAACCATACTCAGTCAGTCAGTCAGTGTAATAAAGAAGTTGTTCATCTATATATCTTATCCTTACTTAAGTGTAGTCTGATTGAGTCTCCTGTTGTTTCTGCCACCTCGGACGCTGCTTGTGCCAGTAAGTACTGTTTGTTGCTCTGCAGCCAGCTGAACCATCCCAACTTGGTGCAGCTGTACGGCGTGGTGACCAAGGCCAAGCCTATTATGATTGTGGTGGAGCTCATGCGATTTGGTAGGTATCTGTGTTCACCTTGACCTTGGTATCTATAGATGAGGCGAAACCGCATTATCAGTGGTTCATATTGGGAAAGGGAGGTCACTCTAATTTCAAACGGGAGCTATCTCCGTTGTTTTCGTATTTGCGAGTAATGGCGTCACCCACGCTGTACGTTGTTGGTCCAGCTATTAAATGCCCAGCTTATCCCTAAGGTAAAACATATTCTTAATTAAATGTTTGAATGCATTATATATTTATATTTTGTAATATTGATGGGAAATATCTTTATAAATCATTTCGTGTGACGTTAATTCCACGAAAGGCACAAAAGTCTTTGAAGTTTGAATAACGTCATCATAGCTGACCACACTAGTTTTACAAAAATAGTTTCAAAGCAAGAAACTTAGATCTACTTCAAATTAAATTTACAGAGGCAATACCACTCATTCGACTTTTTCCAGTATAACACATCAATCTAATCATAAGTGTTGGTGGAGATATAAGCCAGAAAATATGTCTACACTTCATTTGATCTCAGACATTATACAAGCCTTAAATGTTTCCGAGAACTTGTTCCATAAAAGGAATAACTTATGAATATTAATGACCCCACGACCTAGTTTGGCCATGTTCGTAGAAGTGAGTTCTGAGGTATTGCAATCGCATTTGTCTGTTGCCTGTCTGGTCTGTTCCCTGTCTGGTCTGTCCCCTGTCTGTTCCCTGTCTGTTCCCTGTCTGTCCCCTGTCTGTTCCCTGTCTGGTCTGTCCCCTGTCTGTTCCCTGTCTGTTCCCTGTCTGTCCCCTGTCTGTTCCCTGTCTGTCCCCTGTTTGTTCCCTGTCTAGTCTGTTCCCTGCCTGGTCTGTTCCCTGTCTAGTCTGTTCCCTGTCTGGTCTGTTCCCTGTCTGGTCTGTTCCCTGTCTGGTCTGTTCCCTGTCTGTTCCCTGTCTGGTCTGTTCCCTGTCTAGTCTGTTCCCTGTCTAGTCTGTTCCCTGTCTAGTCTGTTCCCTGTCTAGTCTGTCCCCTGTCTGGTCTGTTCCCTGTCTGTTCCCTGTCTAGTCTGTTCCCTGTCTAGTCTGTTCCCTGTCTGTTCCCTGTCTAGTCTGTTCCCTGTCTGGTCTGTTCCCTGTCTAGTCTGTTCCCTGTCTAGTCTGTTCCCTGTCTAGTCTGTTCCCTGTCTGGTCTGTTCCCTGTCTAGTCTGTTCCCTGTCTAGTCTGTCCCCTGTCTGGTCTGTTCCCTGTCTGTTCCCTGTCTAGTCTGTTCCCTGTCTAGTCTGTTCCCTGACTGGTCTGTCCCCTGTCTGTCCCCTGTCTGTTCCCTGTCTAGTCTGTTCCCTGTCTAGTCTGTTCCCTGTCTGGTCTGTTCCCTGTCTGGTCTGTCCCCTGTCTGTTCCCTGTCTGGTCTGTCCCCTGTCTAGTCTGTTCCCTGTCTGTTCCCTTTCTAGTCTGTCCCCTGTCTGTTCCCTGTCTAGTCTGTTCCCTGTCTAGTCTGTCCCCTGTCTGTTCCCTGTCTGGTCTGTTCCCTGTCTGTTCCCTGTCTGGTCTGTTCCCTGTCTGGTCTGTTCCCTGTCTGTTCCCTGTCTGGTCTGTTCCCTGTCTGTCCCCTGTCTGTTCCCTGTCTGGTCTGTTCCCTGTCTGTTCCCTGTCTGGTCTGTTCCCAGTCTGGTCTGTCCCCTGTCTGGTCTGTTCCCTGTCTGGTCTGTTCCCTGTTTGTTCCCTGTCTAGTCTGTTCCCTGTCTGGTCTGCTCTCTGTCTGTTCCCTGCCTGGTCTGTTCCCTGACTGTTCCCTGTCTGGTCTGTTCCCTGTCTGGTCTGTTCCCTGTCTGGTCTGTTCCCTGTCTGTCCCCTGTCTGTTCCCTGTCTAGTCTGTCCCCTGTCTGTCCCCTGTCTGTTCTCTGTCTGGTCTGTTCCCTGTCTGTCCCGTCTGTTCCCTGTCTGGTCTGTTCCCTGTCTGTCCCCTGTCTGTTCCCTGTCTGGTCTGTTCCCTGTCTGGTCTGTTCCCTGTCTGTCCCCTGTCTGTTCCCTGTCTGGTCTGTCCCCTGTCTGTTCCCTGTCTGGTCTGTTCCCTGTCTGTTCCCTGTCTGGTCTGTTCCCTGTCTGGTCTGTTCCCTGTCTGTTCCCTGTCTGGTCTGTTCCCTGTCTGTTCTGTTCTCTGTCTGTTTCCTGTCTGTTCCCTGTCTGTCCCCAGTCTGTTCCCTGTCTGTTCTGTTCCCTGTCTGTTCTGTTCCCTGTCTGTCCCCTGTCTGTTCCCTGTCTGGTCTGTTCCCTGTCTGTCCCGTCTGTTCCCTGTCTGGTCTGTTCCCTGTCTGTTCCCTGTCTGGTCTGTTCCCTGTCTGGTCTGTTCCCTGTCTGGTCTGTTCCCTGTCTGTCCCCTGTCTGTTCCCTGTCTGGTCTGTCCCCTGTCTGTTCCCTGTCTGTTCTGTTCCCTGTCTGTTCCCTGTCTGGTCTGTTCCCTGTCTGGTCTGTTCCCTGTCTGTCCCCTGTCTGGTCTGTTCCCTGTCTGGTCTGTTCCCTGTCTGGTCTGTTCCCTGTCTGTTCCCTGTCTAGTCTGTTCCCTGACTGTTCCCTGTCTGGTCTGTTCCCTATCTGGTCTGTTCCCTGCCTGGTCTGTTCCCTGCCTGGTCTGTTCCCTGTCTGGTCTGTCCCCTGTCTGGTCTGTTCCCTGTCTGGTCTGTTCCCTGACTGTTCCCTGTCTGGTCTGTTCCCTGTCTGGTCTGTTCCCTGACTGTTCCCTGTCTGTTCCCTGTCTGGTCTGTTCCCTGTCTGGTCTGTTCCCTGACTGTTCCCTGTCTGGTCTGCTCTCTGTCTGTTCCCTGTCTGTTCTGTTCCCTGTCTGGTCTGTTCCCTGTCTGGTCTGTTCCCTGTCTGGTCTGTTCGCCAACTGTTGTGTTTATGGAGACTTGTGTCTGCAGGTGCACTGAACAACTACCTGGCCCGCCACAAGAACCGCCTGCTGCAGCAGCCCATGACGCTCCTGGAGTTCTGCATCCAGGTGTGCAAGGGCATGTGCTACCTAGAACAACGCAAGTTCATCCATCGAGATCTGGCCGCCAGGAACTGCCTCGTCGGACAGGACCATGTAGTCAAAGTAGCAGACTTCGGTTTAGCCAGGTGAGCTTTGTCTTAAAGAGGGTGAAGGTCCCTAACTGCTATCAAGGGTAAGCCTCCAACTGTATACAACCAGGGACAGCAATACGTTTACTGGTCAAAGGGCAGCATTTCCTTCTCTTCCAAAGTGATGGGTTCACATGTGGAATTGTCACTATTTAGTCTGTTTATCCAAGGCCGTCGTTAACTTTTTTTGACAGGGTCGGGGGATGGGGGGGCAAATATTTGTACAAGAATCACTTGTCCCCGGCTGGCTACGGCACTGCTATCAAACATCATTCAACATAAATGAACCAGAAACATGAGCCGGCTATATTGAGGATTGGGAGGTCACAATGTCTGACCTAGCTAATTGATATTGTGTCATTGTATCACCAATCAGAAATACATGTTGATGTAATTATACACGACCTCACCTATACTTCTGTGTTGTCAGATATGTAATTGATGATGAGTACACGACCTCATCTATACTTCTGTGTTGTCAGATATGTAATTGATGATGAGTACACGACCTCATCTATACTTCTGTGTTGTCAGATATGTAATTGATGATGAGTACACGACCTCACCTATACTTCTGTGTTGTCAGATATGTAATTGATGATGAGTACAGGACCTCACCTATACCTCTGTGTTGTCAGATATGTAATTGATGATGAGTACACGACCTCACCTATACTTCTGTGTTGGCAGATATGTAATTGATGATGAGTACACCAGCTCGGCAGGGACCAAGTTTCCAGTCAAGTGGGCTCCCCCAGAAGTCCTCAGCTACACCCGTTTCAGCAGCAAGTCTGATGTCTGGGCCTTTGGTATGTAGTGTAGCTCTCTGTTTGTCTTTCATTCTATGCATAGCTCTCTGTGTGACTTTTTACCGTATGTGTAGCAGGTTATCGTTGGTTTGTACACATGCATGATGCTGATAACAAGGCCCCTACTTACTGAGCTGTTTAGGCCACTGGGCCTAGATTTTCAAACGATCTTAGCCCTAAAATTATCGTAAAGTTATCATAAGGAAATTGTAGGCTATTGTAGCCTTTTTTCAAAAATATCGTAGCCCGAAGATATCTTAAGTTTGTCGTAAATCTAAGATAGCCCTATACCTGTCGTAAGTTTAGTGTATGTTCATCCAAGATGGCGGCATACTTTGCTCTGGACATTTTCATGATGAAGATAGCAATGATTTGATGACAAGACCGAGGATATTCCGAGACAGAACTCGTCGCCGCGATACGCTTGACGACTTCGAGCTATTCTCCCGCTACAGATAGGTGTCATAGCTCTGAGCGATCTGCAACAGTTTACAATTGTTTCGAAAATCTATCTTATCTTAGCCTTAAGATATCAAATCTTTGAACGTAAGTAGTAAAGATTTATCTTAGCTAAGATCGTTTCAAAAATCTAGGCCCTGGTTGTGTGCACCCACGTTTGTAAGAAACTCCTGCATCCACATCTGATATGATTTCAGTGCTTACAGAACGTCACAAGGTCTTGGAGTTCAAGTACGCTAGATTTCCCTGTATCGTATATGACCGCGGATAAGCCGACCCCGTAGATTAGCCGAGGTGTTAACTTGACCTGTGAAATACGAAAGAAAATGATATGACCCGCAGATTAGCCGAACCAGGATTTGAAAGTCAAAAAACACTGCGAAGTCGGACTGCAAGACGTGCCGGTACTCGCAGATATTCAAAAATATAAGATGAAAAACGTTGTAATTATATTGAAAAAATCATTATTATTTCTAATACAGATTTAACAAACCAGTCATCTGGTAAGCTGTTTCTCTTGTTTTTTAAAAATCTCATAATGATTGTTATATGTTGCCATCAACAACGAAGCGCCATTTTGCGAATTGAATAACTCGCCGATACAGTTGTTTATTTGCCTCTTTCAATAAAGGTAGGCACTTGTTCACTATCAATTTATGAACTTTGCAAAACGTACGTTATAGCTATTGGCGATTTCATCTGGGGATTATATATTATAGCTGTGAATTACATATATTGTTAGATATCTACATGTAAAGATTGTGAAGTTTATGAAGAACGATAATCTTTGAACATTCAATTGAAAACTTATTATCGGGAGTAGTAACATGCATAACATTTTTTTAATAATGACAACATTGGTGTATAATAATAACTTTATTGATAATTTTATAACAATAATGGCTCTAGTCGTGGCAACTTCCAAACTTTCGGGAAGTTGTAATCTATCGGCCCGTCATTCAGGCGATGTTTCTGACAGATCACGATCTGAAAAATACTATCATGAAAGTGTATCCCATGGATAAGTCGACCCCTTTCTACAGAATCTTTTTTCTGGTCCTCAAAATTTGGCTTATACGCGGTCATATACGGTAGTTAGGAATGTATTAATTCTCCTGATTACAGCTTGAGATCCACAGTGAGTTGTGTGGAATTGGCTGTGGTATCATGAGCCTTGTATGAGTGTAGGAGATATCAAGGACTGGTGCATTGTGGGTAATGTGATGTGGGTGAGGCAGTTCTCTCGTGTACTCTTGAATGTCATATTAATCTCAATCATGTGGTATGTACATGCTAGGCTGTGGTCTAAATCAATATGTGTCATTCCCAGACGTATTTGAATCATCTGCTCATCGTGTTGCAGGTGTGTTGATGTGGGAGGTGTTCAGCGGTGGGGAGATGCCGTACAGCGGCATGAAGAACCTTGACGTGGTGGACTACGTCATCACCTCCAACCGCCGTCTGCAGAAGCCGATGATGTGCCCGGAGCTCATGTTCAAGGTCATGATGCACTGCTGGGAAGCGGTACGTCCGTCATGAACAGTCATGATTATAACGTTTACTTTACATTACTAGTGGGGGGGATGCAGGTGGCCTAGTAGTCTTAGGTGCTGTAATTCACTGGCAGAGTTTTGTCCCTTGGGCATTTAGACATTTATTAAATGAGCTGAATGTCAGACATAGCTATTTCTCAAAGATACATGGATGTTCTGACTTTGTGAAATTGAAAGGGTCATGCTAACCGTTTTTGCATGTGCATATATATATACCACAAAAAATTATCTTTTAGAGTGATGAATCTTTGATTAATGCTGCCATTTTAATATGGATAAACTTCTCATTTGCAGAAACCTGAACGCCGACCAGGTTTTCCTGACTTACATCAGCGCCTGAGCGGCCTTGCAGATGGCGGGGACTACCCCCTGGTATAATTTACCCTACTTAGCACTTGCAACAATAGTGTTACTGCTGACTGCGTGACGAGGCCGTGACATGAAATACACCATGAAGTGTTGAAGGAAGCGATGTCCGAAGACCTAAGGGTTCCACATCTACCTTCCTGGAGACAACGTCCGGAACATGATCGTATAGAAGTTCACATTTCGTATGCATGTACAGTGCCTGTCCACTAGCCAAGCTTACTCAACAAGCAAAACACACCACCCTAGTATTATACAGCTAAGCTGTTGTCTGCTCATTGGTTTGAACCTGTTGTCATAGTTATGGTTACAAGGCAACAGACTTATAAGCTTTTGCCCTGAATGTAGCATTTGTTGTTCAGGGGAGATACTTTGGATAAATATGCACTATTCAATATCGTCATCGAATATATATATATATATACAATATGCAATGGTACTTGGTACTTATTTTCTTATGTCCAATTCCAGTTTTCTGTAAAGAACAATCATTATGCTTTGATTTGGCTCTTTGATCGATATTAACAGATCTGTTGCCACATTGCAGTAAACCATTCTTGAGTGGAAATCATGGATGGATAGCATATACATTTGAACCATGATACGTATATAGTAAGGTTCTCAACCATATATTTTGAGGTAAAGGATTATATTTTTTATAAATTGACCTCATCATTCCAAGTGAGGCAGTGTGCTTGGTGACTTGTGGGAATAGATGTGCATAGCAATACTAGGTCCGAACTAGAACCCTCATTATTGAGGTGTATAGGTTCCTCTTCCCAAATAGCCTTGGGATAAGTGAGTGAGGGTGTTGAGTTTAACACTGCAATAAGTAATATTCCAACCAGATCCAAGCATGGACACCAGGAACAGGCTTCACATATTGTACCCATGTGGGGATCAAACCTGGCATACCGAGCAACACTTTAACCACTGGACTACCCTGTCCAACTAGCCCAGGAATAAACTATAGGATGTCTATAGTAAGCATTGGAACCAATGGGTGTCCTCTTATGAATAATGTAAGGAAGTAAAACAGTTTGCCGGTTATGCCTAACAATCAAAATATGTTTGTTTTCATTTTAGTTTAAATAGTATTGACCAAGATACTTTAGCCCAACAGTAACAACCAAACCTAATTTTATGGATATCGTCAAACGACAAATGGATGCGCAGAGTTACTTCCCTTCTCTAAGTTTCAGAACATGTTCAGTTGTAGATTATATTAAGAGGGGCAGCACTATTTTTGGTTGCCAATGTTGTCATCCCAGGGATAGATGTGATGAGTAGAAGACGAGGCCACTAGGGTTACCATAGTAACAGGGTCGAGATGTTAGAATTGTGTACAATGTTCGAGATGACAAGCTGTCAGTGTTTTAGGAAAATAGCACTGAACCTGCATGGATCATTGAATTTCTCATTGTAAAAGTTCACTTTTCCAAATATTTTATACTTATACTATGTATTATACTTCTAAGCCAGCAGTGTATGTTATCAAAGCTTTAGTGCTATTGCCATTCTTTGATGTGGTAAATTAGATAAAAGAAGTATACTTCGTGGACATGAGTCCAGATTAGGTTGTCCTGTCTACTTTGATGCCCATATTTTATAATTTGAAATGTCTGTGGCAGATCCAGAGGGGGACTTCTGCTAGTGGCCACGCTGCCTGCCCTTTTTGTAAATGTAAAAGAAAGAAAAAAGAAGAAAAAGTCCCCTACCATGTTGATTTGGTTGTTAAGTTAAAATTATTCAAACCCTGGATCCGCCCCTGAATGTTCAGCCTTTATGTTTAAAATCTGATTTTATTTCAATCTAGAAATATGATTTAGGCTTAAAAAAATAATAGTCTTGGTTCTCAGGCACCGCCCGCATCATCATAAAGTTTGCCGTATGATTCGGTTTTTTATTTCCATTTTTAAAAAACAAACAAAAGAATCCTTAATTATTCCATGTCGAACGGTAGTCTAAAAATTGTATTCCAGTATTTTACTCATCAAGGAATACATTTTGTAGGGAGGCCCTTTCCCGGGTTCATTGTACACAACTGTTTATTTGGTTACATACTAATTTGAACAACACCAAAACCAAAAAAAGACTCCGCCCGCCCACACTATATTTTCAAAAACCATTGCCTGAGAACCAATTGTTTTATTTTTTTAAGCCTTACTATTAATTTCATTAATATGCGTCTCAAGAATGTGATTTTGTCTTTATTCATGTTGAATATCGTCAGTTTACATTCAAATGTATAGTGTTTATTTCAGTGTAGCATTTAGAAACCAAGCTACTGGATAGCTGTCAGATAAAATGTCAAGTTCCGTGCTTGTATTGCTTTAGTGCTGTGTCCAATGAGCTGTTTGTTCTGAGGAAGTATTTATTTCATTTGTCTTTGTGTGTTGGTTCACCACAACGAAAACACACTGCATGTGCCCTTCAGTCGTCTCTGTGCTGCTTTAGTCAGTCACTTGGTGAAGTAGGCTCTGTTGTAGAGATGACAGACCCGATGGCCTCTCCCCAACCAGACAAATAGCCTCTTCAAGGAGCCGAGCTCAGAGTTAGAGTGTAATGACTTTTTTTAGCCCTGAGTTGTGTGTCCCTTTTCTGGAGTTTGGTACAAAACAGTGGTGGGTAACTCTGGCCACACCTCAGAACAAGGGTAGGTAACTCTAGCCATACCTCACAACAAGGGCAGGTAAATCTAGTCATTCTTCAGAACAAGGTTGGGTAACTCTAAGCACCTATGTTTATGACAGAGCTACAGATAAGCAGCATATTTGCGTAAAAATACCCCCCAAAAATATTCAAAACCCAATTACTTTCAATTAACTTGCGTACAGAAATGCATGCATTAAGTGAAAACCTCAAATGTATAAAAATAGCTCGCGTAAATACCCACTGAGGATTTTTCAGCATGCGTACAAAGGAGCTAATTTCCAAAACACAATTACGAGCTAATTTACTTTTGGAGTCAAGCCTATATATTTAGAACAGTTATATACATCTAAAACATTATTCTTTTTTTTTTTAATCTTAAAATGTTCACTAATTTGGGGAAAAACCCAAAGAGTGATGAATAGATGAGTGACAAAATACTGTTTACCCAATGAAAATAGAAACCCTAGAGTAAAAACTCAATTTCTCTAAAAGTGATCTGGAGCTCTGTTATGATTCATGTTGTCATGTTTATTGGCCAGGTTTGGCTGGAAGATAAAGACATCTCATTATGACCATGTCAAGTTTGGTGAGGGAGTAACAATATGTGTGTGTGTGTGGAGGGTCACCAGGACTTGTCAAGCCTCGGTATTCCTGAAAACAAAATACATATGCCTTGCATTGTAGGAAATAAGAGTAATGTGCCCTTTTCTGGCAGACAGTGTGTCAAAAGAATCAGTTTGTTATATTTTTAAAAATTTCAATTTCAATTTCAATTTCAATTTCAATTTCAATTAAAACTTCAGCAAATCTGCCAGCCTTGGACCTACAGGCCGGTGTCTATTACCAATGCTGGTTATAATGAAAATCATCCTAAAAACCACAAGTTAACAGTAACTAATGTATTTTCCAGAAATTCATGTCAGAGTACCTTTTTTCACAATGATTTGACTTTGGTCATTTGAAATGAAAATTCAGCACATGAAAGAATTATGTTAGTAAGTATGATGCGTTCATGGCTTTAATGAATAGTTGAAACTCTGAACTCATCATTTGTATCTAGTAACATTTTTTTCACAATCACCCATGGACAGTAATGATTCATTATTTATTATCATCAGATGAAGATTATCTGCATCTTGTTTTCACTCATGTGAGGTTAACCTACTTTTAGTACCCAATGGTTTTCCACCATGTATACCACGGTAGAACCCTGCCAGTGTTATCACATCTGAGGAATACCTCTGTATAGTGCCCATGGTTGTAAAACCTGAGGTATAGCTCTATATAGTTTCCATGGTTATCACACATCTGTGGAATACCTCTATATAGTGCCCATGGTAGTAAAACCTGAGGTTTACCTCTATATAGTGCCCATGGTTGTAAAACCTGAGGTATAGCTCTATATAGTGCCCTTGGTTATCACACTGCTGAGGAATACCTCTATAGTGCCCATGGTTATCACACATCTGAGGTTAACCTCTGTATAGTGCCCATGGTTATAACACTGCTGAGGAATACCTCTATATAGTGCCCATGGTTATCACACATCTGAGGTTAACCTCTGTATAGTGCCCATGGTTATAACACTGCTGAGGAATACCTCTATATAGTGCCCATGGTTATAACACCTGAGATATACCTCTGTATAGTGCAAATGGTTATAACACCTGAGGTATAGGTCTGTATAGTGTCCATGGTTATAACACCTGAGGTATACCTCTATATAGTGCCCATGGTTTTAACACTGCTGAGGAATACCTCTATATAGTGCCCATGGTTATCACCACCTGATGAATACCTCCACATAGTGCTACGTATCACCCATGTGAGGAATACCTCTATGTAGTGCCCACCGTTATCACACATCTGAGGAATACCTCTATATAGTGCCCAGTGCATGTTAGCCACCTGAGGAATACCTCTATATAGTCCCCACCGTTATCACACATCTGAGGAATACCTCTATATAGTGCCCATAGTTATCACACATCCTAGGAATACCTCCACATAGTGCCAAGTTGTACAGCATGTTTATACCGCCTCTGCTATTTAATGTGCAATGATGCTGTAGATCTTGCAGTGCTGCTTGTTCCAAACATATTTGTCTGCTAATAGATTTACTGATGGTCATTTATTAAGCAACAGCTTACTCTGTCATCCAAGAACAGAATATTTTTATCCAGACCTTTTCTCTCCTTATGGAGCAGCATGCTCAATCTATGTGGGTTCAGTAACTTCCCACCATCGGCAAATATTTACATTTGCTTAGTGTTTGATCAGTATTGTGTCTCTGTTGCAGCAGACCTAACGTTTTTGTTTATAAGTTGAGGGGGTAAAAGATTATCTTAAAACTGGTTCTGTGACTTAACAAAAATGGGAGTGAAGGTAGAATGAATGAAAGAGTATGTTTTAGATTTTCTAGGCTATTATAGGCACAAAAACAAACAAAAAATGGCGAAGATTATACATAGCCTCAAATTTTGGGATAAAAAATATTAAGTGCTTGTTGATCTTGCAGTATTACTTTTTAGAAATGGGTCAGTCTTGTCATCCAGGATATATGTTTTCAGCCACACATACGCTTTAGTGTATATACTTTTGTCTGAAGCTGCCTTGAAAATATAATTGTACAGACTGAAAAGAATATGAGATCTGTCTCTTTTTGCCTGCAACACATATCTACGAAAGTATTGTAGTAACGGATAAATCACCAGTGCAAGGTATGGAATGATGAAGCATCCTTTTTTGTATGACTATCTGCTTCTCCAATCAAAATTAAGTAAGGTGTCAGGTGACTGGTCATGTGACTGGTCATGTGACTTGTTTGTTGTAGCATGAAGACTGATTCCAGAATGGGATGTGACCACAGTCATCCCGATCCTCACACCATTCCTCAGTATAACTTCCTGCAAAATCAACCAGACAATGGAGACTATTTTAGCCATAATATTGGTGTATTCATATACGATTTAATACCATTTCCTAATAATAAAGCATGATTTTTTTATTTTGTGAATAAATATTTTCAGTGTTTGAGGTCATCTGTTGTTTCTCTTTTACAAAGACTGGAAGATAGGGCGGGGACAAGTTGGAATATACTACCCGGGTACCCACCCCCCTGTTACCTGACCCTACCCGGGTACCCACGCCCCTGTTACCTGACTCTACCCAGGTACCCAACCCCCTGTTACCTGACCCTACCCGGGTACCCACCCCCCTGTTACCTGACCCTACCCAGGTACCCATTCCCTGTTACCTGACCCTACCCAGGTACCCACCCCCCTGTTACCTGACCCTACCCAGGTACCCCCCCCCCCCCCCCTGTTACCTGACCCTACCTGGGTACCTACCCCCCTGTATCTGACCCTACCCGGGTACCCACCCCCCTGTTACCTGACCCTACCCAGGTACCCATTCCCTGTTACCTGACCCTACCCAGGAACCCACCCCCCTGTTACCTGACCCTACCCAGGTACCCACCCCCCTGTTACCTGACCCTACCCAGGTACCCACCCCCCTGTTACCTGACCCTATCCAGGTACCCACCCCCCTGTTACCTGACCCTACCCAGGTACCCACCCCACTGTTACCTGACCCTACCCAGGTACCCACCCCCCTGTTACCTGAACCTACCCAGGTACCCACCCCCCTGTTACCTGACCCTACCTAGGTACCCACCCCCCTGTTACGTGACCCTACCCAGGTACCCACCCCCCTGTTACCTGACTCTACCCAGGTACCCACCCCCATTACCTGACCCTACCCAGGTACCCACCCCCCTGTTACCTGACCCTACCCAGGTACCCACCCCCCTGTTACCTGAACCTACCCAGGTACCCACCCCCTGTTACCTGACCCTACCCGGGTACCTACCCCCCTGTATCTGACCCTACCCAGGTACCCACCCCCCTGTTACCTGACCCTACCCAGGTACCCACCCCTGTTACCTGACCCTACCCAGGTACCCACCCCCCTGTTATCTGACCCTACTCAGGTACCCACCCCCCTGTTACCTGACCCTACCCAGGTACCCACCCCCCTGTTACCTGACCCTACCCAGGTACCCACCCCCCTGTTACCTGACCCTACCCAGGTACCCACCCCCCTGTTACCTGACCCTACCCGGGTACCTACCCCCCTGTATCTGACCCTACCCAGGTACCCACCCCCCTGTTACCTGACCCTACCCAGGTACCCACCCCTGTTACCTGACCCTACCCAGGTACCCACCCCCCTGTTATCTGACCCTACCCAGGTACCCACCCCCCTGTTACCTGACCCTACCCAGGTACCCACCCCCCTGTTACCTGACCCTACCCAGGTACCCACCCCCCTGTTACCTGACCCTACCCAGGTACCCACCCCCCTGTTACCTGAACCTACCCAGGTACCCACCCCCCTGTTACCTGACCCTACCCAGGTACCCACCCCCCTGTTACCTGAACCTACCCAGGTACCCACCCCCCTGTTACCTGACCCTACCCAGGTACCCACCCCCCTGTTACCTGACCCTACCCAGGTACCCGCCCCCCTGTTAACTGACCCTACCCAGTTACTCAGCGTAGGTCTCAAGAGTTGGTACAAAATGTCCGATTTGGAATTGATACATACAAAGTCCGTGATACATATAAAACAATCTGATCATGCATGCATTGAAGTTGACTGAAGTTTTATCTTTACTCAAAAGTAGGAAGTCAGAAAGAATGCTTGCATTGTCCGAAAGCTAGAAATGCAAACATAAGCAACTTTATTGTTATCGAAATTAAACAATACCGAATTTGACGTAATAAGCGCCCCGCTGTAATAAGCACCCATGGCGATATTTGCTTGTATATTGGCTAGTGAACAATCCAAATTAGCACTCTTTCGATTGATCAGTGTACACAAGATTATTTATTCATGTATAATACGCACTCGTGTGTTACATGCACCCTTGATTACGGGCAGTTAAATTCTGGATAAATGTGTCGTGAATAATACGCACAGACTTTTTTTGGTATCATTTCAGGCTGTTGGCATAAACCACGAAATTTACGATCTTTCAACTCTTTTACCAAAATTATATTCTAATAAGAGCCCCCTATTTCTAATTTTGAGAGCGCCCTTGGCGCTTATTACGTCGAATACGGTATATCATGTGACTAACTTCAGGTTAACTGTGGGTACCTGGGTCCTTCTCAGTACCCAGCCGTCCCAAGTACCTGAGTTACCTGTCCCAGCCCTACTGAAAGATATGAGTGAGTGAATAGTATTTCATACCACAATCAACAATATTACAAATATATCACAGCTGGGTTTTTTTGGTGGTTTTTGTGGTTTTTTGTTTCTCACTGCACTATATGGCAGTGGCCTGTAAGTAATCGAGCCAGGACCTGACAAGCCAGTGGTCGATAATATGGGCAACATCCCACACCAGTCGGGATGACACACAATTAACCAAGTCCCTTTGAGCAATTTTAGCTGTGGATCAGTATAAACCTCGAATCCCCACAGAGTAACAGCTTATTTATGATCAACTCTGGGCGGGACAGTGGAGCTTGGTAATGTGAGCATGGTGAACTCACTCCCTATTCTACCCTGAAATATGTGTGAAGCCCATTTCTGGTTTCCCCCGCCGTGATATTGCTGGAATATTGCTAAAAGCGGCGTTAAACCCAACTCACTCACTCACTCACTACCCTGAAATCCCAAAAGAGTAACAGCTTGTTTATGATCATCTTCCTGAGGCAAGAGAGGTAACTGACTATAAAAGTCCAGTTGCCGAACTAGGCTGGTATTATGGAGTTACATTTTGGCTGGACTAATGAGTCTATGCATACCGGTAGTCCAATCAAAATCTTGCACTGAAATAGAAATCTTGTTCATAAACTGTTGTACAGATTTTTTGTCGCTTGCAGGAATTGCAAAGCATGTGCACCGCCAACAGATATTTTCCAAATATTTTCATGTTTATAATCAAGGTGCTCACATGATTTGATGCACTTGGCGATATAAGACCCGTTTTATCACAATATAGATCTTGATTATCGATCAGATTGTCTTGACAGGGCGTCGCTGTTTTGTTTGAAGTAAATGCGAGTGATACTAGAGGTGGAAGTTGATTGGTCCATAGGAGAGGCATAGAAGGGACATAACTCGTAATAGCCACTGGTGGCGCTACAGTCGAGCCCAGGAATTCCAGCCTTGTTTGGCAAGAGTGGAAACTGGATTTATAAAGTCAGTTAACTCTCTTGCCTCGGGAAGATGATTTATGATCAACTCAGGGCCGGACAGTGGAGCTTGGTAATGTGAGCATGGTGTACTCACTCCCTATTCTACCCTGAAATCCCCACTGAGGTCTGACAGTGTTTGAAGTGCTTTGATTTTTTAATTTTGTTTACTGCTGTACTCTTTAGATAAACATGAGTTGCTGAAGACCAATTCTACGCCAGATCTTCACAGGTAACGCCGCTTTTGAACAGTATTTCAGTTAAATCACACAATGTCAGCTTAATGAGATAAAAAGCCACCCGTTATGCAAGTCCCACACGTTTACCACTAAGGTGAAATCCAAGTGCATGTGTATGGAAGCAACAGTCTAAGATTTAGGATCAGGGCAACTAGTGGAAGTGAACCTCCCATCTTCAGATTGTGACACAAGCTCCTCACAGCAACAGTCTAAGATTTAGGATCAGGGCAACTAGTGGAAGTGAACCACCCATCTTCAGATTGTGACACAAGCTCCTCACAGCAACAGCCCATTCAGGGAACTCTCTATATTGTGTTGCCGGGAGTGGCACGAAGGCATGCTGTGAGAAACTTGATTCTGGGACAGCTAAGGGATGCAACTCTGCACAGCAAATTGTGACAACTGTGACGACTTGGCCGCCAATGCCTCAAGTTATAAATAGTGTTTATTTGTGGTCTATCCCCACTCCGGAATATTCCAGTGATATGATGGCGGTCCGTAAATAATCAATTCTGGACCAGACAATCCAGTGACTGACATCATAAGCACAAATATACGCAATTGGGATACGATGACATGCATTAGTCAGCGAGTCTGACCACCCGATCCTGTTAGTCGCCTCTTACAACAAGCATAGTCACCTCTTACATTCTAACCTGGATCTTCACGGGTCTGTTGAATCGCTAGTTGAATTCAATGATGACAAAAAACATAACAATGTATTTAGTAAAAATATCTTTAATTGAGGAAATACCCCTACATTTCAACACACATGCATCAAATAGCCTTACACCCTAGATAACCTGCACATGAAATATTCCCCATCATCCATGACAGGGATTCACACACCGAATTAACACAAACATAAAGTATTGAGAAAAAGCCACCATACTTTCCGATAACACTTGGTTCCTTATTCAAGCTGTGAAACCACATCGTATTTCTGAACTTGGGTGTTTGCATTTATGATTTTGTGAATACTCCGCCAGCTGCGATGTACAATGGTTTTCGTGTCCTCGTAAAATGTATTCTTGTCACTTCAAATATTCCTAAAGTTTCTAATTGCTCAACATATTCAGTTTTAATGTTTTCTTAAAGGTGCATCCAAATTTGGTTAACATATTAAAACAAGTTTGTTACTAGGAGACATACACACTTACACAGAAGGTGACAATATGAGTTGATTATCTGCTTCTCTCAAGTAACGGCAGGTACTTTATTCCAAACCATGGGATAAACACATTATACAAATAATTACCTTTGACGAGGTCAGTATGTGACAACAAGGACCCGATGACCTGACCCGAGGTGGTCTGACCAGACCGAAACCACAGACCAAGGTCTGATCACACTGCCAAAGGGGTCGGGTCTGAGGGTCCTTGTTTTTGCATGTTGATCTCGTGAAGAGTAATCAAATCGAACTGTCATACCTAAATTCTCGTTAATGGTTATGAACCCTTTAAACTGTCCTCTGTTTGGTTACACCAAAGCCGTATATATCTACATTTGTTTACCGGAATTCGCTGAAGGGGTAGATCTAGATCTACGGTGTAATTTTGTTCTGTGCTTGACATTCGAATTTTGTTTTTTCAAAATACTGAATCCGCTAAGGGTGGGGTGCACATTATACATGGATGCACACTATACTCAAGAAAATACGGTATATATGTCTTTGATTACAGTAACTTAGCTGCGAAACGTGAAATGTTAGTACCAGACGCCATCTTGTTTTCTAGCAGACGAGTCAATATATCATGTGATAGGTCAATACTGATCATGTGACGAGTCAATATTCGAGGTCAGTGTCAATCATGATTTGGGGGGGGGGGGTCTCCACTGAAATGTATTGTTTCATCATGTGGTACCGAATAACCAATGGCATTGCAAGATTCTTAATAGAGGTATAACAAAGGTGACTTGAAATACATGATCACACGTTCAGTAGACATCCTTAAGACAAATACATGTACCCGAAACCTACAAGTTTTAAAACATCATTGCTGTGAGCTAAGTAGTTTCCATTAAAAGCATTTTAAAAGATTGTTGTTAAAAAAGTTACTTCTTTTAGTTTGCAGAGCGAGGGACTTGGGGTGCAATGGGTAGTATGATATATGTTTTTCTTTCTGAACATGTAAACATTTTTCTTTTCTTTTATTTTTGTGGGTGTGGGTGATGTCTAAAAAATGCTTAAAAAGGAACATACTCTCCAAGGAAGCACTTTTAACTATCATTTTCATGACACAGCATGTAACAGAAAACTGGATTTTTTTCAAGAAAGCTGAACAGGATGAATGTTTTTAGATTTTACAAATCTTTACTACGATATAAACAAATGTTATAGAGTAGATCAAACTCTGAATTACTTATGTTTTTTATCTATGGGATAACGTCTGGTAAACTATAATGAAGACAGATCTGTATAAATGATCTGCCATGACCCACACACGTTCACTCCTTGTATACATTAGTATCTGTGGCTGCTGATGTACGTGGCCACTCAATGTGTGACAGTCTGTGACTGGTGAAAGGTTACACGGAAAAGTACAAAACTGTCTTACACAAATGTTCCCAAATGAACTCTGGATAGTTGGATTTAGCTGAAGGTGTTTAGACCCACAAAAGCTTCTCAGAATCGTGTACACTTACAGTCTGTTTTGTTAGTTCAGTTCCACACTTGGCACCCTGGCAGAACCCCTTGATATCAATACGGTAATTATTTGAAATACTGTAGTCCGTTTTATCACCAAAGTAGAAAATATTTTGGCAGTGAGTGAACAAATATGGTTTTACTTCACGCTTGGTATTATTTCATTCACTTTGACAGTGGAGCATGCCAAGAATGGGCTTCATAATGGGTACATATTTGGGGAAAAAGATCTTGCTCTTAGCATGACATACACATGTCTTGACCACTAGTCTACCAAAAATAATGCAACCAGTGGTCAGAGGAATAACGTCAATAAAATTCAGCAACTGTCTTCATCAGAAACATGAATGCATCTTCTCTTCTCAATGTTTTGTTTTATATATAAAGATCGACACAATCCACAGAATCAGACATCTTGATGTGCTTCCTCCTTCGGAACTATTGAAACTTTGCAGAACTTGGCTGTTCTGACGGCGTTCTTGACGATGGCGATCTCCTGCACGCTGTCCGATATCTTCCCCAGGAGCTGACTCTGTAGTCGGTTCACCTCAGCCTGAAGCATCAGATGTAGAGAAATGATGTGAGTGTTCACGTCATACTATGTCTACGACACGAGTGTCTATATTCTGATATTTCCTGATCAAGACAAAGCAAAATACCGGAATTTAGGCATGAGTGTCGTAAACATGGTTGGTTGGTTGGTTGGTTGGTTGGTTTGTTGTTTAACGCCGTACTCAGCAATATTCCAGCTATATGACGGCAGTCTGTAAATAATCGAGTCTGGACCAGACAATCCAGTGATTAATATCATGATCATCGATCCACACAAATGGGATCGATGACATGCATCAACCAAGTCAGCGAGCCTGACCACCCGATCCCCTTAGTCGCCTTTTACGGCAAGCATGGGTTGCTGAAGACCTATTCTACCCCGGAATCTTCACGGGTCCGTAAACATGGTATGACATGAACATGAATATAATGTTCTATTTATTACTGAAGAAGATGTCTATGTACTGAGACAAATTTTAGTGTTAACCTATAAGGACAGCCAGTCACAACAGCAGCAGATCCACAATTTGTCGAATGACGTCAACAATCTTCAGCTATGACGTCGTTTCTAGTGTAACGTCATTCCAGCCTCACGTCACAATAAGTTTTGAATGACGTCAGCAATGCCTCCGGGTGACGGAAACAATACACTGTTGTGATGTGACCCTAGGACACACATAATGAGCCCCAATATGTTTTCCCTCGTAGGTAATAAATAGCATTATATCATGTGTCAGAGGTCCCATTTCATACTTCACCATGACACTTTCAAACCATAAACTATGACAATAATAAACTCAAATACAATGACTTTCATAAAATCATGAAACTCAAACACTGTCATCTGATCATTCTTAAAATCAAACATGTCATTCTTAAAACCAAACATAATGTCATTCTTAAAATCAAACAATGTCATTCTTAAACTCAAACGTAACATCATTCTTAAAATCAAACATGTCATTCCTAAAATCAAACATAATGTCATTTTTAAAATCGAACACAATGTCATCCTTAAAATCAATACTGGAAATGATAATTTTTTACCACACCAATTTTAATTTGATTTTAAAGATGGCCACTACAACAGTCTATTTAATAAATTCTCAAAACTGACAATCACCTCTTCCATCCTCCCTTTCTCTTTCAGTGTGATCTTCACATGTCTGCCTTTCTGCAGCGTCTCCTGCACATGTCTCAGTTTGACGCCTAGGTCGTGATCGGTTATCTTCACTGTTATCACAAACTCCTTTTCACCTGTCCTGCTTGACTTGACAGACTTGGTTTTCTTTGATTCTTTATAGAGCTCCTTCCCTGTCATAAGTTTAAAACATAACACTTTGTCCTGGTTGGGCCCCATGTCTACAAGCTTGAGACTTTCCTTGTGTGCCAGCTCCTCAGCCTGAGATACTGTCATCTTCCCAATCAGCATCCCTGTCATGTCAAACACCAAGACCTCATTGTCTGCTTTGAGGTCAGCTCGAGGTGCCGATACCTTCTTGGCCTGACAGCAACAAGTCCCAGACAGCTGCCGTGTCAGCTTCACCAAGCATGTCAGCTGATAGGATAGTCTCTGTTCTAGGAGGTGTCTAGCACCCTCTGGTCCGGCAGCACGGCAGGACATGCTTCTGGTTATTGGTAGTCTAGGATCAGGTGCCAGTTTGTGATAGGAGAGTCTTCTTTGAACATACCTGCACAATGACACTGCAAGCCTACAAATAATATAAAATAACATCATGTTAATAATGGAATATAAATTTGAATTATAGGCAACAATACTGAAACTCTCAGTCATCCTGCTTGAATTAGCCTGTATATAACCAGATGCTAAAAGTGACAGCGAACCAACAAACTGACAAGAATAGCACTCAAACAAGTCACACAAATGTTTATTATGAAAATGGGTTAATCAGCTTACATTGGAGATAATCTAATAATTTAAGTTGACAATACAAACGCACCTATCAAATTAACATGAAATCAAGGTTCACTTCAGTTTGTAAACATGGTGAAGCTTGTTCAGTGTCTTGATATATATATATCTCAGTGAAGCTTGTTCTCATTAATTTTAGGACTAAACTACACCAGTTACAAATTATTTTTGGACCAACAAAAATAACATGCATCTAGCTAAGCTTCAAAGACTCGTAAAATTTGTCTGTAGAGGTTTGTGTTTGAATATATTCCAAAACTTTTGCTTGGAATCTTTCTGTCCAGTCTAACAAGACTAAAGGCTACATGAAGAGGTTTATCAAGGACAAGTTTGAACCGCAACTTGAAAGTGAATGACTGAATGAACAAGGTTCCTTACGTCAGCACTTTGCAACACTGCACTTCCGGGCAGTTTTATTGTGCTCAACTGATGTTGCTTGCCTCTTTGATCATTGATTCAGCTTTGTCATGTCGAGTAGATAGGTGTTTTCTAACACTATCCTTAGCCCTTGAATCCATGTAAAGGACCAGTACGTCAGCGGTTCTGGGTGCTCTTAAATCATGCAATACGCCTCCCACAGCAAGGACAACGACCCAAGCGTTGCACAGAATAACTGGCTTCAGTTTTTATTAGAGGGAAATTGGAGAGAAACCTTGTGTGCTTTTCTTACTGATGAGTAACAACATACTAATTTGCGAGCTTGACTGGATTAGGAGCCAGTGCTTATCAAAGCCTAGATTACAATATAAATGACTGAGGTCATGTGACACCAATCACGTGGCAGAACACTCTCTTACCCAGATTTCCTACCAGCCAGTCTAGTACCTCTGTCAAGTTTTCATGTTTTTCACCAAAAACACATTTTCACCTTCTATTCACCAAATATTCTGCTTTCGTTTTGACCAGCAGATCACCACTTTGTGGCAACGGGAGTAATGCACTTTACAAGGTGCACTTTTTCGGAGTACAATTACTGCTGATTGGAGGATGGAACTCACTTTGCCAGCACGTCCTGAGTAGGACCTGGGTACCCACAAGGCTACCCTGACCCATGGTTTGTCGCATCATATATTGTTTAATGACCATAACAACAAAACTCCTTGGTCATGTTGGTGACACTACAAGTCGCTAATGTTCGCATTTCTTTCTGACTATGCATGCATTCTTTCTGACTTTTATCTGTGGGTATGTGTAAAGATAAATCTTCAGTCCCACAGCGCTAGGCCTAATTGGATCTGAAAAAGTGCGACCGGTAAAGTGCACTACTCCCCGTCCCAGCCCTAGATCCATGGTTAGATAATTAGCACTGTAGTAAGCTACATTGTTACCGCATGTCACTGTAGTTGTCAGATCCTACGTCACATTAGCTGCTGTGAAATCAGTGCACTGACACGGCCCGAGATTATTATTAATACTTTTTTGGTTTGTTTAATTTATTGCGATGAGTTATAGAGTCGTACAAGTATAAACTAGGACAGAAAAAACATTGCCCAACTCAAATCCGTTGACTGTCGTCAATGACACTACAGCGGCTAGACTAATATGCAAAATATAAATCGTTCAAGGACTTCAGAGACATCACAAGTACCTGTTCATGGACGCGGCCATTTTGACAATGCCAGTATGTCAGAAAATGTTCAATTTAGCTTTCGTAAATCAGTTTATGTCATTTAAGTATCTTCTTTCAAGGGGCTACATCAAAATCACTCATAATATATGTAGATGTAAGCAGATCCTTCGTACAAAATTTCTATAAGTTATAAATTCGAAGAAAGTATTGTTTCAATCAAGATACGAAAGTAAACAATTCCATAATTTCAAAATGGCCGAAGTTGCGGCAGTACCGGCGCCGGGAGCTGCACCGGCAGAAGACGATGAAACATGGCTTTATGGTGGTAAGTTGTCCTAGTTTAACCTGTCTCAAGTTTCTACGACATATAAATTGCATGATGCTCATTCGTTATTTTGTGTCCGATTCCAATTAATTACATGGGCCCATACCCAATATTTTTTAGCGTGCTGGATAACAAGACATGTGACACAACAAACCAACGAGAACGATAAGACAACAGAGAAAACATCCTGAATTTTCCTGTGAGAAATCATTATTGTAGGAACGTCTAACAATTTCTGACGGTTGTTTACGGTCGTATCCCTCGTGTCGATTATTAATGACAGCCATATATGTGATTTCTACTATTGACACATCGTTTTGAGTTTTGGACGAGCATATATCAACTTTCAGCAACATTCTCGTTTACAAGGCGCACCTCATATAGCGCTAATTGTCTCTGTCTGGCATGTCTGGCGCTCTACAAGGTGTAAGGTCATGTCTAGAGTGTAGGACCCCTTTGCGACTCTCGGGAAGGCAACCCCAAACTTTATCCTTAGCCTTTGGGCTCCCTTTACGATCCATAGGGTTTGTTCCCCTTTCCGATGAAACACCTATTTACAGTCCTTAGGGTTGGGCACAACTTGCAGATCAAGCCCCCTTTACGATCCTTAGGGTTAGTTGTCAGGTATGGTGTGGGTTAGCTATCTCTTTTAATGAATTCATCTAGTGTAATTTGAGGAAACAAAACAATTTGTATCAAATTTCACATTTCAAGAAAATATTAGCTACTGGGCATAAAGGTAAACAATCAGGTGATGATGACTTTGTAAATAAGTACTACTTATTTGTGACAGCGTCCATGGTAAGATGTTGGCTAATTAGATGAACTAGTTTGCTTAGCTTCAAACTTGCAACGTGACTCACTAATTGAAATCTGAAAAGGAGCGCCCAGTAAGTGCACTACAGCCAGAATTAATCAGGTACAATAATTTCTCTTTGGAAAACAGAAATGTTGAATCAAATTGAAACTTAAGCATGTTAAGAAATATCGGTGTGAACATCATGTTTTTGGGACAGTTGGTATTCTGCATTTGAGGTCTTTCCATTGAACATGTTGAACAGTCAACTGCAGTGGAGTGTGACACAGTGCACATGACCTATTATTGACTGTGCCGATTATGTGGATCAGCTTGTTCAGTTTTCAGTTTGTTTAACAGTACATAATGTACAGACAACTCAAGCAGTATAACCAGCTGATAATTGAGGTTATGAAGAGTGCATAACGAAAGGAATACATTTACAAATAAGTCTAACTTTCTTCTTGTTTTTTTACAGATGAAAACAAAGAACAGAAAGATCCTGAGAAGTAAGTATGGTTTGGTTTTCAGCGGTAGAAACTAACGGTTTTATTCCGCTAGTCCTTATGATATCATATATCAAACCCCTTAAACATGGCAAATTTCTACTAGTCCTTATGATGCCTTAACTTCTGGGCAGTTTGTCAAGGACTATATAGGACAAGTGCCAATTTCTAACACTGGTTTTGTAGAGTGGTGAGAAGTGCACTTCACGTTTAGGCCCTGAACTGCAGTGCATACCCCAGCTGTACAGATTCTGAGAGATGAATGGACATTGAATAGACTGAAATAGTCACAGAACTGAAATGATCTTTGACATTGTTAACCCTCTGGATGTCCAGTTAATTTTCTGACACTAATTTTTGTAAGATCTGAAAACTGAACGTTTATAGAGAATTGAGAACTCGCTGCATAGAAGTTCTTTCCACCTTAAGCTGACTATGTCATAATATAACTACATGTAATAAACTCTTCAAAGCGGACCAAGCTCACTTAGCTCTCACTCACTGACATTTAAGGTTTGATATATGAAATATCTGTGTGTTTGTTGCAGGGATGGCCAGAAGAAGAAAAAGAAAAGTGATGGAGATGGGTCCGAGAAACCAGAAGACAAGGAAGAAGGGGAGATGGTGAGTTGGGTCACGTGGTGGTTGTGTCCAAAATAAGGGATGTCTTGTGGGGGGGGGTGGAGGAGGGGCCCTTGAGGTTTTTGGCCATAGTACAACTTAAGGCATTTCATATCCGAGGACCCCTAGATTTGTTTACATTTACCTTTATGTCAAGCGGCGTGGACTTTCATCCTGAATTTCAAACAATTTTGGTCAAACAACTGCATTAGTCAGATATTAAAAAAAGTTATATTGATCATCTTGCTGGTTAGTTTTTTCCTTAAAAATCTATAAACACTCAACGAGTGCAGATTACATGTCATGAGAGACAGTTCAAACCTTCAAATTAGAATGTCAGGAGCACCCTTAGTCAAATTGGACAGAAGATTGTGGAACCTATTAAAGCCAGTGGAGTCAAGATACAATTCAGGAAAGTGCTAGAAGTAAGGTATTCTGTTTCTGAATAAGAGAGTAAACACACGTGATGTAAAACTTCTGTACTGTAAGTTAGGCTGAGTGAAATTATGATATACAATTGTGTTTGTCAGTTTATCACAAATTCATCAACATTTTTACTCCTACCCTTATCTGTGACTTCAGAGTGGTGAGGAAGAAGCACAGGCAAAGAATGATGACGACGATTCCGATGATGATGACAATGTCCAAGTCACCATCGGCGACATCAAACAGTGGACCGTCACAGAGTATGTTGTTGTTGATTCATCTGTCTTTATATTGTCCTTGAAGAAATGATAATTGATGGACCACATTTGTAATGTTATGCTGTAATCAAGGTTATTTAATAATAACTGATTAGGTTTAATTTGATTTTATATGGAAATATGACTTTCATGGTCACAGATGAGTGCTAAATGATATGTTTATTATGTAGAGTATTTAGCAATATTTAGTTTTCGCCTATGGAAGAGAAAATGGTTTTATTGATGGTTGCAATGGCAGTGGACTACCAAGACTGTGCTTAAACCTAAGTCTTGATTTAACTTTTTACCAGGTTTTCGTCTGCATTATGTTTTGAATCCTATGTGCCTAATCCATGTAGAAAAGAAGGCAGGATTAAATTTGTCTCATTATATTTTTATTTTGAAAAGATTTTGGGATAAAGAATTGTTTTGAAAGAATGACTTTTCTCTTCAAGTCTTTGAACAAATGTTGTTCAGACGTTGTTGAAGTATGACATGCTTGGTATTTATCAGAACTCCCCGGAACCTGTTTAAGAGTGGCAGCGGCTACCAAAAGCCTGGAGCAGGTGAGTAGCTACTTCCGTCTCTTAAATCCTCTTTCTCCATTATCTTGCTCACTGTTTTGACACAATAATCACTAGTTCAAAATACTGTTCCTATTTAGTTCTTTGAAAACATGTTCAGTTTTTTATCTTTCAAAACCATGATGTCACATGGATCCCCCCTGACTGTGATTGCAGGAGTGGCAGGAGCACAGAAGACGGTGGTGCCGGGGAAAGGGATGGATCTGGAAGCCCAGGGCACAGTCAATGGAGTTCCAACGTTTGAGTTTGATATTGACAGTCTCTCAGCTGAAGACAAACCCTGGAGAAACCCTGGTAAGAGTTCTTGTCCTTGTCTTGGAACTGTGCTGTTGATGTAACATGGAGTTTATCATGTCAGATATATGTGTCTGAAATGGCAGTGGATAAGTGACCTGGGTTTAGTGAAAGCCTGTTTGGTCTAGTATGTTCAGCAGGTCTAGTGAAAGCCTGTTTGGTCTAGTATGTTCAGCAGGTCTAGTGAAAGCCTGTTTGGTCAAGTATGTTCAGCAGGTCTAGTGAAAGCCTGTTTGGTCTAGTATGTTCAGCAGGTCTAGTGAAAGCCTGTTTGGTCTAGTATGTTCAGCAGGTCTAGTGAAAGCCTGTTTGGTCAAGTATGTTCAGCAGGTCTAGTGAAAGCCTGTTTGGTCTAGTATGTTCAGCAGGTCTAGTGAAAGCCTGTTTGGTCTAGTATGTTCAGCAGGTCTAGTGAAAGCCTGTTTGATCTAGTATGTTCAGCAGGTCTAGTGAAAGCCTGTTTGGTCTAGTATGTTCAGCAGGTCTAGTGAAAGCCTGTTTGGTTTAGTATGTTCAGCAGGCCTAGTTAAAGCCCGTTCAGTCTAGTATGTTCAGCAGGTCTAGTTAAAGCCTGTTCGGTCTTGTATGTTCAGCAGGTCTAGTAAAAGCCTGTTTGGTCTAGTATGTTCAGCAGGTCTAGTGAAGACCTGTTTGGTCTAGTATATTCAGCAGGTCTAGTGAAGACCTGTTTGTTCTAATTTTGTTCAGCAGGTCTAGTGAAAGCCTGTTTGGTCAAGTATGTTCAGCAGGTCTAGTGAAAGCCTGTTTGGTCTAGTATGTTCAGCAGGTCTAGTTAAAGCCTCTTCAGTCTAGTATGTTCAGCAGGTCTAGTTAAAGCCTGTTCGGTCTTGTATGTTCAGCAGGTCTAGTAAAAGCCTGTTTGGTCTAGTATGTTCAGCAGGTCTAGTGAAAGCCTGTTCAGTCTTGTATGTTCAGCAGGTCTATTGAAAGCCTGTTTGGTCTAGTATGTTCAGCAGGTCTAGTGAAAGCCTGTTTGGTCTAGTATGTTCAGCAGGTCTAGTGAAAGCCTGTTTGGTCTAGTATGTTCGGCAGGTCTATTTAAAGCCTGTTTGGTCTAGTATGTTCAACAGGTCTAGTGAAAGCCTGTTTGGTCTAGTATGTTCAGCAGGTCTAGTGAAAGCCTGTTTGGTCTAGTATGTTCGGCAGGTCTATTTAAAGCCTGTTTGGTCTAGTATGTTCAGCAGGTCTAGTGAACGCCTGTTTGGTCTAGTATGTTCAGCAGGTCTAGTGAAAGATTGTTTGGTCTAGTATGTTCAGCAGGTCTAGTGAAAGATTGTTTGGTCTAGTATGTTCAGCAGGTCTAGTTAAAGCCTGTTTGGTCTAGTATGTTCAGCAGGTCTAGTTAAAGCCTGTTTGGTCTAGAATGTTCAGCAGGACTAGTATGTTCAGCAGGTCTAGTTAATGCCTGTTTGGTCTAGTATGTTCAGTAGGGCTGCAATGAATACGCTATGAGGCGAATACGATTTGTATTATGAATATAGGGTAACAAATACAAATGTTTATTCACGAATACAGTAACAAGTTAGAAGTTGATGTGTTATTTGTTATATTCAGTGATAAATAACAACATAAATTATTTGACATGGTTGGTTAATTCTTAATATATTATGCATTTACATACTGCACTTATCCAGGTCCTAGCATCTGCTCAAATACGACAATGACCAGTGACCACAATACTATCAAATTAAATATATGAGTGTTGTCTTTAAAGAAATCTATGCATGTAATATGTTCTTATGGATATTTTAGGTATAGGGTATGTAAATGCACATGACTGCATATTTGTAAATATTTGATTCTTGTGACCACGAATAACAAATTCAATATGAATTGATATGGTTCGATTCACCGAATATGCCAGTGAATCGTAACAGCCCTAATGTTAAGATAATAATGTTCAAAATAATAACACTAAAAAAGGATTCAAATGACCCATGTTTGGTTATGAGGCTTTTAGCACAGACTGCAAAAACCACTTATAACATACATGCATCAGCGTACACATTGTCATCTCCCTGACCACGCCCAGGTGCTGACATAACTGACTACTTCAACTACGGCTTCAATGAGGATACCTGGCAGCAGTACTGCGAGAAACAGCGACGACTACGTCTGGAGAACGGCGTGCCCCTCCTCGGCAACAAGTCACAGGTAACATCATCAGGCTTGCTTCAGCCACAGTGATGATTCAGTAATACCTACTGTCAGCATGCCAATGTGGATAATATTATTATGGGATACTGTGCTATTACTGCATCATCTCAGAATGTGTGCCGATCTCTGAAGATCCGGGGTAGAACAGGTCTTCAGTAACCCATGCTTGCCATAAAAGGCGACTATGCTTGTCGTAAGAGGCGACTATTTGGATCAGGTGGTCAGGCTCGCTGACTTGGTTGATGCATGTCATCGTATCCCATTACGTGGATCAATACTCATGATGTCAATCACTGGATTGTCTGGTCCAGACTTGATTATTTACAGACTGTCGTCATGTAGCTGGAATATTGCTGAGTGCAGCGTTAAGCAAACAAACATAATGTGTGCCATACCCAAACCAGTGTTTCTTTTTTTCTACCATCTAAATGATAAACCTGATATGCAATAATTATTTTGAAAAAAACGGTAAACTTTGAGCTTCAGATTGCTTTTGTGGGTAAGGTAACACACTACTGGGGAAAAATAATGGGACAGGTGTTATAAAGATACAGGGCCAGTGGACCCATGTTGCTAAAAGGAGAGTTTTTTGACAGGGTTGATGGCCCCGGGACAATCTGAAACATAACTGATGTATCAAAGACAAAGATGATATCTTGTCTATCATACCTGAATCAACAAGCAGAAATTGGTCTGAATCAACAAGCAGATAATGGCATTCACATCAATAAAATTTAGAATTTTTACATTCATCATGTGAGACTATGAACTAATGCCTGACTGTGTTTGTGTCAGTGCAGTCAGTATATCAGAGGTAGACCTGTAGGTGTGCTGCGTGTTTCAGTCCAGGGACAGCCACTCCCACCACTCTCACCTTGGCTCTGGTCAACCCATCAGTCGCCTCGGGGACAAGGACTCGGGACAGACTGGATCCAGCATACGTAAGCTGCTGTACATGATAGTAATTCCACATACACTGGATCCGTCAAATCTAGACTGAATAATCCAGATCTCTATCTGATTTGCAGTCTCTAATTTACCATATTAACTGATCAAGTAAAATCTACCTAATCCCAATCTCAAGAAAACCAGATCTTAGTTCTTGCTACCGCTAAACAGAGATCTGAGGACATCCCATTAGGGGGCATGTCAGAATGACCTTTCATCCGACCAATCATCCGACCAGTCAGAGCGTCATTTACCAGATCATGAAAGTGACAGTCGGAATGGGATTTCTCATCATGCAACCTCAAAAACTTTAACACGGGGTATTCCGAACGATAGTTAAGAGTTTAACGACTGATTCCATACAATCTAGACCATCTATTAGCCATTCTAGAATGTTCTTTTGTTCAGGTTTCAAATTTTTAATCAAGAATTTGTCAAAATATGTTTCGAAGAATAGTGGCTAATTTGAAATTAGTGCCTTAAAGACAAGAAAACTGCCTTCTGGTTGGCTAATGTCGACTTCTTGTCAGTCATTCCATTGGTCAGTCAAAGTTCACGCAAGGTCGGTCTGACGTGATGCACAATGGGGTGTTCTCAGATCTTTGTTTAGCAGTAGCGAGAACCAAGATCTGATTTGAATGAGATTGACCTAATCCAGATTTCCATCACTTCCGGGCTGAAAGAACCTCGTGTTCTTCTCAACTGCCCTTAAAACTGTATGTCAGACATTGTTGATGGGACCTGGATGCTGCTTCATCTGGCTTGTCTTGTCCAGATTCCATCATATCAAAGCTGTACAAATGTAGCATTAATATTTCTGACTGGCATCAAATAACATTCACTCACTCCTTTTGATTGTGACTAATTCTTATCTGCCAAGCATGTGAGATTCGTAATGGTCTCTGACAATTAATTGAAACATTGTATGTCATGTTTAGAAGTATTCCTGATCAACCTTACCCATTACTTTGGTTTAGCTACAACAAGTTCACTAAGAAAAGCTCAGCCGCCCCCAAACAGAAAAATGGGAGGTACCATTGACGTGATTGGTAGCACAGTCCACGATTCCCGACGCCCAGGTCAAGGACCCACACCCAGCTCCATACCTGTCACAGGGGTCACTCCAGACTAGTAAGTTGCTCTGTTACGTAAACATATGTCTCTCTGCATAGTTCTGTACAGACCCGTGAAGATCCGGGGTAGAATAGGCCTTCAGCAACCCATGCTTGCCATAAAAGCTAAACGTGCTTGTTGTAAGAGGCGACTAACGGGATCGGGTGGTCAGGCTCGCTGACTTGGTTGATGCATGTCAGTTTATCCCAATTGCATGGATTGATACTCATGATGTCAATCACTGGATTGTCTGGTCCAGACACGATTATTTACAGACTGCCATCAAATTGCTGGAATATTGCTGAGTGTGGCGTTAAACAACAAACAAACAAAAGCTCTGTACACTTGTTAAGTGCTTGGACCACAGAACAGACAAGATTAGAACAATCTGTTGGAAAAGAAAATTTACTGATACCAAGATTGCATCCAAATAACATTTATCAGTGAAAGCTGAGTAGAAGTTGATGATTCTAATCTCATGTAACAGCTGAGTGATTTGTTCAATGGGTGCTCACCATTTGTTACAAGTTAATAAACCTTCTGATGACAGTACACCTTAAACAACAGTTTCGAGATCATAAGTACCAAATTTAGCTGAAAAACAAAGAGTCGACACATTAAGTTATATCAATTATTCCATGACGTGTATGGTATAAGAGAGTATATATGTGTGTAAATTGTTACCGTTGATTACTGGTTGCCAATAGAGGATGTCATGGCTCTGGGGGGGTGTTAGGATGAGGATGGGGTCACTCGCAGGAAACAGCCCGCCTCCCAGCTTTTGATCATGATGCATGAATCAGATAAGCCCCAATGGCCCTGAGACACTACAGCAGGGTTCACTCCAGGTATTTTCTGACATGGGCCCTTTATGTGAAAAGTTAATATATTCCAGAGGTACACCCACGCTTGCCCATACAGCACAATGTTAAAATGCCCCATTGTATTTGAAAATGTGGACCTTTTTTCAAATTTAAGGGGCTAAAAGCACAAGAGCCCACCCTAGAGTTATCCCTGCTACGGAATAGTTATAGGAGTATGTGTTGCATGTTGTATGCACATGCCAGATGTTGTTATTTGCCTGTGGCCTAATGAGAACTAGAGATAGATCAGTATAAGCATATGCATCACTAAGCTGGCTTTTTGACTTGGCTGATAGCTTTGTAGTGTGCCCGGATGCTTGGGAATTGTGCTTATGCTCTCAATCAGTGATTTGCCTGGGTGCCGTTGTACAAAGCGATCTTCGCGCTCAGATGATCGTAACTCCCATACCTTAACATAGCCAAGTGGTTAAAGCGTTGGCTCTTCATGCTGAAGACCTGGGTTCTATTCCCAACTTGGGTACTATGTGTGAAGCCCTTTTCTGGTGTCCCTTGCTGTGATATTGATGGAATATTGCTAAGAGGGACTACAACCATATGTACTCACTCACTCACTTACTCTAAGGTTGTTTTGTACAACGGCACCCTGGTCCAGATTAACCTTGACATGAGACAAACTTCACTCACTCACTGAATCTCTTTCATTTCTTTTCAGTCGCAAGTTCCAGCCCCCATCAGTACCTCCACCGGGGATGCCACCAATGATGCCCGACTACTCCATGCCCCCACCCGGGATGCCCCCACCCCTGGGGCTGCCCCCACCAGGTAAGTGAGGGTGACAGCTCTCCCAGCAGGAGCACTGCTTGGATTCTACACATGACATTTGCATGGAAATCCAATTGTGCCAATGCATTTCTGCATGGTATCAATGGTTATATTTTATCTTTGAAGAATATGTGGTAACTTTACTGGGTGTTTCATCCAAACAAGCTGTGGTAATTATAAGAGCAGAAGTAGAATCCACTTTCGTTATATGTCCTCATCCTAATTTTACTTATCAAGACTATAGGAGACTTGTGCCAGTTTCTAATGTTGAGTGGGGCATGAGAGGCCCAGTCGACTGAAGTGCTGAAATTCCCTTGTGCACTCCAGAAACTCATGACTGGGTTCGAAGCCAGGTTCACCCTGGATATGTTATCTAGAGGACTTGTACCACTCTCTGATGTAGAGTAATGAGTCTGTTTAAGATGTGTTAACTGTACATCTTAAACTTTGGTGATAATGTAATCCTCAGCTCCTGAGAGGGCACGGGTGGCCCAGTCGTCTAAGGCGCCGCGATTCGCTGTGCAGAGTTGTGTCCCTTGGGCACGCCAGAAAGCTATGATTGTGCGTTCGAATCCCGGTTCGCCCCGATTATGTTTCTAGGTTTGTCAGCACCATACCCGTGCTCGTGGGTTTCACCGAAGTAGTAAACGTCTTAGACCTGCATCACTTCGGGCTTTCCTCCCACATTAAGCTGACACGCCGTGATATAACTGGAATAATGTATATGTATAACAACTTCAATATTATTAAAGAAGTTGTTATCCATAAAAATTGTGATTCATTTAATCTATTGAAGATATTTCTATGAAATATCAATTGTGCCTTTTTTAATATCTGTGCTGCCTCTGTACCCAAGCTGTCTACATTGCAGGCGTGCCCCCTCCGCCAGGTGTCGCTGTACCTCTCCCGACACCCTATGGGTCCGAGCAGTATGATCGTGAGTTGTCCAGGATATAGATCGATGTAGATATCGGATGTAGATTTATTGATAAATGATAGCAGGAGCTGTATAACTGGTGTATGCAGTCAACTCCTTTCAAACAAAGTTTAACCAACAGGATTTAACGAATAGTTTGGAAATGTTAACTAATTTTTCCTTTCAGTTTTGTTTAAGCAAAACGTACATGTAATAAGACAATTCCTCATCCTCTACTAGTAGTAATTAACTGTCAGTGAAACAAACTGTGATATTACAAAATGATTCTGATAGTGTTTTGAATCATTAAATCAAAAGAGTTGTTTCAAGAATTGGCTACTTCTAGACTTGCAAATGCTATAGCCAGGTTAATTTTGTCATAATATTGAAGCAGTTATTAAAATCTGCATTGGTAAAGTAAACTAGATGTGTGGAGTTGATTGTAAGATGGCGAAAATGTGTTTGTAATCTGTGCATGAATGCTCAGTAGCAATATGACAACATGGTAGATCTGTGAAGATCTGGGGTAGAATAGGTCTTCAGCAACCCATTCTTGCCATAAATGGCGGCAATGCTTGTCGTAAGAGGCATCTAACAGGATCGGGTGGTCAGGCTGACTTGGTTGATGCACGTCATCGTACATGATGTCAATCACTGGATTGTCTGGTCCAGACTAGATGATTTACAGACCGCTGTCATATAGCTGGAATATTGCCGAGCGGTTCCCCTGGAAAGCTATTGCTGCAGTCCTGTTTGGAGTTGTGTCCAAGCTGGAATAATGTTAAAAGCGGCGTTAAACCCAACTTACTCACTCAAGGTATTTCTTCTTCAGCCTTCAGCCACCCCCCTCCGGGCTTCAACTATGAGAGCAACACCTTCACTCCAAGTTACACTGAAGGACATCACCAGAACTTCCAAAGGTAGGACATGTGGAGGGTATCCAAGGCAGAATAAATCCCCTTGTTGTCAGAAGTGTGTAGGAGAATAGGACCGGGAGCGACACTCGGCCATGATATGACTGACTGTGTGTCATTGTACATCCTTTTTTCAGAGTTGACATGTTAATCCTGCAGAGAAGTCCGACTATTATTATCCCCCGCCCCAACGAAGTTGGCGGGGGATATAGAAATGGGATCTGTCTGTGTGTGTGTGCATGTGTGCGTGTGTGCGTCCTGAAATCGTTTCCGGAGCATAACTCAGAAACCGTTAAATATTTCTCTACGAAACTGTGCATGTCTATCAGACTCATGCTGAACTGGTGCCTTTTGCTATTTAGGAATTTTCTAAAAAAAATTTTTTACGTTTCCATGGCAACAAGTTGGACTTAGGTTCTATAAGGGTGCTGTTCGTTTCCGGAGCGTAACTCAAAAACCATTAAATACTTTCTTACAAAACTTTGCATGTCTACTAGGCACATACTAAACTGGTGCCTTTTGCTATTTAGGATTTTTATAAATTTTTATTTTTTACGTTTCATTGGCAACAAGTTGGACTTAGGTTCTATGAGGGTGCTGTTAGTTTCCGGAGCGTAACTCAAAAACCGTTAAATAATTTCTTACAAAACTTTGCATGTTTACCAGACACATACTGAACTGGTGCCTTTTGCTATTTAGGAATTTTATATAAATTTTTATTTTTAATGTTTCCATTGCAACAAGTTGGACTTAGGTTCTATAGGGTAGAGTTGAACTGGTGCCTTTTGCTATTTAGGAATTTTATAAATTTTTATTTTTTACGTTTCCATGGCAACAAGTTGGACTTAGGTTCTATAAGGGTGCTGTTCGTTTCCGGAGCATAACTCAAAACCGATTCAATACTTTCAAGAAAAAACTTTGCATGTTTACCAGACACATACTGGACTGGTGCCTCTTGCTATTTAGGAATTTTAGAAATTTTTATTTTTCACGTTTCCATGGCAATAAGCATGATAAGTTGGACTTAGGTTCTACAGGGGTGGTGTTCGTTTCCAGAGCGTAACTCAAAAACCGTTAAATACTTTCTTACAAAACTCTGCATGTCTACCAGGCACATACTGAACTGGTGCCTTTTGATATATAGCACTTTTAGAATTTTTTATTGTTTATGTTTCCATGACAACAAGTTGGATTTTAGTTTTAATATAGGATTGGTTTACTTAAGGAGTATAACAAATAAACTGTTAAATATTTCCTTGCCAAACATTGCATGTCTATATATAAAGCACATACTGAACTAGTGCCATTTGATATTAAGGAGTTTTAGAAATGTTTATTTTAGAATTTCCATTGCAGCTATTTTGACATGGGCTAAGAAATGTTGGGTCAGTTACCTGGTTTGGGACCATAGTGTGTTAAAATAGGCGGGGGATATAGATGACTTTGTCAACTATACGCTTGTTCAGATGATGTAATGTTGTCAGTTTGTGATCTTGAACAAAGGATGTATGTTGACCTATCATACTGCTACCCATGAAGATCCAGGGTAGAACAAGTCAGCCCATGCTTGTCGTAAAAGGCGACTATGCTTATTTTGAAAGGCGACTATGCTTGTCATAAAAGGCGACTAACTGGATCAGGTGGTCAGGCTCGCTGACTTGGTCAATGCATGTCATCATATCCTAATTGCATGGATCGATGCTCATGACATCAATTACTAGATTGTCTGGTCCAGAATTGATTATTTACAGACCGCCGTCATATAGCTGGAATATTCTGGAGTGGGGATAAACAACAAACAAACAAACAAACCTATCATATTGCTCTGCACAATACAATGTTGTAGTCTTGTTTGTACCGGGTGGGGTAAACTAACACGAGTGGGAGGTGTCCTGCCAGGGGCCAGCTGCTGATGCTTTGCCAGTATGTTATTATCCACAAGTGGTGATGTGCAGTGCCACATGTCTGTCCTTCTCTGTGTCCTGGTTACATGGTTATGTATCTCACCTGCAGCTATGATGACCGATGGAAGTACAATTCTGACCGACATGCACGAGACCGGAGCCCAGAACCAGAGTTCGGAAGGTAAGAAAATTAGGAAAACTGACTTATCCTTCACATTTGCATGTCTTAATATAAAATGAATTGTTTGATAGGCATTACTTAGAAGTTGACAGATGACAAGGTAGACACAATTTTGTCTTTTTAACACGATAGGGAAAAAGAGCATGTTTGAACATGTTGAAATACATAGGTTATGAAAATGTTAATAACTTCCCTCAGACTAACACCACAAGTATTTTTGACTACCAGTATTCGAAATATTGACTAAAGAGTGCATCCGATATGTAAACCATTATTTATTTTACTTTAACAACAAAATCACCATGTTATCATGGCAGGCCATGCACATACAAAATGGGGGCGGTCGGGTAGCCTAGTGGTTAAAGCGTTCTCTCGTCACGCCGAAGACCCGGGTTCGATTCCCGACATGGGTACAATGTGTGAAGCCCATTTCTGGTGTCCCCCGCCGTGATATTGCTGGAATATTGCTAAAAGCGGCGTAAAAACATACTCACTCACTCACTCACATACAAAATGTCATCATCATCAGTTGTGGAGAAGGGGGGGATCCCTATGGATTTGGTTGCCACACCCAATGATTCAGTTGATTGCATGTGGTCGTACCCCAAAAAGGTGTTGTCTATCAATCACATGTTTCTGTGGTAAAGACTTGATTATTTCCAGGCAGCCATCAAATATCTGGAATATTGTTGAGTGCTGCATTAAGAACAAACAGTTACAAGAAAATCAGTTGATATAATATGATCTTGAATATTTTTCATGCTTCTAGATTGTTTAAAAGGAATACCGGACAGTCTCTGACAACGAAGTACCATCTTAGAGGTAGGCAGGCTTCCCACTATATAATATGTTCTCTTCTTAACAGGGAAAATTATTGGCGAGACCGTGAGCGAGACCGAGACCGAGAGAGAGACCGTGGCGACAGAGAACGGGAACGAGAGTCTTATCGTGAAAGAGATAGGGGTAGGGAGCGGGAGCGGGACCGAGATAGAGACAAGAGGAGGTCAAGGTCAACTGATAGAGATGATTCTCGTCATAGAGACGATAAGCACAGAACACGAAGGTGAGAGCCAGACAATAGCATGGATACCTACACCGTTATAACTCAACCCAACTCTCTCTTCAGATGGGATAAGCATTGTAAGCATTGTAAGTAGTCAGTAGCCCATACTTGCAGTAAAATGCGACTTTGCTTGTCGTAAGAGGCGACTAACAGGATCGGGTGGTCAGGCTCACTGACTTGGTTCATGCATGTCATCATATCCCAATTGCGTTGATCGATGCTCATGATGTCAATCACTGAATTGTCTGATCCAGACTTGATTATTTAAAGACCGCCGTCATATAGCTGGAATATTGGTGAGTGCGGCATTTAACAACATCAAACAACAAACAAACAAACTACATGTTTCCTCCTCTGCTTACAGGAAGCACCGAGATGACGAGGATGACCACCATCGATCCAAACACAGGAAGAGCAAGAAGCGAAGAGACAAAGATGAGGAAGGCGGAGACTCCGTGACTACAGCCGATGAAGGGGATAAAGGGGAATGAACTCCTGTCACATCAACATGAGGGGAGGGAAAGGGGGAGATTGTCACAACAGCCAATGAGGGAGATTAAGGGGAGCAAACTCACATGGGAAGGGAAGGGAAGGGAAGGGAGTTAACTCTTGTTAGGGAAGAAGTGGATCATGTACATTTAATGTGTAACTGCCGTGATATGGCCTTGGTCAGTGGACATTCACTGTCTAACTTGAGCAAGAGCATATAATTTTCTCATTTCAACAACTGCTAACAATTTGTATTAAACTTGTACTAATGCCATCAGAACGTTGTGCAGTTTGTAACATCATCAGATATCACTACTGGTTATTACATTACCAATAAAACAGTACCAGTTATCATCATCATGTCAAAAGGAAATTACAATAAACAATGAAAACTTGATGACTTTGTGCATTTCTGCTCATCACTTAAAGAGGTGTGGACCGCCTCTGTGGTCTGGTGGTAGAGTGTCCGCCAGGAGAGTGGAAGGTCCAGGGTTCGATCCCCGGCTGCATCATACCAGAAGACGATAAAGATGGTACTTGTTGTTACCCTGCCTGGCGCTCAGCATTTAGGAGCTAAAACAAGGACTGGTCGGCTCGGAGTCTGTATACTGTGTCTGAGTGGGGTATTCATGTTAAACTGTGGCATGGTATCTCAGTGAGCTAGCACTATAAATCGGCATCAGTCCGGACTAGTACAAGCAGCCACATACACACACATGCATGCACATCGCTATATGTAAGTGCAATAATCTTGGACGTGACGTTAAACCCTATTTCACCTCACCTCCACTCATGGGAGGTGTGAAGCTGATTCATGGAGCCTACTCCATCAGGGTGTGGCAATATTGTCATAATCAGTAGTTCTTGGAATTTAACATTTTAAGATCTGTTAGACTAAAAAACAGTATGTTTCCCAGGCATCAGTGCATCACTTTCAGTCCTGCACATCAGTCGTTTTTATTGCCAATAAAATAAATAATATTTTAAAAGTTCCCACATGTGAGTGAGTTGGGTACAATGCCCCTTTCAACAGTATTCCAGTTATACATGTATATAACATGTCAGCTTCTTGTGGGAGGAAAGCCTGAAATGATGCAGGCCATAACACGTTTCCCACTTCGGTAAATCCACGAGCAAGGGTGTGGTACAGGGAAACCAAAAAACAGAATTGTGGCGAACCAGGATTCGAACCCACCTTCATGTTTCTAATTTCTCAGTTATATCACAACATGACAGTGTGGAAACTCAAGTAGAATGTAACTTTCAGCAAGTCCAGTCTTGTGACTGCAATGGACACCAAATATGGGCTTTGTGCAATGTGCCTGTCCATAGAACCATGGCCAGGTCTTTAGCACTCTTCTTTCAACCACTAGGCTGTCCCATATATACTCACTGCCAAAAGAAACGCCGACCGTAGAAACATGCATATGTCAAAGCTCCAGATAACTTTTTGAGTAATTGAGATTTTACTCAAAGGTTTCTATTTTAATTGTTATTACATTTTTCAGTGGGTAACCAATATTTTTCCACTCATCTATTCATCACCCTATCGGGCATTTCCCAAAATGTGTTAGCATTTTGAGAAATAAAAAAAAATGAAATAATGTTTTACATGTATATAACGGTTCTAAATATAGGCTTAACTCGGAAAGTAAACTAGCTTGTAATTGTGTTTCGGAAATTGGCTCCGTTGTACACATGCTGAAATAGCTTCATTGGGTACTTTTGTGAGCTGTTTTTAAACAATTGAGTTCATTTAATGCATGCGTTTCTGTACGCAAGTTAATTGAAAGTAATTGGGTTTTGAATAGTTTTGGGGGGTATTTTACGCAAATAAGCAGCTTATCTGTAGTTCTGTGTATGTTAAGAGATGTTTCGAATGTGCACCACTTAATGACAAAACTAACAATCAATCATGATGATTCTTATCATGATATGCTGCACGTGATTTCCAATCATCTAATCCTGCTCGTGAAGATTGGTGCTTTCATTCATGGATCTATGACGTCATATGTGATGTGGTCATGAGCATCGATTCACATAACATTGTTTGTTTGTGCATCGAACCAATGTAATATCTCTTGAACATGATTAATTCTTCATATATTAACCAACGTGCATAATATTCACGTTTCTTTTGTCGGTGAGTTTATATGTGAACGTGACTAGCCACCAGGACTCCACTGTTGGTATGATGCCACTTGAGCAAGGAAAATCATAGAAATTTGCAAATCGAATGAGTATTTAACCTGTCATGGACATCTGTAAATAATTAATTTGGTGGTGAGGTGAAATGGGGTTTAACATCGTGTCCAAGAATGTTGCACTTCAGCAACCCATGCTTGCCATAAAAAGCGACTATGCTTGTTGTAGGAGGCGACTAGGGGGATCGGGTGGTCAGGCTTGCTGACTTGGTTGATGCATGTCATCGTCCCAATTGCGTGCCACCTGTGCCCTCTCGAATCCTTGGAAGTTTAAAAAATAAAAACATACACAGTTGAAACCATTGCTAGATTTATTCTGTATACAGTTCAGAATGTTGTGCTTGAGAAAGTATGTGACAACATAGTCTTGAGCTGATACACTGTTGTATTTAATAATTACTTCAAAACATCTCAACTGTGGATATCCTAATTATCTTTCTGGAAAATATAACATACTTATTTCCTGGCTTTCCAGACAACAAATATATGAACCCTTCCTCTCAAAACACAGACAACCAGCATGACATCCAAATTTTAGATCAATTATTTGATTATGTCCCACAATGAATTGATATCTTTGTATGAATGTTTCATCAATATGATCAGAAAATAAGCAGTTGAAAAAACAATCAAATATATTATGTTTTTCATTTCTATGGGATGACCATAGATTTCTCAGGAAAGGGCACATACCTGGTAATTTCAAATTTTATCTAGGTAGTTTCGTTTAAACGTAATAATATATGTTCATCTGTCATAATACATTAACCATTTATTTTTATAAAAGGCTGGATCTTGTACTATGAAAATATGACTGCTATGTCAAGATATTTCTTGTCTTTTTGTTTAATGCCCATCTTGACAGTATTACACCCATTTGACGGGGGACTGTAAATTATATCGACATATGAGCTATGCCCCATGCTGTCTTGGTATGATGACCCACTATCAACGAAATCCCCGAAACTGACCACCAGCCCCATTCAGTCAACTCACACAACAATCACAGGTTGTTGGCATCTATTCTAGAGGCTGGGCAACAGCAGAAATGTAATGGGCCCCAGTCTCTTGCTAAGGATATGTGGTATTTTGACATGCTCAAAGGAAAACTCTTTCTTTTCATAAATGATGCTCGTCTCCTGCTATCTTGATCAGTCATTGGGAAATGTTTGATGGCAAAAGTAGAAATTAAACCTGATATAGTTCAAATACATATTTGTTACAACTTCATTCAGTATAACAAGTCTAGCTGTCAGACAAAATCTATGCTTTTACACTCAATAATGAACATATTTCCTAGTCCTTACCCTCATACTAAAAACAAACCATCTAAAACCCACTGTCATCTGTTTGATTCAACAAAGGAGTCTTGTGAAACCTTTAATATAATTTACACTTTCACATAAATGTACCTCCATTTATGCAGAATAAAATACAGTAACAATTGGTTCAAAGGCAAACACTATTGAAAAAATTGAAAACTGCATGCAATCAGCTTTTTTCCATATGGGTTAAAATTGTGAATCTTCTCAATGTAATGTAATGGTCAGGAATGTTGTAACGATTGGACAGAGCCTGAATATCTCTTAATGACTACAGTCTGAAATCAGCCACACTCTTGTCCCATTAAAAGGAAATATGAAAAATGAATATCAAAACACACAATTCTAAGGAAATATGTAGCTGTACTCTATGATACACAATGGTATAGCATCATGATGTCACTATGGCAACAGCTCATTTTGTAAACTGTCGCATCCTCACATTACCGAGTTGACCTCTGCAATGCAAGAACTAAGAAATGTGGGAGCTAAGAAATTAAGACACAAACTAGATGGTGAAAATAAAATCACATATTGAATTTTAGGAACAGTTACATACAAGACATGATACTAGAGAGGAATCGAAACACACAGCTTCAATACAGATCCCAACACAACTTGAACGTACCAGGCATAGGTCTTACATCACGGTGAGGAGCACACACTTGGTATTGGCAGTACAATCAGTATGTTCTCATTTGGTTAAGATTAAGATCACCCTTTTCCATATCAGCCCCATGTACACCATGGTGTATCACAATACAATACTGTGTGACCACTTGCCTGTATGTCTGAAGGGCCCAAACCTCAACCCACTGAATGCAATTCAATACCACTTAGAGAATAGTTTCAATAATTATTGTCAGATTTACTAGATTCTTGACAAGCTGTTTGCAGTAACATTTTATTCCTAGGCAAAATCTATGTAACTGAATAAGGTTTTTGTTTGAAAATTCTTTGAGATGTGAAAGTAGATTTGCTAGAGATTTTAGGATACCCAACTTTGACACTACCTCAATGTTATGATACTGGAAGAGAAACAGAACGCAGAGTGTCTATTGTAACATGATGCAACTTGAGACATGTGACGCTGCACCAGAGCTCCAGATAAGCTGCGTATCTGCGTAAAATACGCATCAGAAATGCAGATATCCGCAGTAAATAAAATCCAAGCGTATCAAATACGCAACGAATATTACAGGAAGGCTACAAAAATAAAACTTGTGCGTATCATCAAAATATTGTGAAATAACCCTGCGTATTCGATTAGCGAATTAGCAACTTATTATGAAATCATAAACGGGCATTCCGTCAACCTTGCCAAACTCCACGATGACAGTTACATCATAATCATTTGCCATCACACTTTCTTGTGGAAGTATCGTGGTATTTGTGAGTCCTATAAAGCTCTCTAACCCACATGACACCAGTTTGCAGGGACTAGATGAATAGAGTTGTTGAATATTTTACTTAAATACCCACATGTGTAACAACCAGTGGGTAACAGAAATTTGAATACCCAGATAGAATTACTGATACCCAATGATTTTAAAATGCATGGGTAAAATACCCACAACACCAAATCTTATCTGGAGCTCTGTGCACTATGAAACAAGGGGAAGGGCTCAGTCACCAACTTGTACAACTTTACACCAGTCTTGGACAGAGTAGGGATGAGTTGAACACCAGAACCTGAGTTACCTCCCTTGCCACTACACTTCGACCACACTTGACATCTCTCATGCTACTCGTTCCCATGACAACATGTACAAGATGGGACTAACAGTAATTGTACCCTGAGTTCATGACTTGGATTGAGCTAGTCTAGGATGAGGAAGGTCAAGCTTATTGTTTTAGGAAACGCATTCACCCACAGCATAATGCTCAACACTCTTATGATAAAAGATGTGGTTTTGAACACTATACGAACAACCCTTGAATATGACCACAATGTCGGACTGGAGGAATGAGCTGAACTGAGGCACTGAACCACAAACATATCTTCCCATTCAAACACATATGTTGACAAACAATGAACACACAGATTAATTACAGGTTGAAAACAGTTCAGAGGAACACAACATTTCACTTCAAATGGTAGTGTGACATCAAACAATGTCAGACCTGCACTTGACCAGCACCAGATTAGTACAAGACCTCGCCAGACAACAGAAGATCTGTATTCAATCAGAGCCAGATTAGTACAAGACCTCGCCAGACAACAGAAGATCTGTATTCAATCAGAGCCAGGTTAGTACAAGACCTCGCTAGACAACAGAAGATCTGTATTCAATCAGAGCCAGATTAGCACTAGATCTGCACCATATTAGTGCTAGGTCTGCACAAGATGAACACTAACATTTCCAGCTTTCCTTTGGCTGTGACTGTAATGCTTATCGCTACAGGATCATGAAGTCTCTACATATGCATGAGCTGCCATTAGATACGAACTCCAAGCGGATCCAACAAAACACCGCTCAACCACTCAGATCTGTCAGCCTCTACCAGTGTGCGAGGCAATGGTTGCTCTCAGATCCGTCAGCTTCTACCAGCGTGCGAGGCAATGTTTGCTCTCAGATCTGCCAAGAATCATCACCCCAAACAATGCAGGCAGAGACATGCTCTGATTAAGTCTAATCACAGCCTCACCTGGTCCGAGGCAAGGTACACTCTCATATCAACTCCATCCGGTATGAGGAAAGATATGTTGTTGTAACAGTCTTGAGGCATAGCCTCACCTGGTCCAAGGCAAGGTACACTCTCATATCAACTCCATCCGGTATGAGGAGAGATATGCTGCTGTAACAGTCTTGAAGCATAGCCTCATCTGGTATTTAATTAGGGGAGACATGTTCTCGTATCAGTCCCATCCGGTAAGGACAAATGTGATTTCAATCTAATAGAGCAGCATCATTGTCACAATCATCAATATCATTCAGAGCACAAAACAAGTCAATGTCCAGCATATTGTCATCGGAACATTTCATGTCTGTATTTTCACTGGTATTGTCCTTGTTTTCAGTGCTGTCATTTTGTCCATCTGAATCACCCCCATTTTCCTGTCCCTCCTTGCCGTTGTCTCTATCTTCATCTGCCTGCTTCTCCTCACTAGCCTCCCCTTCATCCTCCTTCCTGCTCTCTTCATCGCCCTTCAGCTCTGGGGCATCAGGAGCGTCTCCACTCTTCCCCGGCTCACTGTCACCTTCCTTACTCCCCTCTCCACTGTCGGCTGGTTTGTCCTCATCTCCATCTTCTCCCTTATCCCTTTCAGCATCCCCTTTGCCCCCATTATCTTCACTTTCCCCCTTCTCGTCACCATCTCCACTCTCCACCTCATTGGCTTCACCTGACTTGGCTGGTTCCTCCTCCTTGCCACTTTCCTTTCCATCACCTCCTGCCTCAGTTTCCTCATCTTCCTTATCCTTATCCTCAGCGTCATCCTTACTGCCTTCAGTCTCCATGTTCTCCTCATTATTGTCACTTTTAGAATCATCATCCTTAGATTCAGCTTCCTTTGAACCATCCTCTTTGTCACCGTCCTTTTTGTCACCGTCCTCTTTGTCACCATCCTCTTTGTCACCGTCCTCTTTGTCACCGTCCTCTTTGTCCCCATCCTCTATGGCTTCCGTCTTGATATCCATGTCACCGCTCGTTCCCTCACTCGGTTCGTCATTGTCAGCTTCAGAAGCCATCGATTCGTCCACATTAATAGTATCCCCCAGCTTCTGTTTCTTTGAACTGAGCACATCCCCGACAATGACCTCCTCATCACTTTCATCACTGTCTATCTCAATCACCTCAGAATCTGCAGACCCTTGGATACTTGGACTAGGGACTGGGAATTTTTTGGATAAAGGACCTGGTTTTTTCCGCTTGGCAACTGAGGTAGTTTGATGGACAACACTAGCTGGTATCCGGTGAATGGGTATCCTGATTGGTTTGAGCTTGAAGCCCATGTCTACAAGAGAGTGTCCCATTACATACTTCACTGAGAGTTTGCTTCGCACATTGAACAATGTCCAGTCTTCTACTAAAGACTTCTGTGTGGTCCTCAAAGATCTCCCCATTTTGGTTGTGGCCATCATGTATTTACCTGAAAACAAAACAATGTGCTAGGTTAATACTGTAATTTTATATTTTCTAGTGGTCTGCACTTTGTATGATTAGTGAGTTATCTCCCTTTAACAATGCCAAAGTTTTACACTCCACTTGCAAGTACTTCTGCTTTCAATTGAGTTTTAGGTTAAATAGTATCCTTACATTCTTAACTGTGTATGAATGTTTTGGGGACAGGTTCAAGAGAGATTTTCTTCAGCTTGGGAGGGCTCAGCACACTTTGTGTGTTGTTTAATGACATCACACTCAGCAAGCTCAACAATATTCCAGCTACAGTAAACTATGTTTAAAACGGACAAGCTTATAACGAACTGAACAATATAATGAACATATTTTTAAGTCCCTGCCATTTGTTGTATATATGCTGTATATATGCTTATAACAAACTGCGGTTATTATGAACTAAAATTAGTGACCAGTGATTGATATTATGAGCAATGATCTACACCTGATCCACTTAGTCGCCTCTTGCAACAAGTACAGATTGCTGGCACCTGTTTTAACCCAGAATCCCCACAAGACTTGCAGTTTGACTTTGATGTATCAGGATACTAGAGCTGAGTATCGCCTGGTGTCTTGCGATACAGTTCTTAACACAATACGGACTGATGATACTACTGGTGTCATGATACACCATATCAAATAGTAGGAAATGATGACATCACTGAAATACAGCTCTAAAACTCTTTCTTCATGCATTTATTTATTGTTAATTTTAAAAAACTTTAACAAAGAAAACCACAAGAACAAAACAGTTTTACATGAGGGGATGGTTATTAAATGTAAGAGTCAGCGCCTCTTCAGCCACCATGTTCTTGTGTTCTGCTCTGGTTGCAGGTGGCCCTAGGCTACTTCTGCCGTTGTTAGTTTCTGTTTTATCTATCGCAATCTCACAAACTGATGATTCAAGTATCGTGTGAACCTAAGTATCGATAACATCATAGGTATCGGAGAATCCCTGCGGGATTAGTGGTGTAACGATACATCGAACTATCGATTGATTGCGATTGCTTGTCTCACGATAGTACACTATCGATTGCAACTTGAAACAATCGATACTATTGGCGATAGTTTGTCTACCCATCGATAGTTTTGATAGTTAATGTGTTTGGTACATTTAGTCTCTTAAAAAACATAGAAACAACTGCTATGATCATCTAACCTCTGTTGTGCTTTCGTTTGGATTGCACTACTTTGTCTGCTTGATTTAGAGTTACGTCCCTTAGCTACTCGTCGCTAGGCAACATTGACAAGATGGCGGACGCCACATGTCAGTTTGAAACTGTTGACAATAAGGCAGGCAAATCGTGGGTATGGGACCATTTTGGCTTTGTCAAAACGCAAAACGATACAGACAAGCAAAAAGTAAGTTGTAGAATCTGTCGGATAATTCTAAAGTATTCAGGAAATACTACTAATCTGACCGACCGCTTGACAAGACGGCACCCAGATATTTGTATTAAAATGTTTCTGAGAGGTCAATTTGAACTTGTTTTCTTTTCATTTCTTGTTTTCTTTACAAATAGTATCAAAAAGTTATAATTATTTTGATGGTGTCAGTCAAAATGCTGAAATATATGCTTCTTGAGCCTGCTATACTTGCAAGTGAAAACTATCGCAATAGTATCGCAATAGTAGGGCCACTATCGCAATAGTATCGCAATAGTTGTTTTAACTATCGCAATAGTCAAAAATGCCTCAATGGTCACCCCTATGCGGGATCATATACAGAATTGGGCAGTACGAATGTGGAATACAAGTACTATATCTATATATCCTTCGTTGAATTAAGCAAGCAAAATGATGCATCTACAGAAGTCTGTGACCTTAGCCACCAGCCCGAAGAGACAGTCTAGCCAAATTCTGGTTGTCTGAGTGAGACCAGCTACCAAGAGTCCATACGACAACACTAAAATGTACAAAGAAAGATGGTAAGATCTATGTATGGGCTAATGGACATAAAAGCTTTTGGCACAGACCTTAGCAGACCTGTCATACCATGTATCCAACAAGTTATACACTACTCACCATAGTTATGTCATGACTGATTAACTAAATCATGAAGAAAGAATTGGGGGGTCCTTAACTTCTAAAATCTTTTTTATTCATCATGTATCTATGGCCAGTTCTTCAAAGAATATTTATACCAAGACAATATATTGTATCGCACCATTTAGCAAGATGTCCTATAGTACACAAACCTCATGCAGAGAAATGTACAAAATAGACCCTTAATTTCTAGAAAGTCAAATAAGTAAGTACTTTGACTTGTACATTTTGCGACTTTAGTCACTAGTCCCAAACTCAAGTCTAGTACAAGTCTGTTCGGTTTCGTAAACTCAGCAATAATAGGCCACATAATAACAGAAGACTCTACAGAAAATGATGCCAAGAGCCATGTTCAGGCTAGTTGTCTCTAGTTGTCTCTAGTTGTTTCGGTCACAGGCTGCTTGAATATTTGTATCAATGTTGCAAAGAAAGAAGGCATCTTATCATAGCTATACTCGTTGTTTGGGGCCACAGTCAACAACATTCTGGCAATTATCATCAGCCTGCAAATAATCTAATCTGGAGAGGACATACCAGTGACAGAAAGAATTGCAACATACCGAACTGTCGTGGCATGAAGACAAGAAATCAGCCAAGTCACCAAGCCGGACCATCTGATACAACTTGTCGTCATTTACATAAAACAACAGAGTTCAGGGAATCTGTCCTATCCTGCTAATCCATACAGTGGAACACTAATGCATAAGCCAGAGACAAAACTATCCCTAAAGGTCAAGGATGTGCAGATGAAATTCCTTTAAATGAATCAGGGTAGCCACCTATTCACACAAAAAACTAAACAATCCTCTGAATATTGGAGATATCCTGTTGGCCTCCCTGAAAACTGCCATTAATTACTGAGTGAGTGGGTGAGTGAGTGAGTGAGTGAGTGAGTGAGTGGGTGGGTGGGTGGGTGGGTGGGTGAGTGAGTGGGTGAGTGAGTGAGTGAGTGAGTGTGTGAGTGAGTGAGTGAGTGAGTGAGTGAGTGAGTGAGTTGCCGCTTTCAGCAATATTCAAGCAATATCATGGCGGGGGACGACAGAAATGGGCTTCACACATTGTACCCATGTCGGGAATCGAACCCATGATATGACGAGCGACCGATTTAACCACTCGGCGCCCCGACCGCCCCTAATTACCTTGAGTGACGTTACTGCTGTCCTTCTTGTTGGCCTGACTGTACTCCACGTCGTGGGTGATTGGCTTCTTGTACCCAGTCACCTTGCTGTTCCAGCACTCCACCTCCAACACACCTATTCTGGACGCCTTCCCCTTCTCTATTCGATCTTTCTGAAGTGCAAATAATCAAAACAAGTATTAATACTAATGGCCAAAGAAATACACTTATAAGGTGGAGGAAGTATTAAATCATATAACCACTGCATGCAAAATACTTACAAACATTTTTGATTAGTCAGGAAGACCTTACAACCAATTATACACACATGGCAGTTCAGTGTGTTGATATTTGTAACAACTAGATGTTTGTTGTTTAACGCCACACTCAACAATATTCCAGCTATATGACGGCGGACTGTATCGATTCTGGACCAGACAATCCACTCATTGACATCACGAGCATCGATCTACAGAGGGATACGATGACATGTATCAACCAAGTCAGCGAAACTGACCACCCGATCCTATTGGTCGCCTCTTACTACAAGCACTTGTTGCTGAAGACAAATTCTCACCTGGATCTTCAAGAGACACTATGTATGTATAAATGGGAAAATCTAGAATAAACACACTATGTATTTGTTCTAAGTTAAAGTCCCTGTAATTCCCTGAATAATAATAACTTATAAAACAGCATACCAGTGACATGATTTCAGACTATCATACTAGCCCTTTGTCATCCCTCGAATGTACAACTACAAGGAACACACTACTTACCTCATTCTTGGGGAAGCGAGGCAGTGAAAATAGGAACTCTGTTATCTGTGACCCGTCATAGAAGCCCTCTGATATACTAGAAAGGTAACACAGACACATTATTCAATAAACAATTCAACATTTGGTCATGTCCCATGTTTCAGAGAGACAACCAGTGGCTATTCCTATACACGCCATTTGCCTTAGTATGATAAAATAAGCCGCATCAAAGCTTGCAAACAACTGACCCAATGTCAGTCTGCTGGTCACAGTGGAGAACGACACAGGAGTCACCCAATGTGAGCCTCAGGAAAAAAAGATAGATAAATAAGGTGGTCGTGTTTATGCAATATATAAGTGAAAAAACAAAAACCTTAAACATGCATCCAGATCTAGAGGAAATAACCTACCAATGGTTCCACAGATCATATTGATATCTAGTGGTGGAACGGTATAGTGCATCGGTGAATCGCAATTTCTTACTTTCTAAAAGAAGTAGCGATCACAGTCACACACTAAGTAAAAAACATAAATTCCTACCTTAAATGATCACTTTAAAAACTGTCACACCAAACAAACACTTAGAAGTAAAAACACAAAAAAAAATCATTCATTGTGGCACACACTCGACTGCATATCAAATCTTATCTACACAGTTGGAATAGAGTTACCTCCCTTCCAGTGCTTCAGCTAAGCTGAACAATTTGATTGGCTAAGTGGCCAGACAGTATCCAATCACAACACGATTTAGTTTGTCAGCTTTGCATATGGGGGACATTGATAAGATGGTTGGGCTAAAAACCCTGCCAACTGTAAATCGTCAGTGCAACAGGTATTTGGCAATCCCATCCATAGTCGGATCCAGAGGGGAGGAGGTCCAGAGGGGAGGTCCAAAGGGGTGGACCAGAAGGGCGGTCCAGAGGGGTGGTTTAGAGGGTCATTTTGTCATATACTCTCAGCAGGTGAAGATAAAAAATCCCAAATATCAATCTATATAGCTGACAAATTATACTCCAGTTTTGTAAATTGATTCCGAAACACTCATGTTTCCCAGTGTACCAGCCATGGGCCCTATCATAGTGAGAAAATGTCCACATAAAACCCTGCATGATAACAGTGAGTGAGTAAGTTGGGTTTAACGCCGCTTTTTAACAGTTTTCCAGTTATATCACGGCGTGTCAGCTTGATGTGGGAGGAAAGCCCAAAGTGATGCAGGTCTCAGACGTTTACCACTTCGGTAAACCCACGAGAACAGGTATGGTGCTGACAAACCTAGAAACTTAATTGGGGCGAACCAGGATTCGAACCCACAATCAAAGGTTTCTGGCGTGTCCAAGGGACGCAACTCTGCACATTGAATCGCGGCGCCTTAGAAGACTGGATCACCCATGCCCCCCTGCATGATAACAACAATTGTGATTTTCCTGTATCAGCATGCGGCATGGAAACATCAAACTTCTGCTATGGTTCAACTTCTCCAACACTTACCAGTGTTTTCCCGGATGAACAGCAACTTGTGAGGCCTTTTGTCCATCTACATAGATCTTATAGTAACTGTATGGAGTGTTAGATTTGGCAGCTACACGGATCTGATAGGGGGTCACTGGCCAGCTCTGTAACAGAACAACATACACTGACATTACTAAATACTAAAGTCAATACATGTGAAGCAAATCAGCATCTTGTAACTTTATGTTTCAAGATATCTGTGTCACTTGGAGGTGACCTTTTCTTGTCTTTTTGTAAGATTGATCATATAATTAAAATTGCGAACATGGGCACTCTTTCAAAATTTTATGAGCATCCAATCAAGAAGAAAAGTGTTAACTTCAAAACTCTTCTCTGTGCCTTCCTTAACCTTCATTCTCCCTTTCTCTACTCCCCCAAATAACCCCATGCTTCTGTCAGATCTGTCCCCTATTCAGCGGTAGAAACTAACAGTTTTAGTCCACTGGTCCTTATAATGATAGCATATCGCAAAACCCTTAAAATGGCAAATTGATTGATGCATGTCATTGTACCCCAATTGCGTAGTTCGATGCTCATAATGTCAATTACTTGATTGTCTGGTCCAGACTAGATTATGTACTACCGCCATATACCGTATTCAACGTAATAAGCTCCCAGGGCGCTCTCAAAATTAGAAATAGTGGACTCTTATTAGAATATAATTTGGGTGAGAAAAAAAAAAAAAAAGTTGAAAGATCGTAAATTTCGTGGTTCATGCTGACAGCCTTAAATGGTACAAAAGAAAAGTGTGTGTTATACACGACAGATATATATTTCCCCGACCCCTGATTCTCACCTGAGCCTCAGTCTCCCCTTGAACCTCCTCCTCCAAATGGACGTTATAGCTGACAGGCGTAAAGAGATTGCTTTCCACAAAGCATGTCCCATCTTTTGTATATTCAGGCAGTTCTACGCCTCCCACCAGAATGGACATGGTAAAATCTTTATTGGACGGCATCCTGGCTGTGTACTCTACACCTGTACAGAAAAGATGAAAGGTTAAACATGGGAACCACTAGATCACAGGGATAGACACCACTAGTCTCTTAATCCAAGACGACTGAAAATCCAGTGGGATTATACTGGAACTGCTTGTTCTCTTCCCAAAATCTTCTGTTATTCTACAGAACCCTTTTAGGCAACCCTTTTTTAAAATCTCATAATTAACAGATTTATTCCAGCTTTACCACACAAGGTCGGTCGAAATAAAAATAACAACATAAATATAAAAATAAATAGCTGTGTCAATTATTTATTTATATGAAAGTCATTTTGCCATGGAATTAAACTGCAGCTGGCTTCTTGAATCACTGATGGTGATGAAGACATTGAATTGATGAACAACAATTTTTTTTGTATAACAGGGTCTACATTACTAGCAGGAGATATGAATATAAATACTTTTATGTTTAATTTATTTTTTTGGACCGACTGCTTTTCAGTAGGGGCAGCGGGCCCGTGAAATGAAAAATAAAAAATATATGACCTAATGAGCTGGGGCATAGCTGGACATAACCAGTGGTGTTTTCCTCAGGACTCCTCCAAACAATACATGTCTAAACTAGTGATACAGTTAAGTAAAGCACAAGAAGGCTGAAAACACTTCTAACTATATTTCAGACATTACACAAGCATCATGTCAGGTATAGCCCTTCAGAACTGTAAAGGCCCCCAACACATGTCATAATTTTACAACTCTGGAATAAAACAATCATCATGAGTATGAGAGTCTCTGTCATCAGCCTTGAGTTCAAACACCTGAAACAATGTATTTTACTGTAGTAAGCTTAAATGATAATTAGGGCTGGGACGATACACCAACTGTGAGATCCGATATGTATCACAATACCTTACTCACGATCCAATATGTATCACGATACCTGCATGTAGCTCTTATCTTTTTCATAGACAGGATGGCCAAATACCTGGCGATTTACAGTTGGCAGTGTCAAGTGGGTACCAACAAATAAAAATATTTATGAATTTACTATTAACTTGCACTACTGATTAGTGTTTAGTGGAAGTTATTAAAGCAAACATTTAAGGTCAGAATCGATATGATTTACTTAGTGTGTGACTGTGATAGATACTTGTATCGAGAAGAGAAACGTCGCGATCCACTGATGCATTGGTGTATCATCCCACCACTACTGATAATAACCAGTGAGTTTGCCACAGAAAAATATCAAAAACATGAAAAGAACATTTCATGATTTTAGCAAATGTTGACAGGACATTCTTCAATGCCATCATCAAAACTGAAAAATATCTTTAGGAAATTTTGGATAACAATCAGTCAATGTCTTAAACAAATAAACTGATCTGAAACCCTGCTGATTATCATCATGATCATAACGTACATGTCTTAATATTCTGAAAATGATGCAACAGGACAAATTCTTCCAAGACTCAAATATTTATGCATGGATTTATCTTGGATTCCAAACAAAGTGTCGTCAGGCAAACTGGGAAAAACTGATACTCTTTATTTGTCTTAGTAGTGAAATCAAGTCAGCTCTACACAGCCATAACATCTGTTATCATTGCTCATAACTAAAGCATGAACTGGGAAATTTGTTATTCCAATTTGGGAATTTGTACCGACATTGACTGCAACCTGGGGACGAGTATAAGGGAACATTAATGTTGTATTTCAGTTGTTTGTGCAGGGGAACCCTTCCAAAACAAGTTTGAGGCTAGCATATCAAAGTGTATCTACACTTGAGTGTAGCTGTGAAATAGGTATATTCTGCATTGCTAACACCTCACACAGCAGTAAAACTGGCCTAACATTGATATGAAACCCAGTGCTGATTTTGCATCAGCTATCACAAACAAGTACATACTTATATTGAGTTTGGCCCATTTTAGATTTATCACTGATAATGAAAAGGACCTTTTGCCCGGTTAAGCTAAGATAATAACAAAAAGGAAAATGTATACACGTTTACCTTTGTTGATGTTCTGCTAAACGTACAGCAATAACATGGTACAAGCTAAAGATCTCGATAACATTGAGTGTAATATTGAAGACGTTGACTATGTGTATAAAAGTCTATTGATATATCCTAATATTGCTAGATACCATACAATAATACAGACGTAATACCACGAAATTGCCTCAAAGTCGTCAAAAATTGGAGAAAGCGCCAAAGTGCCAGGTTTTGCAAAAACGGACTTAGAAGCCACATATTGGATTCGTCTGATAACCTAGTCCTTACTACCCTCTGCTTTAGTCGAAAACATACTGCTCCCTTAACAACAAACGTGGCCTCGACAATGAAAAATACCAGGTTTCGGGCTATTCTTGAATTTCTTATCTAGATTTAGTCGTACACAATAACTGTGCACAAACCGGAAGTGAGCATAATTTTCCTATAAAAGACAGCCCTCAAATAACCATGGGGATTTATGAGATTCAATTAATGTGTATAGACTAACTATAACTTACTTTAAGTTGCAAGGTTTACCACATTAAGGATAAAACAACTTTACGCGTGAAATATCCTTTCTTTTTGTAGCACATCGTTCAGAAGTCGTTCACAGAAACAATGAGAGTTACTTCCCTTGTTCTTGCGTCTTCCCGCCATGTCCCACCAATCTGCACCTAGAGCTAGAAGCACCAGACGTAACATATACATTTAATAGACTCCCTGGCAGTAGTGAAGCTTTTTCATGTCACCTTGTTCTTTGTAATAATGTTTTCAACATTAATCTATTTTTATTACTAATTAATAAACTAAAGGTTTATTAGATCTGATAGTACGTTATAGTCCAGTTTAATTTAGATCTAGTTCATGTTGCTTTTTATATCGACCATACAGTCAAATTACTGGTGCAATAATAATACTTTTACTACTACTACTACTACTACTACTACTACTACTACTATCAGCAACCACAGTAATATCACCAAACTGTATGAAAAATAACACTCATTGCAACCTGCATATTAGTATATCTCTTAGTCCCTGAACCATATTATTTTCCCTTCCGCCCAGGATTACTATAATGTAGTCCTGCACATTGACTGTGAAATATATTTATTTTATGAAAAAACAACAATCTAGAAACGTATACAAAAGCAAGTCTAGCCAGCTCTAGCTAGCTCTATTCCACATATGAAATCAGCATAGGGATAATTACTTTTTTTATTTTTAGAGTCAAGAAGGGTATTGTGTAATATAAGATTTCATAGACTAAATGTTAGTCTAACTGTAATGCTATTGCTCTAGATAAAGCAAGTCAAGATTTTCAACACGCCCATCTCACTCGGGCTCCTTTTCAATATAAATGAAGGTTGTTCCTATCAAATTGATCCATTTTCGGAGACTAAGCGAAGTCTACTTGCATATAGCCATTGTTCATTCTTTCTTTACACGATTTAGTTGTTGTTGTTATTGTTTTTGGTTTTTTTGGGGGGTGGGGGTTAAATCCTGAATTTAAACTAGTTTACCCATGTAAATTATACCCATGTTGGAATCGAACCCAGTTAGGCGGTGTGATGAGCAAATGCTTTTATCACGAGGTAATCCAAGAGCCCCATATTATACTAGACACCTACTACTAGATGTATTTGTTCAGTGTAAAAATGTCCGTATATACAAATATTAAACTGAAATATTCTAACATATTTAATACATAAATGTGTTAACTTCTTTCGTGTTCAAACGTAACGTTAAAATGCCATCGCTCGATTTTGCTTATGATGCTTGAATGCAGTCAGGTATGTTGACATACTTGAACTCTTTATCAAGAATCTGAAATATTCCACTACCATATTTCTTCAATAGGACACCAGGCCTCTAATACACTGTGTCAAAAAAAATAGATGCAGGGTCTTTTTTTATATTATTTAATATGTTGGTGATTAATAATGACAGTTTCCTGCAAATGTACCTTTAATACTGTTGAAGTTGGGATTGAATAAGGTAGCGAGTTGCCACTGTGCTAGCATTGATCAAAATAGATGCTGGGCGAACAGCTTGTGTGAAATTAAGAGACACCCAGGCCTCTAATGGAGGAAATACAATACTTCTACTTGACCTGAAATTTCTTCTCGATCATTTGGATTTCCCAAAATGTGTGTATGATATCTAGCCAACACTCAATCACAAAGTCAGTGCAGTAGGATGCTGTGGCATATGTTTCAAGTTAATATTTGCATTTTGATATAATGCTTTGCTAATAACTGAATTGAAATTTCAGGCCAATGATAGACTACAACTCTTTCTTAAAAACAAATATTGTCACTATTGTCCAAATAATACAGAAGTAGCCTTGCAGTTTTCTTAATTTCTGGAGACATGGTAGAGCTGACCTAATCTAGACTTGCTGGGCTCCATTTATTCGCTCTAGGGTTTGTAAGACAGATCATGTTGATTATTCTCCTCCAAGGTAATACAGATAGCATGGTTTGATTTTTACTAAGTTACTGGTACAATGATTAATGTATTATGTATTGACTATATTTCATTATGTATTACATTTTCAAGCAATACAGAATATTTTGACAAATATATGTCTTATTGTATTTATTCACACCTTGACTTGTTGACAGTGTTTGTTATAAGTGGATTCCAACCTAGTGGATGATGGTGATTAACATGCTGCTGTGTGCATTGCCTTATATGGCATGAACATTGACCTTAGTAATTAACTTATTGCGGTCTCAAGTATGAAGGAGAAAGTTCTCTAGACAATCACTGCTCAAAATGCTCCAGACACAACCATGCATGGTGGAAATTTACATGTTACTTCTTTAAGCTCCCCCCCAAAAATCACATTTCTGTTAATTCTCTATGAAAAAGCCTTTCAGAGACCACACATCAAAATCACACCATATCAACTCCATGACTCCAAGTTGCATTTGAATCTGAAAATAATATTTATGATTTCTTTATAAAGAACATTTTGAACATTTTTTTGAACATTTTGAAAGACAGAATCTGTACAGTTGCTATTTGCATAATATATCATGATCTCTCATGACATGGACATTTCATTTCCAGCAGTCCATTGCAATCTGAACCCATGCCTGGGTCAGTTTCACCATCAGTACTACATAACTCTGGGAAGCTTGGATTAACCCACATGCCAGTCTTTGTTGCAATGGAATCTGAGCACCTGTCTTTGTTGTGCTGGACATAATCAGTAAAAGCACTATCCTCCACGTCTCCACGACTCAGTAGAGGGCTGTATTGTGTACCTTTGCTATGCCACATGCTGTTATTTAATACTGTGACCCGTGAAGATCCGGGATAGAACAGGTCTTCAGCAACCCATGCTTCTGTAAAAGGTGACTGCTTGTCGTAAGAGGTGTCTAAACGGGATCGGGTGGTCAGGCTCGCTGACTTGGTTGATGCATGTCATCGCATCCTGATTGCGTGGATTGATGGCCATGATGTCAATCACTGGATTGTCTGGCCCAGACTCGATTATTTACAGGCCGTGTCATATAGCTGGAATATTGCAGAGTGTGGCGTTAAAACAACAGACAAACAAACAAACAAACAAAATTTAATACTGTGGCAGTGGAATTATCTTTGGCAGTACTTACAGATTTACTAACTGAAACAGTAACTCTTGACACACCTCTTGCTAAACCACTTATTGCTATCTCGGTCACACACAATCTCATGGACATGATGATGGGACTCATAAATTATGTAAGAGTTTAGATCTTTGTTTTCTCAATACACACAAGTGATTATCATCAGACTGATAGTCCTCATACTTATATTTAAGTAGTGGCTCCCACATGCTGGTACTGCCAGGGATTTGTTGCAGCTGAAGGAGGAGATTGGATGGGTTCTCAATGAATATTTGGTCTGACTTCAAAGATGGTTGGGGGCGGTCGGGTAGCCTAGTGGTTAAAGCGTTCACTTGTCACACCGAAGACCCGGGTTCGATTCCCGACATGGGTACAATGTGTGAAGCCCATTTCTGGTGTCCTCCGCCGTGATATTGCTGGAATATTGCTAAAAGTGGCGTAAAACCATACTCACTCACTCACTCACTCACTCATGTAATATGTGCAACTGGTGCTTGAGGAGTGGCGGCTGCTGGGGTCATTTTCATGGACTGTATTTTCATCTGGTACCATTTCCCCTGGCCAACGGCAATGGAGATGTCCTGTTCCCACAATCCAGGCACCTTGACTGTCGGAAATAAAAAAACTATAATAATCATCTCATTTCTCGTAATTTTTTCTAAAAAGGTAAAAATAAGATTAACAATTAGGTTTCATTTTTTGTATATAATACACATACACAAAACCATGAAACATAAATCAGCAATATTAATTTTCACATTGTTTCATTGATGGCTGAAGCCAACAAACTATTTATAATAATTTTTCAAATATACACAAAAATACACTGAAAAAGTGCATACACATACAATATACACTCAAACATATTGGTACATAAATCATGAATAACTAACCGATTATTAATTGAAGGAAAAAATAAATTTGGCATCTACTTCCGGGTTTAAAATGTCGTACGTCACTCACCTCTCGATGAACTTTGCTCGGTTCCCACCAACAATCACGACATCGCTTCAGCTGAACGTTGGAATGGTTGGCTATTTCAGTATAAGCGAATCCCGCCCAGGGACATCGTCTGCAGTGAACGTAAGGCGAACGAAAGGATTTGTCGACGCCATTTGAAGTCAAAATTCTGGCGGACTGTTTGTCCGAGTCTCTTGACCGTTGCTAAAAAGAGAGCGGTGATGACGTAACGCGTCAGCCTTTTCGTACAGTACAGTACTTTCATGCAGTTTCAGCTTAAAAGTGCTAATTTATGTAATTATAAGCAAAAGACTGCAACAACTACTGCTTCGCTAGCTGGCAGCAACCTTGAGCTTCAAAGTGGACAAATTTTGACAATTAGAGTTATCCCCCTTTGGTCAGAATCATCCAAGCTCCTCACAGCGATAGCCCGTTCGCGGAGCTATATATTATGTTACCGAGAGTGTAACGAAGGTGTCACGCGCTGGGAAGGAGCTTGAGAATCATCAGGTTACATGTTGATGTGACGATATGACTTGGGGACAAGGGCGTCGAGAGTTTTAATTGTCAAAATCACACCATATATGTTTCATAAGAAATAAGACGAACATATTTGTAGTTCCATGGAGTTGTTTACACCAGAGCGTCTAATTTACAAAGATGATTTACATCCGAGATTACAACAGAGATGCTAAAATATTAGATCTAGATCTACTAGAAAATAAACAAGGTCAACCATGCCGTATATATTTCAGTGCGGATGCCAATGATGAAGTTAATGGTATGAGCTGGGTCACGTTGACGGGCTTTGCAGCTTACAATGCAAGTTACATAAAAGATGGTGTCCCATTATCACACCGTATTTGGAAAATATTGACCTTGAACATCACGCTTACAACCGGAAGTAACACTATCGCGTGATGTTGTCATTGACAACGGCATCATTGTTAGCGCCATTAGCCAACACAGAGGAAGTTTTCAAGCGCCAATATTTCAAAATGGAATCACCTCGCAGGAGAAAGCTGCTACTCTATGATGAGGAAATCGACATAACGTGAGTCTTAACCACTTTATCGCATTATAGTCTGTTCATCTATTGTTAATATATATTTTGCCCGTCTGGAGAAGGAAGGTAGACCCATGTCTACCAGCCCCGCGTCTTGCACGCCAGAGCAAAACTATAGGAAGAATGCTATTTGCCAGTAACTATATTTATGTATTGCAGGGTTATATATTGTTTGGTCTTTTACAGTTGATAAATTATATATATAATGCAGGAATGTATAAGAGTTGTGTAGGGGGTAAGTCAGCGTTCGAAATTGACATTCATTCTCTTGTCCGAGAAAAGTTAAATTCAAGGATGACCAGTGATAGTTCCCAGTAGACTACCACCTTTACCATTAGGCAGATGGAAATTCGGGTTAGTTTTTCCAACTAGTGATTTAAAAAGAGTCTAACCTGTACGGAGTTTTCTTACAGGACTATTTTTCATTCACAAAAAAGTATCCTCGTGTTATGATTTTTCGGACGATTAAGAAATATTCGTAGTTTTCTCGCTAAGAAAAACTGTTAATCATCTCACTCACTTATAAAAGACGACTTAATCTTAAAAGCAGGTCATCATCTGAGTATTTACACTGTCCGTGTGACGCCACACCCCTTGTTGTAGGCGAGTAATCGCGATAAACATTGCCGTCAGAAAACGTATGATGTCCTAAAACCTATGATCCGACGATACCAAAAATATTATGTGCGCATGATCCAAAGGTTAAATACTATTAAAAAACGAAACTAATGTACTTTGCCGTCAAAAACATCCTCTCAGTGAGAATGGGGGGAAGAAAGCATCAAAGCGCCAATGTCTAACCCCAGTTAAATCCTATCTTCCCTGCCGTGTTTCAGTTACTTTGAGATGAAAGCATGGAAGGCAGTGGTCCACACAGTCGTGGCAGCAAGTCAGTTGTATGCTGACAAAATCGACCAGGGAAGAGAAATACTCAATTTTTTCTGTAAACTGGGTAAGTTATACCATTAATCTAAAGCTAAATACATCTGTGACATGTGACATTAACCATACAGTTTGACAGCACTGATTCAGTGCCTTAATCTACATACATTTGTTGATGAACACATGACTATGATAACTTCAACTATGGTGAATTAGCAGATTGTACAAATGCAATTAGGCCACTGCTATCAAAGGATGTTCCATACCTATGAGATGACCGATATATGTGCTTTAAAAACTCATTCAGATACTTTACCCATTGTGAAGAAGTGTTGTGGTGGAATAGTCCCTGTGACCACTACAGGAGGTGATGAAGACCACACTCAGATTTTTGTTTTTTTCCAGGCATTCAACACGGGAAAAAGAGATATTACTCTCAGCCAAGAGCAGAGAGATTTAACCAATGCCTGACAAAGATCAGTGACTTCCACAAAGCAGTCCTAGGGGATATGGTTAAACACACAGGCCCAGATGGACCATTTGGAGACCTGCTAATGTAAGTATGTCTTGACCATGTGACAAGTACAAGTCAAGTACAACTAGTTACTACCATAATATATTTTAACTGCATGTGAGTTAGATATATCATTCTGAACCAAATTTAAGAATCAAATGCAATTTATCGTAATTACCGTTACGTGTCAGACCTCATGTCAGGTGGTGTGTGACACTGTGATCAAGCAGTGTGGATACCCTTTCGAATGATCAGCCTGTCATTTGTCTGTTTCCTGCCAAACTGAAATGTTACTTATGAATTAAAGGGCAAGTTCACACGGAAATGAACCTATTTTTCTTGTACTTTTTCCACATTAAAAGTGTTAACCTAGAAGTGTCATAGACAAAAATATAAAAATATCACAATTAATTAACATATTTTTCGCATTAAAACGATATATATTTTTCACATTTACCAAGTGTTCTATTTCCACAACAAAAACACCATGGCTTATGCCCCTTGCAATATGACGTCATTGGTGCCAATTGATAAACATTATGACGTCATCATGCTTTGTTAGAGCCGCTTCACGTGGTGTAGGTACAGGTGTGTGATTCTAGCGTCTCAGATGCCAGCCAGCATAGTGTTATGCTGAGTCACCACTGCGCCGGAATGTGTCGTAGGCCATGTTGTTTTACCGCAAACTGGTACTTGATATCTTTTGCGTTGAGAATAGACAGGGACCCAGTTGAATTGGCACCAATTACGTCATAATCTAAGGGGGATAACTCAGGCCTGTTTAGCTCGAAAAACGAAGGCCTCATAACGGCATATCATTTTCACACTATTGTGAGTTTCCTACTTTCACTGTGAAAAAAATGAGTGTATATTTTCAAACACAGATACTAATTAATTCTAAAATTGCGTTTTGTTTAGAAAAAGATAGAAAGTGATTTTTGCGTGTACACTTCCCCTTTAAGTCATGTCATTAGTGCCCACTGCATGCATTCTCCATGAGTGAGTGAGTGAGTTGGGTTTGACGCTGCTTTTAACAGTATTATAGTTATATCGCAGCGTGTCAACTTAATGTGGGAGGAAAGCCCCAAGTGATGCAGGTCTCAGACGTTTACATCTTTGGTGAAACCCACCAGCATGGGTATGGTGCTGACAAACCTAGAAACATAATCGGGGCGAAACAGGATTCGAACTCACAATCATAGGTTTCTGGTGTGCCAAAGGGACGCAATCCTGCACATCAACACCTTAGACGAATTGGCCACCCGTGTCCCGTTATCTCTATGAAGACATACACATAAGTGACTGCCTTAAATTACACAGGTCAGACAATCATGTGTTTGAGCAACTCCTGAGAAGAGCCGCTGCCATGAAGAAAACTCATCTGAAGCTGGAGAAGAAGGCAGCCAAAGCATGGAAGGTTTGTAGAATAGATGTTTTAGTCAATCAGCACATACTAAACTGACACTGTACTCAACTGATATTTTAGTTCTAATAAAAGGAATATTGAGAATTTAATATTTATAAAATAAAATGTATGCACATACTTGCACACAAAGTGGTTTTGATTTGTTTCAATGAATCCAGAAGCCACCCCTGATGTGTCTGATGGTACGTATATTTTATTGAAGTTAACAATTTCAATAGCAATGAACCCAGTAGCCTCCTGAAGTTAGGTTGATTGTATTGTAGTTTCGTTTTTTTAGTGAAGTTAGGGACTTTTACACAAAATGGACAGTTTTCCTGTCAAATTTGGCCAAAACTTCAGTACAAGATACTAAAATGGAAGTCAGTAACGATAATATATATGGATGAACAACTTCTTTATTACAATTAGGAGCAACATTTCGGTGTAGGTACTAACACCATCATCAAGCATATGATGTACACAAAGGGTAAACATCCTAACCGGTGAAGACGGTAGTTTAAACAAAAGGATTATGACTGATTGGGGTTCATTCATAAATCTTATCCTTACTTAGTACTCCAACTTCTAAATGCCTCTCAAAGAAGTTACTATTATAGAATTGGTCTGCCCCTCATTCTGCTGCATGAATTTGCTGTCAGTGGCCACACTATACAGTAGTATTTCCCTCATTCCACCAGTACTATGGACGCAGGGTAAGGAAGAAAGAGGACCTGTATACAAAACTGTCTGGCACCATGACTGATGAGGATATAGAGCTGGACAGAAAATACACCAGCTTCAAATCCAAAACTGATGCTGCCTTGACAAGATATAACATCTTCTTCGCAGATGAAGTCAACGAACGCGAAGGCCTGGCTCAAGTGAGTTTCTCCTGATACATAGACATCTTGAAACAAGCTTCAGAGGACGACTGATATTTACAGAGTTCCCTTAGGATAATCAGATGCAATGAAACTTAACATAATATTATTTTGTAGACTTATATATAGTCTTATGATATTTCAAATTCACTTATTTGGGGAGGATAATGTAGACCATCAAGATAGTAGCAGGTAATCACATATACCTCAAAAGTCGTATAATTATGGGTCTTCTTGTCCCTAGAAAACCGAGAGTCTCAAAGAAGACTTTCTGGAACAAGAAAAAGAGAAGCTTGACGCAATGTTTTCCTCCATCTGTAACCTTGTAGAGAGGATGGAGAAACTAGCCCCTGCATCACTGGGGTAAGTGGTTCAGGATTTTCGGGTTACATTGTGTATTGTCATGTTCAGCTCGATTTCTCATAATCATTACTATCTTCCTTTGACTGACAGACGACCGCCTCCGTGGTCTAGTGGTAGAGCGTCCGCCCGGAGAGCGGAAGGTCCAGGGTTGGATCTCCGACCGCGTCATACCAAAAGACGTTAAAAGATGGTACTTGTTGTTATTCTGTCTGGCGCTCGGCATTAAGGGGCTAAAAACAAGGACTGGTTGGCTCGGAGTCAGTATACTGTGTCTGAGTGGGGTATTCATGTTAAACCGCGGCATGGTATCTCAGTGAGCTAGCACTATAAATCGGCATCAGTCCGGACTAGTACAAGCAGCCACACACACATACATACACGTGCATGCACGTCGCTATATAAGTGCAATAATTTTGGACGCGACGTTAAACCCCATTTCACCTGACCTCACCTTGACTGACAGACCAAAGGTCCAGTATGTTCCACATCTTAAATAGCTGCTCAAACTAATGTTTGAACCGTTATTCTATGGCTGTAATGTACTTTGTGGAGAAGTTATAACTTTCACCTCACCGACTGCAATTTGTTACAGCTGTCTGGATTATGAACCAGAAGATGCCGACACAACAGCAATGGCTAGAGAAATGTGGGAATCCTCCCTGAAAAAACACACATTCCCAAAACATCAGGTTAGTGATTAGTTAGTTATACGTTATAATTGGACATTAATGTGACAAAACTACTAACAAGTTACAGACTATATATGTGACATAAGTGTTATGTTTGGAGTAATTATGACTGCAGCAAGAGTTAGCTGACCTTACAAAACCTATTCTTCATCCGTTGTCTCCATCACCCAAACAGGCTTCAGATTACCCAACTACAGAGGATGTGGATGAAGCCACTGAAGATGCTGATTCAGATGATGAGGACAAGGAATCAGTTGATGATGAAGACTCGGATGAAGAATCAGACAACACATCTCTCCAGAGTAGGAAGAAGGAAATCACTGTGGGAAGCCTTGCTGCTCCAAAGAATGACCCTCATCTTGCTGAAGTCCTGGAAGAAATCCTGATGTCTGACAATGATGAACCTGCCCAAGAGAAATCACACACTCCAGATAGAGCGTCCACACCTACAACAGGTGCTGATGTCATTCTGCCCGAATCTCCTCGATGGAATAGAGGAGTCGACAACCTCATCAGACAGAGATCCACTAATACCTTCCAAAGTGCAAGACATGGACATAAATCGGCTCCAATCAGGAAGGACACGAAGGTACAAGATCTCAAGGTGGGATCAGATTACCAACCCCCATCACCTATTGAGCAAGAGTGCTTACAGAAATCTTCTCTACAGAAAGAATTGTCGGCAGAACATGTACAACCTCAGCATACTGTACACACCAAAGCTCAGCCTGGTCAACCTAACCTTGCATCTGGTGCCCGTAGACGTCGCAGGGCAGCCAAGGTGGTTCAGAGTCACTCCCCAGGATGTGACAGCTCATCCTCTACAGCACTAGGACATAGCAATAAACAGAAGTCACCCATAGTAAAGGAATCATCAGCAAACAGATTGGACAGACCAAAGGAGGGGTGCACATCTAACTCTTCTGGCACAGGTAGGACTCAAGGAATTGGAACATTTGTACATAGTAAACAAACGTCTGGAATTATATTTGATCTCGGTTGACATTACTTCAATGGAAACAGAGGCATTCATTCAATGGTCTGCTCCTTCCAAATATTTTGATTTGGTTTTGTGACTCTCCACAGGACCCCAGCCCAGTGTGTCAACGATGAGCAGAGTGTCAGTCTTTGCTGTCCAGAACTGGAAGAAGACAAGCCCCAACCAGATCAGCCTTCGTGTGGGTGAGTTTGACAACTTTAAGCTTCCTTCGTGTTATTCTCCTTTCAGAATTCTAGAATAAAATTGAGTAGCCACGATTCAGGTTGACTGAATGACTGCCAAGCATGGATAATACTCAGACATCTCTCACTGTGACCTGTTATCAATATCTGACGACTTTTAATCACCATCTGACCCCTGAAGATCGGGGTAGAATAGGTCTTCAGCAACCCATGCTTACTGTAAAAGGTGACTATGCTTGTTGTATGGATTGGGTGGTCAGGCTCGCTGACTTGGTTGATGCATGTCAAAGAGCTGTAATATTGCTGAGTGCGGCGTTTAACAACAAAGAAACAAACAATCACCATCTTGTCTGATACAGCTCCTGCTTCCATTATGGTGATGCAGCTGTGTGTATGCTCTGCCTCCCCCCCACCACCCACCCACTCACCCACTCGCTCACCCACCCACCCACTCACCCACTCGCTCACCCACCCACTCACTCAACTCTCACCCTCAATCCTTACCATCGTCTCCATCACTTTCCAGGCATGAAGATCAAGCAGACTAGAGCGGCTGGTGCTGATGGCATGGCCTATGGCTACAAGAAGAACAAGCTCGGGGTGAGGATACACGGCTCTTACCCTGCTGGGCTGGTCTCCCTGTGTGTGCCAGCCACTGCATCTCACCCTAACCAGTAAACCACGCCCTCATTATGAGCCTGGAACATGGACCTGTGTTGATAGTATGATACTATAATATGTTGGGTTCAAAAAGTATAGAGGAATAAATGCACTGTAATAATGGTTTATTTATTCTTGATAATATATTTTCTATCTTTGTTTTAAACACATATTTCAGTTTTTTGTTTTGAATGGAATGGAATTATGATTAGTGAGTGTGTTACTTACATACCATATGTATTTTGTATATGTGCTTTTCTTATTTAAGAGTATCATTAAGTCTTTTGATGCTAAAAAAATGTTTTTGTCGAAGGGAGGCTAGATATATTTCTTTTGAAAACTAGTGGATATGCGAATAAGATCAAATACAAAACAAATATATGGTATACCCATTGAGTAATGATTTCTTTGTGTACATAAATATCAACTGTTTATCAATATGCATCTATGAAATTAAGGCATCTGATACAGTAGCTATATTAAAACAATTATATATATATATATATATATATATATATACATGTATATACAATATTTGTGATTTATTATGCATGATTAATGCAATTAATTTTTAAATATGTTTATGTCTATGTATTCATATATGCATATGTGATATATTCAAAAAAGAGTTACGCGTTTAGTATATTCATATTTATATCAAAATTTATAATATTTTGAACACCAGTACATTACTATTTCATAAGTGTGCAATAAAAACATGTTTACGTTTATACCAATATATAACGGAATGTATAAATACTTTTACAAATAATTCTCATTGTTCAAATGGTGACAAGTCATGCTACTTATGCATGTACATTACCTTACAGTGCTTGTATTGTTAAGACAAACTCTGAACACACAGTAGTGATGTTTGGGGCTCTTCTATGCCCTACTATTTCATGTGTGTTCAGGGCGTATTGTCGCCAATTTTACTCTATAAACACTGTAAACAAGTTTTACTATTTATCTGGAATAAAGTTTTGAATGGACTGTATTTGTTTGTTTGTACATCCACGCTTTGTTTTTGTCACCAAGGGGCATTATACTGCTTCAAACAGTGAAACAATTATTTATTGTTTTGCTTTAAATTAAGTTAAACCCTCATCAATATGTTTTGGTTGCATGTTTGGTTGGTTGTTTAACGCCGCACTCAGCAATATTCCAGCTATATGATGGCAGTTTGTAGATAATCGAGTCGGGACCAGACAATGGAGTGATTGACATCATGAGCATCGATCCACGCAATTGGGATTCGATGACATGCATCAAGCACGTCAGCGAGCCAGACCACCCGATCCCGTTAGTCGCCTCTTACGACAAGCATAGTCACCTTTTACGGCAAGCATGAAGACCTTTCCTACCCCGGATCTTCATCAGTAACATTGATTCCCGATAGTGCGACATAGACAATGATTATTTTATGTACGACAGCTATATGTTGTCCGATGTTATTGCAACAAGAGGACAAAGTCAACGGTATCCCCTATGATGGCAAATATTTGTGGATAATTATATGAAACTTGTTGCCATGGAAACTCAAATTAATTTAAAAAATCCCAAAGTATCAAAAGGCACCAGTTCACCACTAGATCAACCCATCTGCAAAGTTCGGTGAAGTTATATTGTACGGATTTCAAGATCTGCTTTGGAAACAAGTACTGCCGCCATTTTCAGTCAATGGCAAAGTTGTTACCATGGAAACTCCAACACTTAATTTTCCAAAAATCCCTTAATGTCATTGGCACCAGTTCACCACTAGACCAATCTTTGTGCCAAGTTTGCTGAAGAAATATTGTCCAGCCTTCAAGATCTGCTTCGTAAAGGAGCACTACCCCCATTTTCGGTCTAAGGCAAAGTTGTTGCCATGGAAACTCGAAATATTAAAGCTAAGTCCCTAACATACAATGCGGGGGATTCGAAAAGTTTTATTTTTAAAAACAATCCCAATCTATTATTGCAACCGGTTCACCACGTTTTAAATTGTTTTATTCAAGGTACATGCCAAATGATAAGGATTGGAAATAGCGAAAAAACAAATTAACAGACCACGTTCCAGCATCTTCAACCTGCCAAGAGTCAAATCGACAACGCACACCTGACGTCATGCGGAACAGCATCTCTCTGCTGGTCAGATAGATTTAGGCAAACAAAACTAAGACGTTAATCAATTTACCTATATCTACAGTTGTTTATCACTCACCCTTATCAAATCACATGTACCACGTATACATTCGTGGCATACTAGCAACTAAGTTGTTATTCTTGCTAAATTTCACTCATAAACACCTTTATCATCAATACTTCGGTTAAACTAAATTATATAATTCTGCCCAGATAAAGTTGGCACTAACAACTTCATCGCCAGGTTAAGCAGTAAATAAAATTATGCGTAGTAGCTAGAATAGGTATAAATACTTGCGACAGGCAGAGGTTCGAAACGTTGCTAACTTGTACTATGTTAAATCCTAACTATGTTATTACCCCTGGCAATACCTGCAAGTTTATTTGATAGTTGAAAAAATCCCACGTGTGTATATCTTAGTTATACCCATTGTAGTGCTGCTGTTAATAGATTATGCCAATTCCGATAACCTTATTCGGTTGTCCTTCTGGAATATGAATTGTGGCTGAACTAGACTGTAATAGTTAGACTCTGTCGGGTATGCTATATTCAGTCATATGTAAACTGTTGCATTACGTTGTGTATACCTATGTACGGTGACTGATCCTTCTCTATCACGTTCATCTGACGTCCTTCGCATATATGCACTTCTATTACTGATAGTAAACATTCTCTAATAATTGATTTTAAACTTTCTATTGTTTACTGATTATCATCTTCCCGAGGCAAGGGTGTTAACTGACTACAAAAGTCCAGTTTCCACCCTTGCCGAACTAGACTGGAATTTCTAGGCTCGATCGTAGCGCCACATGTGGCTGTTACGAGTTATGCCCCTTCTGTGTCCCTCCTATTGACCAATCAGATTCCATCGCTCCTGTCACTTGCATTTGCTTCAAACCAAATGGCGGTGCCCAGTCAAGACGATCTGCTCGATAATTAAGATCTGTATTGTAATAAAAGCACCTTGATTAAAAGCATGAAACAATTTGCAAAATATCTGTCGACGCCCAGTTGGCTGAACACATGCTTTGCAAATCCTGCAGTCGACCGAAATCTGCACTTGAAATCCATTTTGTTTAGGAACTCGATGTCTTGTTCGTAACGCGATTTTTGATTGGTCTATGCGCAGACTTGTTAGTCCAGCCAAAATGTAACTCCATTGACTTTTATGGCCGGTTAACTCCCTTTCATCGGGAAGATGACTGATTATATATGAATTCTGTGTCTGTCTGATAAACTGATTGTTTATTCACTGAGGTCTTGTGTTGTTGTGGGAGTTGGTTGTGTAAAGTACCTCTGCAAAACGAGCGGATTCCCCAAGTTTGAAAGTTTTCATGCTTATCTAAGAGATACTTGTCAAGAGTTCGAAAATTTGTCCCGTAAATTATTTCTTTACAGAGTTACGGCCCTTGATCCATGTTATTTCACTTGATGCATAGCGTCTGCAATGGGGACACGTCTTCTCTGAAACTACTGAAGTTAGCCTTAGAGTAACTTATCAAGACTGAGGTAATTTTCCAGAGAAGGGGCATTTTAAGTGTATACATTTCACATTTAATCATTTTTTCTGATGACATAAAGTCACCCAAGTGCCGATTTCTTTTTGTATCTTTATAGGTCTCTTTTTATAGTCTTTATTCACTACTATCTGAACAAACACAATTCTAATGTGCCCCATGGCGGGGGCTAGTGTATGACCTGCCTTTCCTAAAAACAATCATATTTGTTGTATCAATATTTACATTTAATCCCCATGTTATACAAAACTGTTGCAACACATCGAGCTGGTGGTGTAGGCCAAAAAACTGACTAGAGAAACATATTTACATCCTCCAGATTAAAGGAATCACCAGTGCACATATTGGAGCGGAAGGTCGGTGTTCGATCCTCGGATGCGTCGTACCAAAATATGTTATCAGATGGTACTTGTTGTTACCCTGCCTGGCGCTCGGCATAAAGGGGCTAAAACAAGGACTCGTCGCCTCGGAGTCAGTATACTGTGTCTGAGTGGGGTATTCATCTTAAACTGCGGCATGGTATCTCAGTGTGCTAGCACTAAGAAATCGGTATTAGTCCGGACTAGTACAATCAGACACACACACACACACACACACACACACATCCATGCACGTGCAAGGAGTGCAATAATCTTGCAATTCTCTTTGAATACATGCCCCAGACAAGAACAATGTCCGTATCATTCAATGTTATACATCATCAAGCGTTTTGGAAGGGAGATGTTAGAACATCGTTGATCACGTCGTCAACCGCTTGCTTGCCTGGCTTCGAGTCCATTACCTCCAGGCCATGTGATACGGCTGGGAATATGGCGGACTTACGTAAACCGTATTTGCGCACTCACCTCAAAGAGACCGGACGCAATCCGGTACAGTTGATTACGAAGAGAAATACATTCTTAAAACAATCATTTATTCATATAAAGCAAATATTAACAGAAGAGATAATATAACAGAATAACTGTCAAAATCAATACTCTGGTATAGTCATGTTTTTTCGATCGTTGTAGATTATTAATGTAACAGTGGTGATGTTACTGATAATGATGGCTTTCTTCAGCAGCACACATCGTCATCGTAACATCACCACATCTTACCATCAGGGTGATCAGGTCACCCAAGTTCAAATAACTACGGAAGGAAGAAAATGGAAATATCTTTAAGTGTTCTCAAAACTAAAAGCTATTTTGCAACGTCATGCTGTGGAGAAAATGGCGATGAAAATTACGTTACGCTTTCACTTCTACACACAGTCATGGTCACCCAGAGGATGTCTCATGGACTACATATGGCCATACCATGAAGCAAAGAAACTTAGTTTAGTTAATGCAAACACTGCCTATCTGAAGACAGGCGTTGCATTTTGTTTCTAACCGAAAGATAAGTATAAGCATCTGATTCAAAGGTAACATGACGAAACGAATAATCACTGAAATGAATATGGAAATATCTCATATCACAAACCTTCAATGGGAACAATAGTTGAATCACATATAGCTGTATAATTCAGGAATGTCAAATATCACAAACTATCAATTATGGTAACATATGGCAAGCAATACGATCCACGAATGATTAAAACATCAACAAGGAAAACATACAATATGATATTATGTTATTAATTTATGTTTAAAAACCCCATTTATTTCATGATTGAAATATGAAAAAAGGTTCATTCAAAAGGAACGGATTCTTATAAGTGGTTAAAAGAAGAAACAACAATTAAGCGTTTAAAAAACAAACTTAATCATTACATACAACATATGAAATAATCAATTAAATTGGAGTCTGTAAATTAGCATAAAGGTGATGTAGTCGTCCCCAACGATGCAATAGGCCCCGGAGAAACTAGCGCCGACTTGACCGGCTTCATAGAAATATCACTCCGCGATATCATGCATGGACCGGACTGTACCTTGTTGAGAGGATGTTGATAGTCTCGGATGCCGGGCACGATCCGGAGTACCATCTGGATGCTCACCTTGTATGTGTACATCACATTACTACGATACTGAGTACACTGTACAGTTACCTTATGGCTACCTATAAGCAAAGGGGCGGCCGGGTAGCCTAGTGGTTAAAGCGTCCGCTCGTCACGCCGAAGACCCGGGTTCGATTCCCCACATGGGTACAATGTATGAAGCCCATTTCTGGTGTCCCCCGCCGTGATATGTCTGGGATATTGCTAAAGGCGGTGTAAAACAAAACTCACTCACTCCTATAAGCACAAAAATAACCGTCTCCCCATCTCACAATTACTTGATAATCCCATTTGTATTACCCATTTGTCATAAAATCATTAAAAAAACAGTTATTAGAACGATCGCAAAACGGACGACTTCAAACGTAACTTATTTTTACAGTTATGAAATACAAATGAGATTCGTCCTTCTGTTGTAAAGAGGATGAAGGTGACGATACACAGATAGATGCTACCGATGTGTTGCATTAACGCGACCGTTGTATGTCTCGCAGATAACGGGCCCAGATAGAGATGACACATTAGTTATCCGCAGCTAGAACAACAGATAGATGACTTTCAAGCCAGACAACTAACCAACTTATAAGCCAGATATCTATCCGACACATAAGCCAGATATCTATCCGACACATAGCCGGATATCTATCCGACACATAGCCAGATATCTAGCCGACACATAAGCCAGATATCTAGCCGACACATAGCCAGATATCTAGCCGACACATAAGCCAGATATCTAGCTGACATAAAGCCAGATATCTAACCGTTCCTTGTAATCTATACAGACCCTGGCGTGACGCCGCAAATCTCTTAATCTGGCGCTAAGACAAACTTGAATCTGATATTATTAAACAACCTTACAAACAAACACAAGAAGTGTGTTTATCGAAAACATATTATATCATATAAAAAATCATATAAAGAGTAACGTGAAAACAAGCAAAGTTACAATAACGCTCGATGGTTTTGACCAGAATCTTTAACGAATAGTTTTATAACATGGTAACAGTTAAGACAATTACGACATATGAACACATTGGTTCCTAACCAAGGTAGTTCTGGCATGACTTCAAGTGATCATGGTGTCTTGAGCATGTAGACAAGTCGAAATGTGACGCACCCAGGACATTATAGTGGGATGCTACACAAAAAAATACTTAATTGCTAAGAAAACATCTTCAGAATCTTCAGACTCTACCCATCATGCCTAGTGTAGATTTCCCGGACCCGACGACGACGTCGAGCAACACGCAGCATGTCGTCACCGTAGCCACCTATTAAACAAAAAAACAAAAAAATTATTTGTTACCTATTAGCCAACATTTCTCCACCCCCCCCCCCCCCCCCCCCCACCCCCCAAACGACGCTGTTACCCCAAACTAACAACACTGCAGATATTAAATAAATCAAGTGTAGCACATAGCTCATAGTAGTTTACTACTGGCGTAAGCTTGTTAAAAAAAGAGGGAATACTTTTCAGTTTTACTAAAACCAAACTTCATTTTTACGTCGCACTTTCTTTCATCCTTCTGTTTAAGCATCGTAAATATTGAATTGAGAATAAACATGTAACAAAGGCAACTTTTTATAATGAGTAAAACACGCTGCTATTTCTGTGTTATCTTTTTAAACAGATATATTCATGTTACACATTTAATTGTTGTTTAAAGCTGATAAGCTTATATTTAAAGTCCAGACATTTATTGAACAACGTAATACACCTCGACTCGACGTAGCGTTTCTACTGCATCTCTTCACGATAGATTATGTTTTAAAGTAACCACGTGTAGTTGTATCATTGTAGTGATTAGAATGTTCAGTTTAACAGTGAATGAGAGAGTTTTGCTTTCACACCACTATCATGGCGTGTCAGTTTTTAACATGGGAAGAAAGCCCGAAATCATGCAGGTCTCACACGTTTACCAGTTCGGTGAAACCCACGAGCACGGGTATTGTGCTGACAAACCTAGAAACATAATCGGGGCGTATCGGTACTCGAACCCACAATCATAGGTTTCTGGCATGCACTCGGCGCTTTAGACGACTGGGCCACCCGTGCCACGTAATTAACCGTGAATATGCAGATCAAATTATTGTCAGACGGCATCCCCGACGAGCCATTCACGCGATGTTCCTATCAGTGATATTGTCGTTGGGTAATGGTGGTGTTTTAGTTTTAACAGCGATGCCGGCCAACAGAAGGCATATTTGCGCCCAACTCATTAACTTAATAAGGATAAAAAAGTATTATAGCGCAAAAGAACAAAACCAAAATCGTTTGAATAACATAAAGAAGATGGCAGCACAATTATAGTTAGTTTGGATACACGCATACATTACACCTCCTTCCCGAGGCAAGAGGGTTCACTGACTATAAAAGTCCAGTTTCCACCCTTGCCGAACTAGACTGGAATTCCCAGGCTCGATCGTAGCGCCACCAGTGGCTGTTACGAGTTAAGAAAGTGTTATCCCAAATATAACATTTGTTACATATGTAGTTGTTATTGTAGGGTTATCCTTGTAAAATTTAACCTTGTTAAACTAAACCCCGAACCAGTGTCGCGGGCTTACACACAGATGGAACCTACGTTTTAAAGCACACGTTTTAAAACGATACCCGAGTTTAATCTCGTTCAGGTAACCAAGAAACACCATTTAAACCCGAAACTTAGTTCAATAGTTTCCCACATTAGGCTTTACAAGAATATGGTTTATGTATTTTTTCCCAATATAATATTCTAGCAACATGGAGAATTTGGAGCTTCAACACCAAAAATAAACCCAAACAAGTTATCGGAAAAAGCGAATAACAAATAAATAATTTGTTACTAATAACATCCTGTTGGCATAAAAAATGACTTGTCATGTCACTGAAACGAACTGTGCCCTCGGCGCATATGTGTCGTGAAATGATGCTAATTTGTCCGATAACTGTTACTGGATCTGCGGTTTGTTTTCAGACAAGTAAACAAATATGTCGCAAGACCATTACCCCGTTCATAAAAAACCCTGAGAAACACGTCTATTCAAACACGATACCTCGGGTTAGGTGATTCCATTACATACAATTCAGGGGAGACAACTCTGTCAAGTCAATTATGAATACTCACGCTCTCGGTCGCCGATGAATGACACTCGCACCACCTGGAGATTCAAATAATCGCGCCAGTTGACCTTTAAACTTTTTGGGATGCTTTGTATATGGCCCAGCACAGAGTCGTACAGAATATTAAATTTGGACAGCTTGAAGGCGATTGGCCAGCGAATATCTTGCCGAAAGTCGATGACGACACCGTTGTAGATCAACCTGAAGAAGATGTCCTGGCTGTAGATGACCTCAGTAACTAGATACAGGTCCTCCACGTTGAACCCAACTGAAAAAAAGGTAGAGCGTGTTCATAACTAGCCTCATTTCTTGTCAAAAGGGCCATGGGAGGCCGACCGCCTCCGTGGTCTAGTGGTAGAGCGTCCGCCCGGAGAGCGGAAGGTCCGGAGTTCGATCCCCGGCCGCGTCAGACCAACAGACGTTAAAAGATGGTATTTGTTGTTACCCTGTCTGGCGCTCGTCATTAAGGGGCTAAAACAAGGACTGGTCGGCTCGGAGTCAGTATACTGTGTCTGAGTGGGGTGTTCATGTTAAACTGCGGCATGGTATCTCAGTGAGCTACCACTATACATCGGCATCAGTCCGGACTAGTACAAGCAGCCACACAAACACACACACGTACATGCACGTCGCTATATAAGTGCAATAATCTTGGACGCGACGTTAAACCTCATTTCACCTCACATCACCATGGGAGGCCAGTGCTCTAATGCGTTGTAATTTGTTGTACACGTGTGTTCCCCTCAGCAGTGCCAGGATGCGCTACTCCTGGGTTCGAAACCAACGATTCGACTTGGTAATAATCCTTGGTTTCTCAGCACCTTAACCGAACAAGGTTTGGAAAGTGGAAAGCAACTTAGACCTTCGTCATTCCGAATTATCCTCACTATACAACCACGCGTGCTATTACTGATGTATACTGTTAAAAGCAGCGTTATTCTCAACTCGCTCACTCAAACGGTTGGGGAGCGCCTCCGTGGTCTAATGATAGAGCGTCTGTCGGAGAGCGAAAGGTCCGGGGTTCGATCCCGGCCGCGTCATACCAAAAGACGTTTAAAGATGGTAGTTGTTGTTTCCCTGCCTGGCGCTCGGCATTAAGGGGCTTAAACAAGGACTTCGGCTCGGAGTCAGTATATTGGGTCTGAGTGGGGTATTCATGTTAAACTGCGGCATGGTAAATCGGCATCAGTCTAGTTCAGGCACAAACAGTGCTATCATCTTAGTCATGTTGTTTAACTCCATTTCACCTCACCCCACCTTTGGGATCAGGGTAGGATAGTTATGTAAATAAGAACATGGAAACTATTGTGGCAGTTATTTTGTCAAAAGGAGGAAAAGATTACTTGTATGACTAATTTGCGTGAAAACAGTGAAAATCAGATGTTTTTTAATTGTTTTTTTAATTATTTTTAAAGGACTATTTGACACGAAATATGCCTTCTTGCTTCATTAGCTTTGTCCAGAAATTTTAAAATAGTTATGATTAGAAAGATGTTTCTTGAATAACATTTTAGAAATCAAATTTTTCAATTGTTCCATAGATCTGTGTGGTTATTGCTCTTTATATAGTCGGACACGAATGCCACGGTCTTCTGAGGTGCTACAATTCACTAAGCAGAGTTGCGTCCCTTTAATGTGTCAGAGCCTATGCACGCAGGCCCGATTCCAAGATTCGTCCTGCCTTTGTCATTATTAGGTTTGTCAGCACAGAGACCATATACCGATCGGTATAGTGTCTCCGGTCAGCACCACACACCCACTCGTGTTTTCCCAAAGTGGTAGACGTCTGAGACAGGATCGCTTACCTGAAGCTGACACGGCGTGATATAACTGATACCCATATCCCCCACCAGCATGACTCGTCTTGTTGTGTGCAAGGCATTAGCCCTCCGGAAATGAGCGCTACCGCCATTTATCAGTCAAAATCGTTGCAATAGAAACTCAAAAAAATGTTTTTTTAAACCCCAAACTATCAAAAGGCACCAGTTTACCACTCGACCTATCTATGTGCCAAGTTTGGTGAAGATCAATGTGACATTTAACACAGCCATGTGTACAGAACTTACATGCATCACACGCAAAGAGATCTATGATGGTGCCTTTCACCATCTCGATACGGTCCAGCACCTGTCTCTTGCAGTTTTCAAAAGTAAGGAACACCCGCTTGCTGGCCTGCAGAGATGTGTCCTTGCCGGTGTAGGTCCCGTGACTCACACTCAAGGACACATTAGTGGCTCTCTTCATTGCAGACGACACTTCGGAGGAAATATCCTCTGGGCAAACCAGGATGTCCTCAAGCATACACACTGGTCGAGCCTTGGGGGGCCGCAACAGGAGTCTTTCCTTCAGCGATCTGTCCTTCAGGAGAATAACAGCCCCGAGGTCGTATCGAGGACCATCTTCGATATTCTTGACAGCCGTGAAATCACACTTCGCTAAAATACAGACAAGCAGGGTTAAAACAGGGCTTAGCTTCAAAGGTGATGTCATGAATGAGTTTGGGAACACACAGTTGAAATCCTTTACCTGGAAGGGCGAGAAGGGCCCGCCCGTTTCACAACCCAATCGTAGCACTTCTGTCGTACCTCATACTGTGACCTAGTTGCCCTGTCATATCTTGGTGAAATGGGCCCTGATCGTGGAGCCTCGATGAGACGGTATTATTTTTCAAGATATCTTCTCAATCGTTGGAATGAAGTATATTACATTTATAAACAAACCATTGAACAAATGCCCTAAATTATTAATGCTAAAGGTGCATCACATATTTTGAAATACATATGAATGTAAATCAACTGTGTCAAATACAACGGTTTTATACAGGCAATACTCCCAACAAGGAGGAAACTAACATCCCCAATATTGCATCACTAAATTACCTCACAGAATCACAGAAAAAGAAGAATGGAAACTTTTAACATTAACAGTCTCGGTGCACAGCCTTGATATGGTTCCAGTATATAAAACAATTAAGTAAACTTATCCATGGAAGAAGCTATTCATGCTTTTAAAGAACGTTTCATTTCCACTAAATATTTACGATTTCACAGAAAAATAAGCTATCTATAGGAAAGAGCAAAGAAAAAGGTTTCAGTTGTAAATTTTCTAAAGAAACAGTTCACATTTTATTATCATGCAACGAAACATACGCAACCAACTCAAATATTCATAACTTAAAATAACAGAATGCTATCAAGAAATATAATTAGTGAAAACACAGGTTCATTGACACAAGATAATATTGTATATACATCTATATCTGACAAGTAAACAGATTGTTTATTGTTACTGTAAGGGGCATGCCAAAACAATTTTGTAAAACATCTACATATATTTTGATCTCATAATCATGAATGTTGTCAGCCTTGAAATTGTTATTTGATTTGACCCCCACCCCCACCAAAATAAATAAATACAAACATAAGAACAATCTAAAACGCTTCCGTATCTCAAATTAAAAATAACTTTTAAAACAGATCTGAGAAAAATATCCAATACTACAAACCATAAAACAGATCTGAGAAAAATATCCAATGCTACAAACCATAAAACAGATCTGATAAAAAATATCCAATGCTACAAACAATAAAACAGATCTGAGAAAAAAATCCAATGCTACAAACCATAAAACAGATCTGACAAAAATATCCAATGCTACAAACCATAAAACAGATCTAACAAAAATATCCAATGCTACAAACAATAAAACAGATCTGACAAAAATATCCAATGCTACAAACCATAAAACAGATCTGACAAAATATCCAATGCTACAAACCATAAAACAGATCTGACAAAAATATCCAATGCAACAAACAATAAAACAGATCTGACAAAATATCCAATGCTACAAACCATAAAACAGATCTGACAAAAATATCCAATGCTACAACCATAAAACAGATATGACAAAAATATCCAATGCTACAAACCATAAAACAGATCTGACAAAAATATCCAATGCTACAAACAATAAAACAGATCTGACAAAATATCCAATGCTACAAACCATAAAACAGATCTGACAAAAATATCCAATGCTACAACCATAACACAGATCTAACAAAAATATCCAATGCTACAAACCATAAAACAGATCTGACAAAATATCCAATGCTACAAACCATAAAACAGATCTGACAAAATATCCAATGCTACATACCATAAAACAGATCTGACAAAAATATCCAATGCAACAACCATAAAACAGATCTGACAAAAATATCCAAGGCTACAAACCATAAAACAGATCTGAGAAAAATATCCAATGCTACAAACCATAACACAGATCTAACAAAAATATCCAATGCTACAAACAATAAAACAGATCTGAGAAAAATATCCAATGCTACAAACCATAAAACAGATCTGACAAAAATATCCAATGCTACAAACAATAAAACAGATCTGACAAAAATATCCAATGCTACAAACCATAACACAGATCTAACAAAAATATCCAATGCTACAAACCATAAAACAGATCTGACAAAAATATCCAATGCTACAAACCAGAATAATATTTTTTTCTCTCATCTCAGAATTGTTATCTTTATCTAAATGAAAACATTAATAATGGTATATTTACTTTGAACATCTACGCCAAACGTCAAACTACCATGAAATCGTACTACTCTCAAACATTCAAAAACATTATTATAAGGGTGTATAAAAAACGACAAAGGATAACTCCCATTGTTTCTGTTTTACCAATCACCCCTGACAAACATAGGACGTACCTCCACCATAGAGAATGATGTCGTTGACGATGTATTGTGCTATATGGGACCAGGCATGTTTTACAGAATGTGAATTGATCTGTCTCACAAATTTTGAAGGAATCTGCTTCACAATTTGTTGAGGCATTGTAACATCCACTGATCCGCAACAATATGTCATCGAGCGACACAGACAATATGCATGACGTCATAGAAGGTAGCTGTGACGTCATCGACAAGACACTTCCAGATTCAGGCCTGACACTTTGTAACTCTGTTCCCGTATAAATATACTACACATTACTAACATGTGAATGTGATAGTGATTGTATTTACTTATACACACATAGGAACTTAATTTTATTCTAGCTAGGAAAAGCATTCATAAATGTTAAATTATATTAAGAAATAACTTATTTTCCGAAATATGAACATTATGATAAAGATGGTGATTTTAAACATAGTACTTGTTTGGTTGGTGGTTAACGCCGCAACTAGCAATATTCCAGCTCCATGGCGGCCATAGATACAATATACATGTATATATAAAATTTGGTGGTTTATTTTCATGGGCCACGTTCCGTTAGTTTTGTTTACTTAACTGTAACAAGCTTTGAAATCACATATATTTTTTTCAAAAGAAAAAAACACTTATTGTTTTCCAGCGACGCCCCTTTTGATGTTTGTGTAATAGTTGGACTGGGTGTTCACAACAAAGGATTATTGTGTCTTCGTATACACTATGTATACATCGACGTGTGAACGTTACTTGTGCTACCAGCCACGGGTATTCTCGTCCTAAAAGCTAAAAATATACTTTCTGGTTTTAAAGGTGAGGTGGTGAGGTGAGATGGGGTTTAATATCGCGTCCTAGATTATTTCACTTATATAGCGCTTGCACGTGTGTGCGTGTGTGCGTGTGTTGCTGATTCTACTAATCCGGACTAATGCCAATTTATAGTGCCAGTTCACTGAGATACCATGATCTCAGTGAACATGAATTCCCCACTCATATCCTGACTCCGAGCCGACCAGTCCTTGTTTAAGCCCCTTATGCCGAGCGTCAGACAGGGTAACAAGAAGTACCATCTTTTAACGTCTTTGGGTATGTTGTGGGCGGACACTCAACACTAACTGGTTTTAAAGACGAGCCTGCCATTGATTTTAAAATGTTGTAAACAATCAGTGTATGATTATGTTTTTAACATGTAAATTTTGATAGGCAAAAGAAACCTTTCGCATCCTGCAATTTGTGCAGATTGCTCATGAAAATTCGTACATCAATAAATATAATTGATCTGAGTTAAACGTAAAACAAACGTATACAAAAAAAGAAAAAACCTTAAGAATTATATACAAACACATAGTTCACAGCACCGTTCCCTATACATGTATGTCCTCGTTTCTTGTTAAATATCCATGAACATTTATTATACGCCCCCTCGAGAATATCAGGAGCAGGTAACTCAGGATATGGAATGCGGCCTGGGAGGCACTCCATGTCCTAACTTCCAGCAATAGAAACATTTAACGTCAACACCCAATGAAACGGTGGTCATTGCCGAGTTTATTGTTTAATCATATATAACGGCAATGTAAGAGGAAATACAATACCCACCAAACAGGACGTGGGTTAGTGTCCAGCATAGAACATGCAAGTTGTAGGTCAACACCCATGCGTGTTCCGCTATAAGATATAAACATGACAGTATGATACATCTTCAAAATGACGTTTCTGTGTAATCAGACAATATGAATACAATGTCATCTTACCCGAGTTATTCAGTTTGGTAACATTTTATTTATGAATACGGACCAAGTTTGGTAACATTTTAAGAGTATTATTCAAAGTTTTATGGTGTGCTTTTCGTAATATTGTGTAACGATGTTTGTTTGTTTGTTGTTCTACGCCGCCCTCAGCAATATTCCAGCTATATGACGGCGGTCTGTAAATAATCGAGTCTGGACCAGACAATCCAGTGATTGACATCATGAGCATCGATCCACGCAATTGGGATACGATGACATGCATCAAGCCTTATGACCGGATCCCGTTAGTCGCCTCTTACAACAAGCATAGTCGCCTTTTACGGCAAGCACGGGTTGCTGAAGACCTATTCTACCCCGGATCTTCACGGGTCTTGTAGAAGGAAGAGCAATTTCATTGGCTTTCGTGCTAATAACAAAATGACCCTGTCATTGTATATTGTTTATTTTGAAACAATTTAAACGTTATTTCTGTGGAATGAATTTCATACCCAAAATTCCTGTGAATACATTACACCTATACGCGAAATGATGACGTACACAAAGGTTACCATTGTCTAGAAATTTGGGCAAAAAGGATGGTTTCCCCGTTACATTACAGGGAAGCATTGGGCTTTAGACACATTGAGATCGGTGTCACAATTCAAGCTAAATAAACTCTATAACTTAAAAAAACAAAAACAAAAAACAAACAAAACAACAACAAAAAACACTGGAAGGGGATATAAAAAGGGAGCTTGGTAAAATACGCATTGATATATTCAACGTGCCTTTTCTCTTTCCCGACTATGTGCCGTGTAATAAACTTGTAGTGGTTTTTGTGTGGTGTAGAACCTGTTTGGTTTTTTTATGCCGCCTACAGCAATATTCCAGCACTATGACGGCCATAGGATAAAATACATGTATAGAATTAGTACCAGGCAAAATAACGCCTGGTTTTTTCTCTTTGATTTTGTGGGCCACGTGTATGCCAGTTTTGTATGATTTACTGTCACAAGTAGTTAAATCACACATTCTTTTTCAAAAGAAAACATATTATTTTCTCGGGACGCCCCTTTGCTGTTTGTATAAAAAGGGGATTGGTGGTCACGGACCTTTTATTTGGATAAAGTGACACCTCGTTAATCCGGGTTTCATTGTGTATTCAAAAGTACTGGTACTCAGTTGGGACTTGTTTTCATAATAAATATAAAGTAGTTTAATAATATTAACATTACAGTCTTTGGACGCTGCGACGCCACTCAATTGTTGTTTCAGTGGATATTCAGTGAATATATCCATGGACCCGTGACGATCCGGTTAGGATTGATTTTCAGCAACCCATGCTTGTCGGATGGGCTCAGTCACACATTCAGGATTTTACTGCCGTCCTTCGTGTCGTAGCCCCGTCTGATCGGAAACGGGAGCCATGATCGGCACTGTGTGAACCGGACTTTAGCGGCGACTAACGGGATCGTGTGGTCAGGTTCGCTGTCTTGGTTGATGTATGTCATCGTATCCTAATTGCGTAGATCGATACCCGTGATGTCCAGACTCGATTATTTAAAGACCGCCATCATATAGCTGGTATAATGATGGTCGTTAAACATCAAACAAACAAACGAATGTATCTATCATGCTTTAGGTGAAAGGCTGTTTCATTTTTGTGGTTATATGTCAACATTAATCATTCTGAAATAAACTGTATTTGACATAAAGAACACCGGATAGGGGCATGGCAATAAACGGCCCTCCAATATTTGAAGAAATATGATAAATTATAATATGCATGAATACAAGGTTTTAAGAAACCTAATTATAACGTCTTTTCCCTTTTCAGTAGGTGTGTTTCTTCCGACCTGCGCCCGCCAGAGTAGATATATCCATGACCATGGCCAATAAAACAGAAGTCTGGTTTACGAGATTGTCAGAGGGATATAAAAGCAGAGCGAGTGCTGTAGAAATCATATTTCGGGATTCCTCGTGGACCAGACACAGAATCATGCTGGTGAGTCGTAGGTTGCATCCGGGCAGCTTCCCGAGACAAGGGAGTTAACTGTAAAAGTTCCGTGGACTTTTAGAGTCAGTTAACTCCCTTGCCTCGGGTTATCCGGGTACCCAGGCCCATCTATTTGATTAGATTAGTCTGTATTCTCTCTTGACACGTGTTAATATCTTATAAACTGATGGTATACCAAAGATATTGATTTGTGAAATATTTAGGGTGTAGGTTTTCCCCTGTTCTGCTGGTGAGGAGAAAGCCTATCTTTAACAACGGTCAGTTTTAGCAAGGCAAATACAAAAGATACAGATATAATAAATATGCATTTATTATTTCATTGTTTGCTTTACAATAAAACCACCACCTATTTCAAATATGGACCTTATGCTATATATGTAATGTTAAGTTTAAATTTGATTTTTTTGAAAATAAATAGTATTCTGTTGTATGATCACTTTTTAAATATGAATGCACGTTGCAGTAGTGTGCGTGACGCCCCTTTGTCTTGAACGTGATTAGTCGTGGTTCTATAAATATATCGTATATTCACGAAATTACATTTTTAATTATATTTCCACCCTCGATACTTTGGTCCGTTCCCTGGAAAACATTCATTTCATCCATAGGTATGTCCAGATTCGTGTGCTGAGAGAGGTATCTTTCCGAAATAGTGCATCTCCGAAAGAAACGGTTACAAGTTTGCGCACAAAATGAATGCTGATTTAATCAAGCATGAAGTTAATGTCCCTGAACCACGAGGATGGACTCTGTAGCATGAATGAAACTACGTGCATTTGTTTTAAAAACCTTACTTTTCTCACACGAAAACAAATCATGAAAAAAATAACTTTTGAATTCAGCTCAATATCAAAAGAGCGTCAGTTAGGGATGATGCCTAAATATACACGAAGGAGATAGGATACGTGTTTCGTACAGCAACGACCATGAGATGGATGCACCGCTTGGCAACTGTCATTCTCTGTTAGCCTTGTATACATTCCGCCAGTTAACTCCCACGGGACTAAGGGTTACATTTAATGCCTCTGAAGTTGTATAGTTGCTATCGTAGAAATATGTCATTCAGATCACTCAGTCCTATTGGCTGTATGTAGGTAGTCGGAACAGTAGAGAAGAAAGAGTGGGAAGTGTGTGAGTGGTGTTTTACGACGCTTTGTACAATATTTCAATTATATCACAACTTAGGATGGAGGAAGAATATATGGAAAAGGGCGGGGTTATGCCTAGGATTTTATGAAAAAATATAAAATGTCCCCGAAATATCTTAAAAAAATAATAATGCCCAAACTGTTCTACCTGCCACATCAAATACATTTTTGCAAGTTGGTTTTCTTAAAACAGATTCAGGCTCATTGTTTGAAAAAATAAACATCTGGTTTTGTAGCTGGAGCAGAAGACATATCTAATCTCGATACAAAATCCAAATCTGGTTGTCGCTGGTAGAGACGCTTTGGATGTGTAATAAAATACAATATAACCCAGGCGGTTCTCGTGATATGTCACGGCGGGACATAACATAGGTGTTGTAGAAAGACTCTTGTACCCTGTGCTTTGTTTATGAACAGAACAGATTATTAAACACTCTTATTACAGTCGAGGGTAGATAACTCTAATCATATTCTATAGCCTGGTTTCTTCATGTATTTTTTTAATATAGGCTCGCATTTGATAACATGTGGGCCTAATTTCAATTTTTTGCATCTATATAAACAAATTACAATATGACTCATTGTGACAATGAAAACCAACACGGCTAAAATATACTTCTTTCACAAATATTGGACAGACAGACATATTGTTTACTCGAGTCTCACATCATCAAAATATTTTCATAGAAACATATAACAGTACATACAAGTGAGCCACCCGTTAAGGGTTACGAGAGACTTAAAATATATCACAGTATATACAGCATAACTATATATTAGTGTTTAAGGGGTATATATAATATACTACTGGTCACTAGCCATTTAACATATTTTTTCTTCGTTAGAGAATTAAAAAGCAGGTTTGGGCTGTAAAATATACATAATATTTAAAAAGTAAGATAAGTTTATTAGTATTACATACATCTAGGAAGTTGGGATAAACTTTCACGCAAATCATCGATCGCACACAGGGCAATCCAGCAATACATGACGTTCACCCTCAGTACTTTCATTACGCTGAAATGACAGGCAAATTAAAACGCAAAATGTTGTTGAATCGTTGAAATGTTTAAAAGTAAAATATAGGGACCCCCGTCGAAGTTTAGCTTTGTTCAGATGCGGATCTTTACCTCTTGCCATAGAGACTGGCCGTTATAACAAACCACCAACCCCTCTTCTAGATAGAATTTGCCCACAATGTTTTAAACAGTTTAATAAGAGAATTATTGGAGATGAATGAATTTTATGAAGATTTAAGACATTCACTTTTTAAATATTGCATGTTTTTAAATCCTACCTTTACAAATCTGACTGATTTAAAACAAATTTATGTTTATTTTTAAGTCAGAAAATGTACAAGTCCTATTAGCAAACACGGCACATTTTATAAAATGTATAAACGTAAACAATTATTTCATTCATGAACATGTTAACTATGAATATGACCATTTATAATAATATAATAATGTTTTGTACAGGATACGAACGGTATCCTTCTTATGTTTTAAACACACATGTATTTATTGTTTTAGTCTGTTTCATAAGCCTTATGGCAGGGCGGTTTTTAAAAATTGTATGTCCATTGCTTGTATATACACAGCCTATGTAACGCGTGACACATAAATAAACTATTTCTCTCGTAATTTATTACCACCCGTTCCTCTGCCAGGCTTGCATAACAGTTCATTCCAATCAGATACACATTTCCCATATATCCTGCACACGTACACCTACACATTTCACGCTATATTGGAATGTATTGCTGCAGGTGTGTGTCCTGGCGCTGGCGTTGGTAGGTTCACTCTATATTGGAATGTATTGCTGCAGGTGTGTGTCCTGGCGCTGGCGTTGGTAGGTTCACTCTATATTGGAATGTATTGCTGCAGGTGTGTGTCCTGGCGCTGGCGTTGGTAGGTTCACGCTATATTGGAATGTATTGCTGCAGGTGTGTGTTCTGGCGCTGGCGTTGGTAGGTTCACGCTATATTGGAATGTATTGCCGCAGGTGTGTGTTCTGGCGCTGGCGTTGGTAGGTTCACGCTATATTGGAATGTATTGCTGCAGGTGTGTGTTCTGGCGCTGGCGTTGGTAGGTTCACGCTATATTGGAATGTATTGCCGCAGGTGTGTGTTCTGGCGCTGGCGTTGGTAGGTTCACGCTATATTGGAATGTATTGCTGCAGGTGTGTGTTCTGGCGCTGGCGTTGGTAGGTGGACGACCAGGATTCTCCAATGGGGATCAACTCGGAGACGTGATCCCCAAGAAAGATTGTTTTGTCTACCACGACAGATCAGCTCAAATCAAACTCTCAGACTCCAGACATGGCTATCCTGGGTAGGTATCGCTTCAAGAAGCTGTACTAGAACGCCGGAATTTGTAGCTGTGAAGAAATATTAATGTATGACATAGGCGGGGATTTTATTTTTATATTTATTAGCTATTAAACAAACCAAGGTATAGTCAGGGATGAGTAACTTTTCTAGTTAGACAAATAGGCATGTGGATCAATCCATTTTACAGTTAACAGAGGTGCACAGTATTAAGACAAAAAGGCATTTATATTTTATTGCATCATTTATAAATCTATCTTAGCACTAATGCGTCTGTAAAAAAAATTCAATAAATATTATGCGGCACGGATGGGGTGTGTGTGTGTGTGTGTGTGTGTGTGTGTGTGTGTGTGTGTGTGTCTGTGTGTGTGTGCGTGCGTGGTCTCTTAGCGGGCTTGAAGAAGCAGCTGTATGATACACATCTGCCACTATGGAGGCCAGGGAGGAAAGATAACTGTACTGTTGCATTCGCCATAACTGATCATAGTATTCGCGGACTTGTTTGTTGCTTAAAGTGTTCAAGAACTCGCCTTCTGTCCCAGCAAATACGACTGACCTGTCTCTCTTTGGGACTCATGTGTGTGAGGGTACTGATATATATTGTAAGTTTTAGTTTTGATAAAATGTCTGTTTTTGTATTGATGAGATTGGGTGACTGAAGAGACTTAGTTTTTATGCTGAAATTGGTGTTTTAGGAATTGTATAAACTTCTCATTTGTTCAAACAAATGCTCTACTTGCAAAACTCCACACACCCCTCCAAGTCTTACTTCCATTCATCCGTTCTCTAGGTTATACTTCTCCTTGCATTTGGTTACTTTAATTCCTCTTACATTATTTAATTGAAAAAGAACCTCTAATTAAACTTATCACATTACTAAGTGCTTGAATCTATTATCTTCTACTAATCTCTATATAGTCAAACTATCTTAGTTCACTAACATTTCTTAATTGAAAAAAAACCCATAATTTTTTTTCATCCCGCCACTAAGTGTTGGAATAAATGCACTGCTATTAATCTTTATAGTGTAGCACTATCTTAAGTTGTCTCAACCCAGACACCCCTATGCCAATAAATGGTCTCTCCCAAACAGATTATACGGTATGTGACAACACGAATTACATGGAGAAACCACACAGGCATAGGGGAGTTCTAAAAAATAGACGACCAGGGTTGTAATCGTATGACCCGTGCGATGCCTTGAGTTTGTTGTAAGTTATACACATTCCCGGGATTAGAACTGGCGTGTCTGATTACAATGGTCTAGATCGTCATCACATAATTAATAAAACTTAAGGTGGGATGAGGCCATACCCCCATCGTCTATACTTCTCACGCTGTGATATAACTTGTAGGTCAGACATTGCAGAAGAGCTTGTGAAGCGCCCCTACATGCGCCCTGTGCTGTTTGGCCCTGACCCAGAACACAGGACTCCTTACAGCGGAAGCAGGGTTCGCATCGTCGAGATTGGAAAACGGCTACACAAGAGGTAAACTGATACCAATAATCTATTCTTGCATCTTGCAGTAATTATTTTTCATTTTATTGGATATACATGAATACATGACACTTTTTATGGACAGCAACTTCTTTTATTATTAAGAATAAAATAAGTTGCGATCCATAAAAATGTGTCATGTATTCATGTTCTCCCAACTTCTAAATGCCTGTCAAAGACTTCACTGGGATCCCGGGGTAGAGTAGGTCTTCAGCAGCCCATGCTTGCCGTAAAAGGTGACTATGCTTGTCGTAAAAGTCGACTAACGGGATCGGGTGGTCTGGCTCGCTGACTTGGTTGATGCACGTCATCGATCCCAATTGCGTGGATCGATGCTCATGATATCAATCACTGGATTGTCTGGTCCAGACTCGATTATTTACAGACCGCCGTCATATAGCTGGGATATTGCTGAGTGCGGCGTTGAACAACAAACCAACCAACCTACCAACTTCACTGGGTATACCTCTTTTTATGTTCTTTGCACATTTTCTGACAGATTGCCCGATCTAACTGTTTAACTTGATGTCATCTTACACAACACTGTAGAAATATTTATGTTTTCACGTCACTTGAAAACAACGTTTTGCATAACGTAGAGTGTTAATAGGACTGTTTATTGTCATTTTAAGCATATATGATTTTATGTATGATAATCTGTTTCACTTTCTTATATATTTTGCGTAAACGGTTTCAGGTCGTATGGTTTCTACCCAACATACAGACGGGTGTATCCTTACTACAGAGCAGGCGAGTTCAACCCTGCACTGGTGCATCACGTCCAACGGAAGCCAGTCCATGTCGTTGACCCTAAACCCGTGCATCCTATCCACCCTGCACCCGTGCATCACGCCCAACACAAATCAGCGCTTGTCGTTGACCCTAAACCCGTGCATCCCATCCACCCTGCACCAGTGCATCACGCCCAACACAAATCAGCGCTTGTCGTTGACCCTAAACCCGTGCATCCCATCCACCCTGCACCAGTGCATCACGCCAAACCAGTGCTGACCGTTCAACCTAAACCAGCGCATCTCGTCCACCCTGCACCAGTGCATCACGCCAAACGCAAACCAGTGCATGCCGTTCAACCTAACACAGCGAACGCCGTTCATCTCACCAAGCCAGTGCACACCTCTAAACCAATATGTCAGTCCCGGAAGTATGCATTGCGCAGGTTCTGGCTGCATGGTGGTAACTGTTACGTCATCAACCCCGACTACCAGAAGGTGACCTATGCCAGATGCAGGTAACAATCTAGAATTGATGTTCATTGATGAGATATGCAAAATATTCTACATTAAATACTTCTTCGAGCGATGTTGAAACTATGTTAGCAATGTCATAACGAAATGTTGGTACAATATACTTTGACATATGTATATATTTTGTTAATACATTTGAGTTGGGATAGGTTGGTTAGTTATACTTAAATATAGTTATATTTATATGGCGCTGTACTCCATGCATAACATGCTCTAAGCGCTTAAACATTTATTACCCCGGGCAACGGATAAGTGTGCACTCAACATTCTCAGCTCCCTGGGGAGTATACAACCCAAGCTGCCTGTTAGGCGCTAGAAGGTTAGCAACCACATTGCCATCACATCCTACCGGGTACCCATTCACTGCTGGATGAACAGAGGCACAATTCGAACAAAGTCACTTGGCCAACGAGACACGATATGTGCTTCAGTGTGGGGAAGGACCCGTTTGACAAGACATACAAGGCAAAGCTATTCAGTGACTCGTATGTTAGCGAACTCGTTGTCATTACAAGCTACAACACATCAATAAACCTGGATATGCTGTGCTCAATTCATTAATATGTTCTTTATCAGCAGGCATCACGACTGCTCCAACTGCACCCGGCCCGCATACAACGTCAACCACAACACCGTCAACAAGTGTGTGGAAACCTTTGAGACGCTCGATGTCTGGGCCTTCTGTGACAACCTCAGCAAGTATGACAGAATCCAGAGAGTCGGTATTAGTCTCCCCAAATACTGCAGCTGCCAAACTTTCACGTGTTAAAGGCGATCTACGCTCGGAAAATTGGCAGCCCCAGCAAGTTTAATTCAAGTTCCGGCAACCCCAGTGTTCTAGCTCATATTGTAAGATCTATATCAATATGTAGTATTTAATGAGTGTCCATTCAATACACATTACACATTCACTGTGGCAAGCGTTGTCTAGAACCATAGATTGCAATGGGGCACTGGACTTTCCACTGTGAGGGCAAAAGAAAGTATACCGAGTTTGTTTTGTTATGTAATTAAAAAATGAAAAAAGCTGTGACAATGTCTATATAACCATCACTCATTCTTGCAACAGTTTATAAAAAGTAAGCAGTGGCTGGGTAATTTTTTGTAAAAGCAAATCGGTTCAATGAAGACTGGGGTAAAAAATGAACCTGCCACGATTTGATCCCCACCGTGTTAAAAATGTTGTAAATTTGTGCCGAAATCGCAAATTAATTCTTTTTCAAAGATAAGATGTGTAGGATACCCCTCAGCAGTTGTGTATTATGCGAATTGTTTTTATATTTATAAAAAGTTTAAATCAATTTTTTTTAAATTAAACAATGCAGAAGTTTTCTTTGAGTGCTGACTAAGCGCCAGTAAACTCCTTTTGTTGGATATAATATCGACAACTAAATATATTTTCAACTGAAAATCAGACATATCAAACAATCAACCACGCGGTATAGTTTCTTTTGTCCCTCAGTATATCTTGATGTCAAATCCGAAACCCAAAGTAATGATCTACCGTTCTGTTGATGTTGTTAACGTTAATGTCTCTGTGCTATATACTTGTATATATATATATTAAATATAATATCAATATAGCCAAAATAATCTATATCACAATCATTACGTCTTCGGACAAATGATACAGTATGATATAAATGTTACAAAACGTTTACATTCCTATTTAACACTTACCATGTTCTCATTAAGTTCTTTGCCACTGTTGGATATAAAATATTTGCATATTTTCACCTAATCCTTTGTCTATTGATTTTAAAGTCTTTCATAAGATAGGTGAGTGAGTATGGTTTACACCGCTTTTAGCAATATTCTAGCGATAGCTGAGGACAACAGAAATTGTATGAGATGAAGACGTTGATGCAAACACAAACAATGGTATGGGGATACCATCCTCGATTATCTAGTGTACTATACATCCAGGGCCCCGTTCCACAAAGCGATCTTAGTGCTAAGTTGGTCGTAACTCCCATACTTTATCATAGGCTTACGACCAACGTAGCACTAAGATCGCTTTGTGAAACGGGGCCCTGGGTGGGTAAGAGATGGGCGATATCACATGCATCATATCAAAGCATGAGTATCTCACAACAAGACGCGATAATTTTCTCCCATATCCTTCTTTCCAGTTTAAAACATAATCAGACAATACTCGCACATATGTATGCGCATATGTCGTCTGAACGCCAGGGATTTAAACATCTGGAATAATCAAACAGCAACTTTCCGAGGCAAGGGAGTGAACTGACTGTAAAAGTCCAGTTTTATTGACAGTTAACTCCCTTTCCTCGAAAAGCTTCCCTGAGCGCGGAAGGCCGGCGGTTCGATCCCCGGCCGCATCATACCAACAGACGTTAAAAGATGGTACTTGTTGCTACCCTGCCTGCGCTTGGCATTAAGGGGCTAAAACAAGGACTGGTCGGCTCGGACTCAGTAAACTGTGTCTGAGTGGGGTATTCATGTTAAACTGCGGGATGGTATCGGCGTTAGTCTGGCCTAGTACAAGCAGTCACACACACACACACACACGCACGCACGCATACACACACACACACTCACACTCGTGCATGCACATCGCTTCTTAAGTACAATAATCCTGAACGCGACGTTAAACCCAATTTCACCTCACCTTTTCCCGAACTTTAACTGTGTTGGATATGTACTTTTGGCAGAGTTGGAACTTCCATTAGATACACTGGTGCCAAAAGATGTGTTTGTCTGTTTGTCTGTCTGTCTGTCTGTCTGTTTAATCGCCGCACTCAGCAATATTCCAGCCAAATGACGGCGGTCTGTAAATAATGGAGTCTGGACCAGACAATCCAGTAATTGACATCATGAGCATCGATCCACGCAACTGGGATACGATGACATGCATCAACCAAATCAGCGAGTCTGACCATCCGATCCCGTTAGTCGCCCCTTACTGCAAACACGGGTTGCTGAAGACCTAGTCTCCACCCGGATCTTCTCGGGTAAAGTGTCAAAATAAGTTCCAAGTACTCAATACTTGTCATAAGATACAATTATACCTAGCATGTTGCAAAATAAATATAAAATGTTTCATGAAATCATGAAGCCTTTCCTTCATGTCTAACAACAGACCTATGCTTTACCACATGTTCAGGTAATTGAGACTTCTTGGAGAGTTCTAAACATATTAATGGACAAGACTCAGTTTATTCCTATGAGTTCCATCATCATGTGTCAACACTGTATAGACAGTTGATGACATGGTCGATTTAGTCCTTATGCATGCCCTGCACATGTGTTTAAACCCAGATAGAGTTGATGCTCGGCAACCTATGCTTGTTGTGAGAGGCGACCTATAATCTGGTACAGTGTCTTGGTTGTGTCATCACATTCTGGGTTGTTGTTCATTATATCAACCAATGGTTTGTCTGATCCAGTGTCAATTATTTACAGACTGTTAAGGAATATAGCTTTAGCTTTTGACAATAGTGCCAAGTATGGTGAAACATGCGGTAAAGCAGTGGAATATTTGTGGTATCTAAAAGCATGAGCAACGATCAACAACATCCGGGTACCAAGAAACGCAGTCAGACCGATCATAGAGCCCGACAACCATGTTAGTCGCCTCTTACAACAAGCATCAGGTACTGGGGCCTTTTGTCACAGGGCTTAAATCATTGTGGTATTATCAGGAATATCAGGATTTAGAAATAATCTAGAAAAAGAAACGCCTGAAATATATGAAGTGTTTCAGCCGTGATTCTGGATTCAGGTTTCATCTCAATACATTTCTTAACAAAGTAGGGGCGGTCGGGTAGCCCAGTGGTTTAAGCGTTCGCTAGTCAAGCCGAAGACCCGGGTTCGATTCCCGACATGGGTACAATGTGTGAAGCCCATTTCTGGTGTCCCCCGCCGTGATATTGCTGGAATATTGCTAAAAGCGGCGTAAAACCACATTCACTCACTCTTAACAAAGTAACCCTCTGTCACGACTTTCAAAAACACTGAAATCAGATTCAGTAATGAACGTACCTGTCCCGACTATGGAGTTGTCGAAATGTGACCCCTTTCCTGTCACGCTTTTATATTTGGTCACCCCAAGGTTCCGTGTATCAAATGCTTTCATGCAGACGTCGCTTGCTGTACGCCGTGCCCTTGGGTGTACCTCTGGTCGGGTGTACTGCGGAGTGATTATGGTCGGCTTCCGGTCCAGCAATGTATCTTCCGGTCTCAGCGTCATCGCGCTCACAAAGTCGATTATTTCAAATCTTTTCCGATCAGTATATTGGCTGGTTTGAGATCTCGATGAGCAATGCCTTTGTTATGAATATATTTGATGGCTTCTTCAAAGCTCGTTGTCTCGGGTACGTGTTGTTCATGGTGGGAAAACAGGTCATAGGGTCTGATTATATTTTTGTGTTTTAGCTGTCATAATGCTAAATGCTATGACCCATGCCTTGGATATTGTATCCGGGTGGAGTTGATTAGGGAGCGAGACTTTCGCTGCGTATGTCCGGCCATTTTTGACCACCTTATATACGACCATCTCCTGGCTTTCTCCCATTCTCGAACCTGTACCCACGGATGATGAGCCTAAGGAATATATCTTCGAATTGTTGTGGCTTCCAACATGCCCACGATGGTGGAGTCAAGACGCCCACGCGGGTGATAGATGACAGAGATAGTAGTCCGTCGAGACTCCGGGTGGACGAACATCGATGTCTTCGCCATAACTCCGCAGCAGCGTTATGCTGGTCTTCAATGCAAGGAGTTAAAAGCCTTAAAAGAAATAAACAACGATGTAAATGTTACAGTCTGTCGACACATTTATCAATTCTGTTACTTGTTGCATGTGTGGACTCCACATTTTTTGCAACTGTTACTTCGTGAAACCTTTTCCGATGAAGATCAACAACCAACATACTTTGAAGAAAAAGGCGGTTTTCTAAATAGATGTTCGAAAGGGGGCACGGGTGGCCCAGTCGTCTAAGGCGGCGCGATTCGCCAGAAACCTATGATTGAAGAAGAGAAGTATCTCACTTGAGAAACACGGATTCTTAAAGCTCAACATCCAGTACCTTTATTTTAGTTTGTAACACCCTTGGCTTCTGTGGAGGCACGGGTGGCCCAGTCGCCTAAGGCGCCGCGATTGGCTGTGCAGAGTTGCCTCCCTTGGGCACGCCAGAAACCTATGATTGTGGGTTCGAATCCCGGTTCGCCCCGATTATGTTTCTAGGTTTGTCAGCACCATACCCGTGCTCGTGGGTTTCACCGAAGTGGTAAACGTCTGAGACCTGCATCACTTCGGCCTTTCCTCCCACATTAAGCTGAAACGCCTTGATATAACTGGAATAATGTTAAAAGCGGTGTTAAACCAAACTCAAGAGAAAGAGAGAAAGATGTTCGAAAAATGATAAAATTGACTTGATGTATTTACTTTTACAGTTATTATTAAATCTTATGGAGGTTTAACGGCTTTGAAAAATATACTGGAAACGACACTTATGTCATTGTACAATTTAACGAAGAGAGAACCAGATTCACATTGTCCAAGAATTCACTTAAAACCGTTTCTCGTGATTCTTTGGGATCAGGGAAACTGTTCATCATTAGGAATTGTCAAAGCAATTCAAACAATGTTTTTTGAAGAATAAAACATCATTCCTAATGCGTTCACTGGTTGAAAGAGTTTTATCAACCACAGCTCGCAGCACATATTCTGGTGTTTTAACAAAGAAAAAAGAATGTCCTATCAAGTACAATAAAAAGGGTAATGGATACTTTCCAAGATGCCTTTAAAATATTTGACATTGTAGTCGTTCCGATCTTGTGGTACGGAGCTTAAGTTTGGGGGAAACTTACAACAAATTAATTGAAAATGTCCAAATATCCTTCTGTAAACGGTATCTTCGTCTCTTTAAGAATACTCCTAATAATAAAGTACTTTGAGGAAGTTCCAACCTCCCTCTGCAGTCTGTCTATATGACAAAGACACGTGACGGAAACAACCCACGTCCGGCCGACAGGGGTAACCATGGTAACGTGGTCAAGATGGCGGCAACAGGCCGCACAGTGCACAGACACTACTTTTCATAACAAATCTGACCTGTAAGTCACCCCTGTCACTGAAGAGGGTGGTATTTCATGAAAACGAATGTCTGGGATTCCTAGCCGGGAAAATAAGTGCAAACGTTCAAGCAGCACGAAGTCCTCGTCCAGTGAGTCTGACACGAACCTTGGTGACACCCTGACCACTGCTGACAAGATGGACACCGGCACGTGCAAGCTGGTGCGACAATCGCTAGATCCGATTTACTCAGCTAATGAAGCTAGTGTTACATGTGTAGAGGAGAGTAGGAAATTTGTGAAGGTTCCTATGACTGGAAAACCCCCGAAAAAACAGAAATTCAAAATGAACTGAAGGCGCGTATAGATCACGTTTTGGAAAGTGCTTCTACTATTTACCAGCTGAAATCTAAAAATTTGTACCTGAAAGAATCATCCATTGACCAGAGGTGCCGTTCTATGAGGGACTATTTGTTGTTTGGAAGCATCACAGAAACGGGGGCCATTGAAAGCTCTGAAGCATTTGTGAGGGATTTCATAATCAGACAGCGAGCATATAAGGTTCAAGAGGGTACAAGGTGTCGGACGTCCACGCATCCAACAACATCCAGGAGACACAGTGAGGCCCCGTGCACTCTACCTTCATTTACACATCAGAGATAGTGAGAGACAGAGAGAATTGCAAAGTAAG